CAGCTGGCGCACGAGACGTCCCGCCAGCAGCGTTTCCGGCGGGTGCTCGCCCGGACTTTGTCGCTGCGGATTGTTGTCTCTGATGAAGCCACGCGACCTTCGCGGCGAAAGGGCGTGATCGACTTCCAGGCACACCGGACTCCGCTCGTCGACGGCGACCGCTTTTCCTTCGCCAGTCTGCGCTGACGGGGCACTCGCCAAGCTCGCTTGCTCCATCACTGCGCCCCAGCAAGCTCTCTGCCGTCATCCGCGCCGCCGTAGCTCGCCCAGAGCGTCTCGTCTCAACCGCCGAGGCTCTTCTCCTCGTCGGAATTTCGTGTGTGCCGAGCACGCCTCTTCCGTCTCGAAATTTGGCAGGACGGCTGTTCTCTACGCTGCCATAGTGCACGGGCATGTGGCAGCATCCTCAGTATTCCTGGCAAGGCAGTTCTCCCGCCTGGACGCCTTCCCAGCCTCATGGTCACGCACCGTCTCCCTACACTCAGAACTCGGTGCGTCCCGCTGCTTGCGGACACCTAGCTCCGATCCTCGCTCATTTTGGTACTCGCACGCAGGCACCTCGTTCTTCGTACCCATCCGATCCTTCGTATCCGCCTCACGCCTACTTTCCTCCAGCCCAACACGGCCTGCACTTTCCTCCTATTCCCTCAGCAACGCTGAGGCAACGCTCGACGTCGCAAGACGTCTCCTACCATCCCTACCCCTACCGAGCGTCGAAGCCTTCCTCGTCGGGTGCGGCAAAAGCCTCGACTGGGATTACCTTCGTCGATACGACTCAGCAGACTGCTGCCGCCGCGACGGGTCTCTCCGGAGATGGCTTGTCGCAGTGTCGGCCGAAGCGGAAACGGATCACGCCTGAACAGCTCGTCCATCTCACTGCCGTCTTCGAGTCGACGGATTCACCAACGTTCGAACAGCGAGAAACGCTAGCGGAGGTGCGCAACGCCTTCCCTCCGCCGTGCTCCGAGTGTACTGACGAGCTCTTCGTCCCCAGCAAACCGGCATGACCAATCGAGAGGTCCAGGTGAGCAGTACCGGCTGCCTCACGCATTCGATCCATGCTGATTCTGCCGCCGCCGTCGCAGATCTGGTTTCAGAATCGACGAGCTAAGGTCAACCGGCAACGACAAGCCTTACTCGCCAAGGAGGAATCCGCCGCCGGGACAGCCGCGATTACCGCTTCAGACGAATCAGGAGTCGTCGACCCCGCCGCCGCCTCCAAAGCGCCTGCCGAGATGATGTCTGCCGGACAGCATCAGTGGCGCTTCCGACCGAAGAAAGCGGCGAAGCTTAGCCACGCACCCGAAACTGTGCCTTCTCCTCTTCCTCCTCAAGCGCCCGCGGCCTCCCACATCGTCTCCGCCATGCCTCCTCATTCCTTCGCTTCGCCGTATCCCTCACCGCCCCTCGCGCCTACTGCCCAGCGCCCTCTCTCACTCGGACCCCTCTCTCCTCCGCTTTTGACGCCTGGCGCCGGCTCGTCGTACTTTACAATCGCTTCTCCTCCCCTCACGACTCCCGGTCTCGCTTCTCCAGGCTCAGGTTCAGCCTCGAGCTACTTCTCCCGGAACGATGGGCCGTACACGCCCAGCACGATGTCCTCGCCGTCCGGTTACTTCTTCCGCCTCGCGCTCGACTCGCCTCACTCGCCACACGGCCCCTCCGAGACCTTTGAGCCGACTTCTCCACGACCCGCGGCACCCGAAGCACTCATCCACCTCGCGCCAATCCGCTCAGACGCGCTCTTCGGCCGACTAGGAATGGCGTCCAACCGCTCGGCTCTCAGTCGGCCTATGCACCGTCGCTCGATAAGCGACTCGGCAGCGCAAGCTGTACTAGCTGCATTGGCAACACAGCAGGCTGGCAAGGCTACGCGACCCGCGCACCCCGTTCGACTCCCTTCTCTCCGCGGCCTTCTCAACGACGACGACGGCTCGGCGGGCGCGACTCGACCGCCTGTGCTTGCGTCTGCACCGACGTCGCCGGTCGCTACAGGCTCTCCAGTTTCCCTGGCATCCTCGCCTCCCGACATTAGACTCGCAGCGGCCACCGCCTCTCCCAGCGACAAGCCCGCAATCCCTCCTCAGCGACCCCCTCTCCTCTCTCGCTACTCGACGACCGACATTCACCGCAAGCCCTCGCTCGAGCGCAAACCGCTACCGTCGAGCTCGCCCGCCCGGTCAGGTTCGCCGACCGCCCACCGTCTCGACTCTGCAGCCGTTGGCGTCGCCGACGGGAGCGAGCCCGACACCGACATCCGCATGCGCAATTTGACGCCGCTGTCAGGCCCAGTCGGACTCGGGATGCTCGTTGCGGCCGCGAGCGAGGTGTGCGAGGACGACGAGCGGGCGGCTCGACTTGCGGCGTCGAGCCAGATGCGATGAGTCGGTTTTTCCCAGCGTTGTACATGCCTTTCTGTCCCTGTTCTGTACATTGCACCTGTTGTTTCGAAACCTGTTCATACTTGCTCCATCCATATCTCCCTCTGCCCTACCCTCCCCTAGGTCACAGTTTGACAAGTAGTTTGTATTCGGATACACCTGAAGTTTGTATTGCTTGCCTAAGCTTTCGGCCTGCTCCACTACGCTCGGCAAGCGGACGCCGCTGACCGAACACTCCTTCACCTCATCTCGTCGCCCGCTGCATGCTCTCACGCTCACTGCGACTCTCTGTACCGCTCGTATCTCGTCAGACTCGCTCATTCTCAACGTCCAGCACAACCATGGCCGCACGCAAGCAGGTCAACCTTGAGATTACCTCAGGTGCGTCTCGCTCCTTCGGTCGTCGCCACACCTGGTCGCAAGGCTCAGCCGCGCCTCGAGACACTCCGACGCTCACCAGGAACCTGCTCAGCGTCGAGCGCGAGGTCCTGGAGTTACCATGCGCTTGCCTCGCTTTAACAACCTCCTCCGCCTCCTGCCTCGCTTGCTGACGTCCCTTCCTCGCCCCGCAGACTCTATCTGTCCCTTCTGCTTCGTTGGCAAGCGCCGCATCGACGAAGCTATCCGGCGCGTCAAGGCGGAGGGCCTTCCTCTCGACTTCAGCATGCGATTCGCGCCCTTCCTCCTCGACCCTACACTGCCCAACTCGCCCGGCGTGCGTCCCATCCCCTTCACTCTTGCTTGACGACCACTGACGCAACTTGCGGAGCGCAGGAAGCCAAGCGCGAACGATACATCCGCCGTTTCGGTGGCCCCGAGCGGGTCAAAGCCATGGAGGAAGCAATGATTGAGCGCGGCAAGGGCTGCGACCCGCCTATCCATTTCTCGTATGGAGGCGTCGTCTCGCAGACGACCGACTCCCACCGCTTGATTGAGAAGGCGTACGAGTTGAAGGGCGAGGAGGGTCAGTTGAGGCTTGTCGAGCGGTACGTTCGCGCCCTCTCTGCCTCGCGAGAGCACGATTGTTCGCGACATTGTGCTTTTTGTTCTTCGTGTCAAGCGAACGACAGCTGCTACTGTGTCGCGCTCTCGCTGTCGAGCTCTTACGCCATATCGACCTGAGTTTGACGATGTCCTCCCATCATCGCAGGCTCTTCAAGACCTACTTCGAAGAAGAAGGCGACCCAGGCTCGCACGACCTCCTTGCGCGCGACGCCGAGACCGCCTCCATCATGTCGAAATCCGATGCGCTCGCGTTCCTCGCCTCGGACGAGTTGAAGGAGAAGGTCGCTGCGGGCATCGAGAAGGCGCAGCGGAGGGGGATCACGGGCGTCCCGTTCACGATCATCGACGACAAGTTTGGAATCTCGGGAGCGCAGGAGGTCGATGCGTTCGTCGAGGTGTTCAAGCAGATTGCGGACGGGCGGCTGGAGTAGCGGGCGTCGCGGTCATTGTGGATCGCTGTATTGAGACGCATTGTAGCAACCGCACCTCGGGAGAAAGTCATTGGTACTGCTCAGGCTGGGAAGATGTATGGGAAAAAGCCGCTCGTGCGCCCCCACTACCGCTACAAAAGAAGAACTCTACTTGAACAGGAGCGAGATCGACTCGCCGTTATGTGTCTGCGTGCGAGACCATATTAGCTTGCCGCCACGGTGACAAGGAGGCGAAGAAAGAGACGCACCCGGCGAATTGACTCGGCGAGGACCGGACTGATGTCCATGACCTCAAGCTTGCCCTGCGCCGTCTTGAAGTGCTCCGTCTGGCAGACCGTGTTCGAGACCTGCGACGACGCGTTAGCACACGGGGACCTGGAGAGGCAAGCGAAAGCGCAACGCACGACGACCTTGACAAGCGGCATCTTCGCAAGCTCCTCCATACTCCGGCCGGACAGCAGGCCTGCAAGACCGTACTAGTCAGCGCACGCCACCGAGAACCCGTCAACAGGCGTACTCACCATGCGACACCAACGCATACACCTCCTTCGCACCCTTCTCGACCAACGTCTGCGTCGCAAGCTTGATCGTGCCGCCAGTGTCGGCCATGTCGTCAATCAAGATTGCCGTCTTGTTCTTGACATCGCCGACGAGCAATTCCATCTTGCCCTCCGAGTCGGGCCCGTCGCCCTTGCTCCGGTTGCGGTTGATGAGCGCGAAGTCGCAGTCGAGGCGGTCGGCGAGGTTCGTCGCGCTGCGAGGCAAACGTCAGCTCGAGATGAGGCCGGGCGAGGGACTTGTACTTACCGCTTAGCTCCTCCAGCATCAGGCGAGACGATGATGGCGTTGTGCCAGTCGTCGATGTTCTCCTTGACCCACCTGTCGACGCAGAATCATCAGTCTCCTCAATTTGGTTCGAGCCGACTTTGCCGACGCACCTGACCATGCTCGGCTCCGTCCACAGGTTGTCAACCGGGACCTGGAAGAAGCCCTGGATTTGGCTCGCATGCAAGTCCATCGTGATGACATGGTCGCAGCCAGCGATTTGAAGCATGTTGGCGACGAGCTTGGCGGTGATGGGCGAGCGCGACTTGTCTTTTCGGTCCTGTGGGCGGCAACGCGTGAGCGGGTGCAGGCTAGGCGTCAAGTGAATTGCGACTCGCCATGCGCGCGTAGGGGAAGCAGGGGATGACGGCAGTGATGCGCTTCGCACTGGCCGTCTTGCACGCCGAGATCATGATGAGGAGCTCCATCAGGAGATCATTCGGGTCGTTGGCGGGTGCAGGCGCAGGCTTTGAGGGACTGCTGGGGCGGGAGTTGAGGTCGTTGCGATTCGCGAGGGGAGGGAGGGGAGTTCCGGGGCGGGTGACTTCGGGGTCGCTGTCGGTGCCGTAGTGGCGAGCCTTGGCGCCGAAGGGATGGGGTGAAGGGTTGAAGCCGGTCTGGATGATGAAGACGTCCTCTTCTCGCACCGACTCGCCAATCTGCACCGACGTCTCGTTGTCCGAGAACTTCTTGACCGTGCAGGGCGTCAAGGGTATGCCGAGCCTGGGCAAGACGAGCAGTATGCATCAGGTTCTGCCCCTGCGAGCTGAGCGACTTTGACCGCGACCGGCCGTCCGCACGACCACCTCGCCCGCGAGTCTGTCTGCAACCTTGGAGCGCCCGTCCGACCACTGTCGTCTTCTGCTGCTCCCGCTCTGCCGCCTCCTCGCCCGTTGTGCCCGTTTCCAGACTGTCCCCGCTCGAACACCCTTCGGTAGCCGGGAGCGAGATGGCTCACCTCTGCGCAACCATCTGGGCCAACTCGGGGTGGGAGTTGCCTGTTCATCCGCACCATCACAGCAATGTACCACGCACAAGGGACCAGCCAGCAAGGAAGAGGAGCGAGAGTCAGCCTTGATCAGTTCTTCCTTTTTGGAAGGCACAGCGCGAGATGCTGGCATCCAGGCGCGGCGGGAGGTGAACCGGTAGCTCACCCGTGAGGAGCTTGATGCTCGAGCCGTTCGGCATGGCTGCTTGGCGGTCGTCGAAAGTCGAGAGATGAGAGGGTGTGGAGTCGAGCTCGCGGGGGAGGTCGGGCAGTCGTCAGGGAGTGTCGGCGGGACGGGAGAGCGTGTAGGCGGTACGAGCGACTCGGAACAGGTCTTTTGAGCTGAGCAAGGCAGCAGATTGGGAGCGTTGGCAGGCGCTGAGGAGGAGGAGAGCGGACAACCTTCGCAGACCGGGCGAGCCGCACGACACCCGCTCACGCCGGGCAAGGCTGGACGCGTAGTGTACAACTCGAGAGTGATTGCAAGGGAGCACACGACGGAAGGGAACCGAACAGACTGCAATGTGACCAGCAACGAGACATCTTCTTCACAACTCTTGCTTGACAGCCGCAGCCGCCGCCGACGCACTGGCCTTGACGGCCTTTTCCTGAGAGCACCAAGGCGTCAATGACGGGTTCGGTCAGCCAGTAGAGAAAGCGGCGACGCACTCCCCAGGGTGCATTCTCGCGCAAGACCAGCAGCCAGGTAAGTCCGCCGGTGGTGAGCATGATGACAGCCGCGAGTCCGAGCATGCCGCCGAGGACCATCGCGAGGAAGACGTACTGCGGAGACGATGAGCTGTCAGTCACGAGTCACTGCTGAGCTTCGGTGGAAACTCACGTCGTTGCCGCTCGCTCGCTGCCCACGTGCAAACTGCTCCGCCAACCTCCTCTTCTCGACGACCTCGGGCGGCGGACCAGGCAGCTGCTTGATCCGTGCGTCGCGCCCAGGAGCCCAGTCTTCGCTCGAAGTCGGGACGGGCATGCCAGGGGAAATGAAGGACGGGTAGCGCGTCTCGGTCCATTGCTCGATCTGCAGAACCAGTTGTCGGCACGGACATCTTTCCGAAAGGGACAGATAGGACGTACCCGGCCGACGAGAACAGCGATCTTGATGAAGGAAGGGTCGTTCGGGCGGGCCTTGGCGTGGATCTTGCGGGCGTAGTCGCGGAACATGTACGAGACGTCGCGAGGGTTTGTCGCGCCAAGAATGAGCTGCAGAGGTAATTCCTGTCAGTTTCTGCTCACGGCGAGTGAGAATACGTACGCACATTGACCGCCTCGCCCTTGCGGATCTTGACGTTCCGCTGGACGACCGCCGGGTTCATGAAGCACCGTTCGAGCGTCGCGATCGCCATGACCTGCGGAATGGCGCAGAAGTTGAAGACGGACTGGTTGCGGAGGAGGGTGAGGTAGTCGAGTGCGTCGGTCGCGTGCGCGAGCGCGTCGACAGTCATCTCCGAGAGCGCCCACAGCGCCTTCTCCTCGTTGCCCTTCTTGTACAGCTCCTCCGGCGCCGAGACGTACTTCTTCCAGATCTCGGCAGGCCAGAAGACGCGTCCCTCGTCGACGTCCTCGCGGAAGTCGCGAAGGATGTTAGTCTTCTGCAGCATCAGGCCCATCGAGTTGGACAGCGTGAGCTGCTGGCCGAGGTATGGCGACTCCTTCTGCGACGCCGAGAACAGGCGCGAGAGACCTTCGCCGACGAGACCCGCGACGAAGTGGCAGTACAGGTCGAAGGAGGGGAGCGTGTCGACCGAGAACTTGCCGCCGCTCGCAGCGTGCAGCTTGGCGTATCGCGACATACCGGCTCCCATCTTCTTCGTGATGTCGGAGATGGCGGTGCGGTAACTGCGCGAGGCGGGCGAAGGTTGCGAAGGTCAGCTCCGGTCTCGCTTGTGTCAAGTTGTCCGCGAACGCACTGCTGGTCGAGTCGCTTGAATTCGGCGACTACGACCTGGAACTCCTGCAGCAGGATCCTGTCCTTCTCGTTCGGTCCCGCTGCGGGCGTTCAGAACATTAGCACGAGTCGGCTGAAAGAGCGAGACCCTGCCACGCACACTCCTGGAAATTCCACCCATCCACTTCGAGCTTCTGGTAGAACTCCTCAAGCAGCGGCGCCTTCTTCTCGATGGGGATGGTCATGTCGTCCTCGATCGTGTCGAGGCCGCGCAGGACGAGGTAGAAGAGGGCGACCTGGAAATTAAACGGGGTCAGCGCAGGTCCCACATCGATAGAGAGCTTGTACGTACCACTCGTGAGAGATCACCATCAAGCTCGTGGATCACCGCTGCGAAACTTCGGGAGGTGAGGTCGAGGAACTCCCAGCACCGCTTCATCTCCGGTCGGTCCCTATGAGCCGGACTCCTGCTGTCAGCTGCCGCTTTGACGCGACCAAGAAGTCGCGAGCGACAAAGGAGAGTCCCGCCTCACCATCCTGACTCTGGGTTCCTCTCGATGGTGTTGAGCGGGTCGCGCCAGAGCTGCAGGAGGAGAATGAAATCGCGTCAGCGTTCTGTTGGCGAGCCTACAACCGCGTTGGGAGGGTTCAGACGCACCTTGTACGTGATGATAGCCTTGACTTCGCTCGGACGAGTGATCGCGTAGAGGAGGAGGGAGGCAACCTTGGAAGCGTTCGGCATGGTTGCGGTCGGAGCGGGGAGGGTACAGAGGGGTTATATGAGTATGTCCACGAGTACTCCTGCCCTTGCGAGCGAGTGTGGCTGTAGAGGCGGAGTTGTCGCGAGCGGGATGGGGGGAAGTCGACGACGAGGGGAGGAATGCGTATGCGGCGAGTTCGCGTAGACTGGGCGTGTCAGATGCAAGCAGGCAAGCCTCAGCAGGACCTCTGTGCAGCTGTGCAAGGGTGTCGTATGAGGTCAACTCCCTCGACCCACCGCCCGCTCACTCCTCTTCCTCGTCCGCATCGCTCGACCCGCAGAAAGCACGCTGTGAAGGATGGCACTCACTCAAGCAAAGCTCCCAGCACCCCTGCGACTCGCCGCAACCCGCCAAACTCCCCTCTCCCACCGCGAAGCTCACTCTCAGCTCCGCGCCTTCCTCTCCTCCGACGCGTCGTCGCTGCTGAGCGGCTCGGGCGCCGTGTCGCGCGCAGCACTCGTACGACTCGTCCAGGGCCTCGCTGACGAGCTCGACGCGCCTCGACCGGCTGCGATCGCCCAGAAGGAGGACGTCGAGGTCAAGGCGGAAGGTGCGGACGAGGACAAGCAGAAGCAGAAGAAGCGGAGAAAGAGCGACAAGGGCGGCGCAGAAGGGTCGGAGAAGAAGAAGCGGCGCAAGGTCGAGGCATGAGTGAGTGGACGGCCGTCAAAGCAGGGGAGCAAGACAAGGCGGGACAAGGGATCAAGACAAGGCCCTCAGGATGTGTTGCGTCCGCTTGGACAGACAGCGAAAAGTGCTTTGATGCTCTCTGCTCGACGACTGGGCGCGACTGACGGGGTTGGCCGCAGTTGGCGACGCTTCGCCTTCCGCCAGCCTTGCTCTTCGCCTCATCAAACGCATCCGTCGACAAGTTTGACCCGTCCCTTGGGCCGAGAGGATACCTCGCATGTACTGCAAGGCTGAGGAGAAAGGAGATGTAGGAGCCGCCTACAGCTGGCTGGGAGGATAGACAGACGTTGTCAACTCATTCCGAACTCTCGTCTCGTTTTTCCCACGCACGCCAGCTTCTTCCCAGCTACGCTGCTCTGCTGTACCTGCTGCTACAGAGATCTCTCACCCTGCTTGAGAAGCGACAACCGGTCGAGCTCGTCTTCACACCTCTCCTCACGCTTTCGCTCTGCCACCTCTCGCTGCATTCGTTCTCAAGCTTTATTTGCGCTGTCGCCTGCTGGAACTCTTCAGTAGCAGGCTGAACAGGGGATCTCTCGACTTACCGCATCCTCCCAGGGCGTCCGCTTGTCGTCAGCGCTTCATCAGTCTGAGGAAGAGGACCGGGACCTCCTCTCGACCACACCCGTCTGAGACGACCGAAGACCGCACCAACTTCGTTTGAGAAGCGTACGTCGCCCTTGCACCTTCGCCAGCCCGCCAGGCAACGCTCCTTCCGCCTCACCTCCCCCTCGGCATCTCGACCCCACATCAAGGTGAATGAGCCTCGCTCGTCAGGCACTGGCGCGGTGGACAGAGTTAAGCGAGAGAGCCGTCGAGCGGTATCAGAAGCTAGGATGGAAGGGCAAGGTGATGGTGTGGGCGTGGGCGGGACTGCACGTCGTTTTCGGCGCGCTGTTCTGGCTCATTGGGCCTGAAAGGATCTTTGCCTGTGCGTTGAGTCGTCCTTTATCTACTCTCGAGCGGTGTTGACTTGGCGGACATCGCAGGGTTCGCTTCGCTCGCCGATGACGTCCGAGAACTGCCGCACGGATGGCTCATCCTGTCCGCCATCATCGTCGTGACCTCTGTCCCGCCGCTAATAGGCTACGGAACCGCACAAACACTCGTCGGCTTCGCCTACGGCGTCACTCCCGGCTTCTACATCTCGGCTGGCAGTTGCCTTCTTGGCGGAGCGTTCGCCTTCGTACTCTGCCGGAAACTCGTCACCCTCTTTGCGCCCTTCATCCAGCGCGACAAGACCTTCGCGGCCCTCTCGCGCGCCGTACGCGTCAAGGGACTCCCCCTCATCACCCTTCTGCGACTTTGCCCTTTCCCCTATCCTTACTCGAACCTCTTCTTCGCCTCGGTCGAGTCGGTCACATTCTCCGAGTTCATGCTGGCGACGCTGTGAGTCGATGTCACCCTCCGCACTCAGGATTTCTACTGACGTCTGAGCTTACCGGCAGTGCTATCACGCCCAAGCTTCTCCTGTGCGTCCTTTCTTTTGCAGCTCGAACCTTCCAAGCTGATGAGTCCTCATGCAGACACGTCTTCATCGGCCACCGCACCTACCTCTTCGCCGACCCTGCTTCGCGGCACAAGATGGACTCGACGACTCGCTGGATCAAGTGCGTTGTCGCCTGTGCTGCCATTTGCTCGTCTGTCCTGACACCGCTTGCTTCGACAGCGGCATCTTCATGGTCGGCGGTACCATTCTCGGCATTGCCACGTCCTGGTACCTCTACCGTCTCACGATGCGCTACGTCTCCGAGACGACCGACATCCCGGAAGAAGACCTCGAGGCGGGCTTGCTCGATGACGTTGACGAGCTGCTCGCGTCAGCTGGAGGGAGCGCCGTGGCTTCGGATGCTGAGGCTGAGGAGCGGGCGAAGGAGCAGAAAAGGACGGGTACGGCTGAGGGAAGATTGGTGGAGCCTGGCGAGGACGACGCGGTGGTGCGGAAGGCAGCCGTGATTCAGCCAGGCCGCCCATCAGCCGACAACTGGGACGGCTCGGACAATTTCTCCGACTTTGACGAGCGTGCAGAAGCGGGACGAATAGTGGCAGGAGTTGAGGCGAACGGGCACGACCGGCGGGAATCGGTCGCTTGGGGGTTGGACGCGGAGTTGGACTTGATGGGTGATGAGGAGGAGCAGGTCAAGAAGCGGTTAGACTGAGTGTAGAGGTGGGCATGTACGTATCGTTCATCGTCAGCGGCCTTCGCAGGAGCTGCTACGCCGTCCTCACTTCCACCTCGCTTCCATCGCTCAGCGTCGTCAATCTGTGGAAGACTCGCTCGCTCGTGCCTTCGACTTTGCTTCGGCTTGCCTCCGACCACCTCCGACTTCGCCACGACTGATCCGCGGACACTCCGCTTGGCTTCGCCGCGATTGCTGCTGTCTTTCTCCCTCATCCCTTCTCGCCGAACGCTACAAACTATCACAGCAACGCAGCGGGCTGCAGAATCGGAGTCCCTGGGCGCCGAATCCGTCGACTGGTCTCGCGCAGCCGCTGCTCACGCTACAGCGCCTTGCTTGGGGCCCTCATCGAGGGCCGCTCAGGCATGACGCAGCGCCCGGGTACACAGAGTCTCTGGCGACGAGCCTGCGACATTGGGGAGAATGCGGTTGAGCGGTACCATCGACTTGGCTGGACGGGCAAACTCGTCTTCTGGCTTTGGATCGGGCTGTACCTCTTCGCCGGAATTGTCATGCTCGTCATCGGGCCTAACAAGGTCTTTGCATGTGCGTCGCGCTCCTCGCTCAATCGTTCAGCGGGCTCATGCTGCGTCTCCCGCCCAGGGTTCGCCTCTCTCGCCGACAAGATCCGGTCCCTCTCTTACGCCTGGGCAGTCTTCCTCGGCCTCGCCATCGTGCTCTCCTTTCCGCCAATGATTGGGTTCGGCACCGCACAGACGCTCGTCGGTTTCGCATTGAGCCTTTGGCCAGGCTTCCTCGTTTCGGCGGCAAGCTGTCTCCTTGGCTCTGCTTTGGCCTTCCTGTACGTTCACTATCACTTCAATGGATGTCCATGACCGTGACTGAACTGAATCTACAGTATCTGCCGCAGGCTCATCCGCCTCTTCGACTCGTCCATCTCGCGCTTCCCGGCTTTCCAGGCGCTCTCGCAGGCAGTGGCATCCAAGGGTAGAAGCTTCGAGGTGCTTGAGTGCTTCCACGAGATTGCTTGCTGACGATTTGCATGCAGGTCTTCTGCTCATCGTCCTCCTTCGCCTCTGCCCGCTCCCTTTCTCCTATTCGAACGCATCCTTCGCGTCCATCGAGGCCGTTACCCTGACTCGATTCATTCTGGGCACTTGATGAGCAAGATCGTCCGCGGCCCCCTTCCGTAAGCTGACACCGGCGCATTTCACGCGCAGCATCCTCCTGCCCAAAGTCTTTCTGTGCGTCCACTTTGTTGCCGGTGTAATTCGGTGTCAACCCTGACCGCTTTAGGTGCAGCTACGTCTTCATCGGCGACCGGATGTACAAGTTCGCGGACCCAAAGTCGCGCGGCGAGATGGACACTCTGTCGAAGTGGTTGAAGTGCGCCCCCTTCTCCTCCTTACGCGCTCAACACGCTACTGATCGAAGAAATGCTTCGGCAGTGCCGCGTCAATAGGCATATCTGCCATCGTCGCCGTCGGTGCGTCGTACTACGTCTACAAGGTGCGTTGCTTCCGCAAGTCCAGCTATCGCTTCTTCGTTGCTGATGGGATCGGTCTCGGCAGATTACTATACGCTATGCGGCAATCCCGCAAGTCGACGACAGAGCGAGACAAGGCGCGATGAACGGAAGTTCAGGAGGGGGACCTGCACCCGTGGCTTGGAGCAACGACGAGGAGTGGAGCGACTCCGACAGCTCGCGTGGTGGAGATACAAGTGGAGATGACGCCGTTGGCGGCAAGGCAAGGCGGGCCTTCAGGCGAGACGGGAGGTTCAGCTTGCGAAGGTCGAGGGAAGAAGTCGCACCTTTGGACGGCGACGACAGCTTTGAAGGGAGTCGATCACCTGTCGACCACAGTGTATCGGAGGTCGGGCGACACAGACGCTAGCGTGACCTGTGTCACTACTCTCGCGCAGCACGATATCCTGTTTCATTCTTGATTGCACCTCGACGATCACGCGTAGTAGTCGAGGAAGAGCAGGGTGAAGCTGGACATGAAGAGGAAGATGAGAAGCCACATGCGACTCTCCCGCCCGCGCTCCTTCGCCTTCTTGAGCTGCTTGTTCCCTCGGTCCACCTCGCCCGAAACCGTGATCGCCTCCTCCCACAGCTTGTCCGTCAGCTCGGCCTGCTGCGTAAGGTGTATGGCGAGTTGTGACTGGAGCGAGGCGATTTCGAGCAGGGAAAACTCGGCCGTCTTGAGCGACTCGAGGTCGGACTGCGTGGCCTTGAGCAATGCTGACTCTTCCGCCTCAAATTGCTGGATCTGGTCTGCCGTCAAGGTCGAGCCGAGAGGGTTGTCGTCGTCTTCGTCGTCGAAACCCCAACCTGCTTCAGGCGAGACGGGTGCTGGGCGATAGATGGACGGGACCTGCCCGACTTCGCCGCTCGCTCCTGTCCCGTCCGCCTTGCCCTTCCCCTTTTGCGCCGCCCGATCCGCCTTTGCCTTCTCCGCCATCTGTCGTCCCAACTCGTCCATGCCCAGCGCTCCTCCACCGCCCATCCCTCCAAGGCTTTGCGTCTTTTCCAGTTGACGCTTCACACGCGCCTCTTGCTGATCCCGCTGCCGCTGAGAGACGCTCGCGAGCATCGTATTCAGGTAGAAGGTGACGAGGGAGCGGTGTGAGGCGAGGGCTTCGGAGGTGGGCGAGACGGAGGGAGCGACATTGAGGCCAAGGAAGCGGGACAGGCCGGCGTTTGGGTTCTCGCGCTTCTCGGCATCGACGCGGGCTGTGGAGAGGGCATCCATACGAGTCAGCAAGCCATTTGTCAGAGTATGGAAGCGCGCAACACACCTTTCTCGAGCGCCTCGAGTTCCCTGACCCGATCGACCGACTTCCTGAGCGCGACCTTGACCGCAAAGTCGATCTCGTCCCGTTCGCGGTCTGTCAGCCACCGCACTCCCTCCCACGCTGCGAATCCCTTTGACGGATCGAGGTTGCGCTGGGGAGGATTGTGCGATGACGGATGCGAGGACGACCCGAGGTCGAGGTAGGCGCGGCGAATCGAGGCGAGGAAGTTGGAGAACGAGCGCAGGTTGGTAGCCTGTTCCTCGCAAGTGTCAGCCAGCGCAACAACGCCCTCCTGCGAGCCCGTACGCACCACTTGCTCCGCCCGTCGCGTCCAGGCATCCTCCTGCCCCTCTGGACCCTGCCGCGCCCGCCCAAACTTGACTCGTTGCCGCTTGGTAGGTGGCTGAGCGTGTTCCTTCGCCCTGACAGCCTCCTTGAACTCGGCCGTGCGGTCTGTCGCGAGCATTGTGTCGTGTCGAGGTCAGAGAGATGAAGTTGGCTTCCTGCCAGACACCGCTCACCGCTCGTGCTGCTTGCTGGGTGCTCCCGAGGCTACGAGCGAGCTCGTCCAAACGCACCTCGCTACGCCTGACCCGCCCCGCCGCCGCCTCCTCGTTCTTGCGCCCGCCCTCCCCGCACTCGACAACAGCTCTCCTCCACTACCCAGACAACGCCTACAAGCCTGACAGTCGCCATGGAAGTCGAACAGGATCAGCTGAGGCTGCCGACGCCCCCGCCTATTCTCCACGCGCCGACTTTGCGCCTCCCTCCTCCCGAATCGACGCCCAACTTCGCAACCGTCGAATATCCCGCGCCAGTCTCGTCTGTCGACTCTGCTCTCGGTACTATCGGAGGCGTAGAGCGAGCCGCAGTTGCTCTACAGAATCACGTCGACGGAGCGCCGACTTCTCGCCCAATTGAACTCGACTTGGACCCCGAGAACCGCTTCTTCCACACCATTCCTGCGAATGTCGCCTCGACGCACAACATCGTCTGCAAGGTCATCAAGAGGCGGAGGAAGAAGCCCAAAAGGGATGTGGACGGAAACATCGTGGAGGAGGGGATCTACTCTATCGAGCCGGTTGGCATCGAGCACAAGATTGCGCGCTTCCGAGGTCAGTCCTGACATTGCCTGCAGAGTTATCCATGCTGACGCCGCGCTTCGCTCGCAGCTATGGCCGACTTCCAGTACTACCCCGACATTCCCGTCAACGACGAGACGTTCCTCCTCGCCGAAGCCATGAGCAAGCTTGACGGTGCGTCAGCCTTCATCCCAGTGCTGCTAATCAGCTCTCACGAGTTTCCGTTACAGTCAAGGGCATTCGCACGTACCGCCTCTCCCCGCCCAGCGAAGACTTCCCCGAGTCGGCCTTCATCCCTCCTCCCGCCTTCAGCCGTCACCGTCTCCCGCAGAACTTTGAGTGCGTTGCTCGTTAGAACTGGGACGGAAGATGCTGACGAGTCTCCCTCGCAGCATGCGACCTGCCTTTGGCACCACCATCCAAACGACCGAGTCGGGCGTCACGCGTCTCGTCCATGCAGCTCGCAGCAAGACGCGCACAATCCGCTCGATCATGTCGTTCGAAGAGCACGTTCCGGCTGGACCTGAGGAAGTCCTGTTGAAGGAGCTTGGAAGGGAGGTGCCGAATGCGATCGAGGCGAGGTTGATGCACTTGCTGGAGGAGCGGCCGGTGTGGACGAGGCCGGCGATGATGAATCAATTGACTCCTGCAGAGGTCAAGATGGCCCATGCGTGCGTCTTCTTGCCTTTTCTCGGCCCGCTTCGGACGAGGGACAGACCATGTCTTCCCCTCGCAGGAACAAGTCGCAATGCTGGGCTCGCGTCGGCTACACGTTCTCCGACGGTCCCTTCCGCGACCTCATTGTGCGCTTCGGCTACGACCCTCGTCAGCACCCCGAAGCTCGCTTGTGCGTCTCCTCTCTCCCCCCTACATCACCTGATCCGCCCTGACCACAATCGACGCCTGCAGCTTCCAGCACATCACGCTCCGCAACCCCGAGAACGTCCGCATCCGCCCTCAGCCCGGCATGCGTGCACTCTCGCAGGCGCACTTCTCCGGCACGAAGCCGAACACTGACCGCGCCTCAAAGTGAGCTCTCAAAGCCATCACTACGAGAATCTAAGCTGACATGCATCGCGCGCGACAGCCTCTCGCACATCTTTGACGGCAAGCAAGTCTACAGCAAGATTGGCCACTTCCAGCTCTGCGACATCTCCGACCCGCTCTGCCGCTCGCTTATCGACTCGCCCGACGGCGTCCTCGACTTCTGCTCGAGCGACATCAACGAGGGCTGGTACGCATACGACTACTTCGAGCAGATTCGCCAGGTCGTCAGGCGGAAGTGGCAGGGCTTGCTCAACGGCATCGAGGTCACGACGGAGGATTGCGATGATTTGCTTAGGTGGCAGTGTAGCAAGGAGAGTCGGGTTGGGCAGGGCAGGAGGAGGGCAGCGGCGAAGGCGACGAATGCATTGACGGGCGTCGCGCCGAGGAAGAAGAAGGGCGCGAAGAAGGCGGAGGGCGAAGCGCCCACGTCGGAGCACGGCGGAGACGGCGAGCAGGACGAGCAAGACGGCGAAGAGTCGGAGGAAGGTGGGAGCGGATCAGGCAGCGGCAGTGAGGGCGGCGCAGGGACTCCTTCGCAGAAGGGCCGGCCGTGGACCTCGAAGAAGCCGATCAGGACCGCGCCGTGGGAGAAGCCCAAGGCCAAGCGTTCGAAGGCGAAGCAGCCGGAGACGGAGGCCCAGCTGGTGCGTTCTCTTCGCTTCCCTTCGAGGACGACTCGCTGATCCTGATGTTTGACGCAGCTCTCCCGCCTGAGTCGCTCGGCGAGGCGCAGCAGCGTTCGCGCCGGGATGTCGGTCACTCCTTCGGCGAGCGCGATCGAGGAAGAGCAGGAAGGCGAGGAGCAATAGCTTGTCGGGGAACTGGAATGGCTGCACGTTCACTCGATCCGGGCCCACTTGCGAGCAGTCGCGACGGTCGGCGACCTTGACAACATGTTCCGCCGTAAGACCATGTGGCGCAGCGACAGGAAATCCAGCTTGAGGGAAGGGATGTGCAAGTCGAGGTCCCTCCCGCCGCATCTCACCCGCCGCAACTCCTTCGGCCTGTCTCTCCACCCGCACCCGCGCATGCCCAGATGATTCCTCCTCATGCGTTACACACAACCATTACGGCCCGAGAGCAAAGGCTTCGAATCCACCTCTCCCCCTTGACGCGTTCCGGCGGAGCGCAACTCATGCCGAAGCAGCCTCCTTGCGCGCGGCAGCGAGCGCCTTCTGGGTGCCCTGAGCAGCGTAGCGAGCGTTGCGGCGGAACTTGGGGTCGACCTGCGTGCGCGAGTGGATCAGCTCGAGAGGCTTCGAGGCGGAGGAGCGAAGTGGGACGTACACCCTTCATCGAGGGGTACTTGTTGGTCTTGGGCTTCTTGATACCGTTGCGGTGAGCCTTCTGTATACGCCAGAACCGTGCCGCACCCCCGCAGGAGATGCCGTCAGCTCAGCCGTCCTCGAAGCGACCCTGTCCTCCCGAGCTCGAAGGGGGACGAGTGAGCGGCTCCGCACCTTGTTCTGGTTGTGGTTGGTGTGGTTCTTGGACTTGGCCATCTTTGATCACACCACCTGTGCACGGGCAAGCGCCGCACGAGCGAGGGAAGCGTGTCAGCGAGCGAGTCCTCGTTTCGAGGCGGGACTCAGCTGCTGGAGGCCTCGATACGCCCAACGCCGCCCTCTAGACCGCTCTGCCTGCCAATAATCCACTTCAACAGGACTTCCCGACCCTCCGACGTCCTCAGCACACCCCCAAATCAACCCCGTCCCGCCGTCGCCCTCCCTGCCCGAGTTTGCGAGCTTCGAGCCCGGCGAGTCGTCTGGCGGTATGGCGGGCGGCGTAGGATGATGAATGGTCGTGCGTGACGGGTAATGGTGCGTTTGAATCGAGCAAGCAAGCCTTACGGGAGTCTGTGAGGGCAGGTCCAGAGGGCAAAGGGAGGAGCGCGAGCAGGAGAGGGGGTTGGCTTCGTCACTGCACTCGCCCACCGGCTGGGGGCGTGGCTGTTGCTATGTGGCTGTCCAGAGGGTCACGGATCCTGCTTGTACGGACCCGCACGCCAGCAGCTGCTCGCGTTGTCGAGGACGCTCCCTCCTCCCGCTCGACTCGACGACGCCTGGCGACAACCTCGCACAGCCACCGCTGGTCCGTTGCGTTCGAGCAGGGCCATACGCAGGAAGATACGCACACGCCGGGGCATGGCCTGGCAGCAGCGTGACTGCTGCGCCTCCTCGACAGCAACGAACGTCTTTCTCGCTAATTCGCCAGCTCGCCCAGGACGGTCAGGCTTCGTCCAGCCTTTCGAGAGTCTCAAGGTAGTCTGCCAATGCTTCGCTCTTCCTCTCGCGCTACGGGCACAACGGCTCGCCCGGTCTCCCTGTGCCCACCCCTTCGCCTCAACTACAGCTCTCAAGCAGCCGGTCTCGCAGAGATAGGCTGCCGTCACAAGGTCGACAGACGGGAAGGGGCTCACACTTGCGTTGCAGGCGTCGGGGAATCCGTTGCGCCGTGTTTCCCGCTCCTCACCACCGCTGCCAGGCTGGGCTTCACCGGCGCTCCTCACCCGCTGCCGAATGTAGCCAACCAGTCCTCTCAAGGCGCCATCTCTCGCTGCATCGGGCGTCCACCTCAACGCTTCTATTGCTGCGGGACAGGCAAACACTTTTGGCGACCTCCTTCTTCGCTAGACCCCGAAGTACGGCTGACTACTCGCTGGTCCCAAGGTATGCACCGGCGCTGGCGCAGCGCGGGACGGCCGATGCCAGCGCAAGACCCCGCTACTCCCTCTGTACGGCTTGCAGGCTCACTATCAGCGCTTTCGCCGGCCTGATCTCTTTTCGCTGCGTATCTTTGTAAGGCCACGCTTACGCTGGCATCGTCGCTCGCTAGGCGGCGGCTCCTCGGCGAATGCTTCGCCTTGCGCACACCAACGCATGGGCTGTCAGCGGCGGAAAACGGCAATTCACCGCGCTGAGAAAGCCCCGAATCCTCCTCGTCAACCCCCTCTCGTACGAGTGGCACCCTGTCGCCGTGCAGAACTCAATTCATCAAAGATTTGCCGCCGCAACCGGACGGGCGGGTGTGGAGCCGGTGCCAGCGAAACCTGCTTTCGCACCGAAGCAGAGTGAGGCTCGCCCGTGCACCACCCTCACGGCTCGCCTGAAGCTGTCATTGCCGGTATCGCTCTCCGAGATGCTAATGAGCTCAGAACCGGCGCCAGCTAGCCCTGCGAAGCGTGTTGGCGGAGTGACAGCGGGAAGGCGGCGTCCGGCGAGCACAGTTCACTTCGCTGAGAATTTCCCCCGACGGCAGTTCCGTCTCCGAGCGAGGAGCTTCCTCGGATGCCCAGCCAAACTTGCTGATCAAGCCGACTCACCCGCTCGAGTCCTCCTCGCCCTCTGGCCGCACGGACTCGTCGCTCGACGGACGCTCGCCCTCGTTCGAGTGGTGTTCGCTTGATTGCTACATCTTTGCTCGCGCCTGCTACTGCTTGCGGAACCGTCAGACGCGCGCACGCCCTTGGCGGATCTCTCCAACCTCGGCCTCCTCCACTTCGCCCTGCGAAAACACCGCTCCACTACTGTACCTCTCGCCGACCTCGCCACCGTCTCTTTCCTCGACTATCGACAACACACCTACAATGCAGACGCACGCGCCGATTGGCGGCGTCGCGACAGGCGGCGTGATCCCTACCCACGACCAGATCGAACTCGAGCAGCGGCACATTGGGCGACCCGATGACAGGGCTTCGACTGAGACGCTTGCGAACGGCAACGACACTGCTGCCGAGCAGAAAGGCGAGTCAGTCAACGTCAAGCGTGCAGAATCGCAGTTCGAGGTGTGTTCGCGTCGGCTCCTCGCGGTCAGCCATCTTCCGTCGATTGACCTTGCCTCCCTTCGTAGGACCTTCGCCGCGAACTCAGTCGCAGCTCGTCCCTCCACCGTGTACGGACCGGTCAGAAGGACGTTGAGAAAGAGGGATCCGAGTCGAGCGAGGACTTTGACCTCCTCGCGTACTTGCGAAACGAGGCGGATCAGTACGATGCGGCGGGCTTCAAGCGCAAGGTTGTCGGCGTCTCGTGGGACAAGCTGCGGGTTACAGGAAATGGCGGTATCAAGGTGCGTTTGGACGTCCCTCAAAGAGAGGTCCGCATATTGACGTTCGCTCTCCCTCGCTACAGATGCACATTCGCACTTTCCCCGACGCGATCATGGAGGCAGTCATGTGGCCCGTCATCAAGTTCATGAAGATGACCAAGACAGGCTGGTTCAAGCCGTCGCCGAAGGACTTGCTCCGCGAGTTTGACGGCTGCCTCAAGCCTGGCGAGATGTGTCTCGTACTGGGTCGTCCTGGATCCGGGTCCATCTCGCTGTTATGCTTCAGATGGGGTATTCGCTGACGCTTCTGCCCCCGCAGTTGCACGACGTTTCTCAAGACAATCGCCAACTCCCGCCTGGGCTACCTATCCGTCGAGGGCGACGTCTCATACGGCGGCATCCCCGCATCGGAGATGGCGAAGCGGTATCGTGGCGAAGTCGTCTACAACCAGGAAGACGACGTGCACGCCGCGACTCTGACCGTTGCCCAGACCCTCATGTTCGCCCTCCGCGTCAAGACGCCCGGCAAGCTCCTGCCCGGCCAGACGAAGAAGTCGTTCAACAAGGAGGTCATGGACTTGCTCCTGCGCATGCTCGGCATCCCTCACACCAAGAACACCAAGGTCGGATCGGCCTTCGTTCGCGGTGTCTCCGGCGGCGAGCGCAAGCGTGTCTCGATTGCCGAGATGATGGCTACTCGCGCTTCCGTTTGCTCTTGGGACAACTCGACGCGCGGTCTCGACGCCTCGACGGCTCTCGACTACGCCAAGGCGCTCCGCATCCTCACCGACGTCCACCAGATGGCAACCTTCGTCTCGCTCTACCAGGCCGGCGAGGGCATCTACGACCAGTTCGACAAGGTCCTCGTCATCGACGCAGGTCGCCAGGTCTACTTCGGTCCGGCGAAGGAGGCGCGCGCCTACATGATGTCGCTCGGTTACGCCGACCTTCCTCGCCAGACGACTGCCGACTACCTCACCGGCTGCACCGACCCGAACGAGCGTCAGCTCGCGCCCGGTCGCTCCGCCGCCGACGTCCCGTCGACGTCCGAACAGCTCGAGGAGGCGTTCAAGAAGTCGGAGATCTACTCGAGGATGATTGCCGAGCGCGACGAGTTCCGCTCGCGCTGCGAGTCAGATGACCGTGCACGCAACGAGTTCCGCGAGGCCGTCGAGAAGGGCAAGCGGCGCGGAGTCGGCAAGAAATCGCCCTACACCGCGTCGTTCTTCGCCCAGGTTTGGGCGCTCGTCATCCGCCAGTTCCAGCTCAAGGCTCAGGACAAGGTCGACCTCGCCGTCTCATGGACCACTGCTATCATCGTCGCTCTCATCACCGGGTACGTCTGCAGAGGAAGCCGGCGAGGAAACTCGTTGACGACTTCCCTCTCCTCCTGGGCTTCCTTCAACTTCGCACTCTCGCTGACGTTCTCACTTCTCCCTGACTCACGTTCCATCCCTCCGCCGCCTTGTCTGACCCTTCAACAGCGCCGTGTACTTCCAGATGCCTGAGACGGCATCGGGTGCTTTCACTCGCGGCGGCTTGATCTTCATTGCCCTCCTCTTCAACTCTTTCCAAGCCTTCAACGAGCTCCCGACGCAGATGATGGGACGCGCGATCATCCACAAGCACAAGACGTTCGCCTTCTACCGCCCCTCTGCCGCCGCCCTCGCCGCGACCATCGCCGACGCGCCAAACAACATGATCCAGATCCTCGTCTTTGACATCATTGCGTACTTCATGTCCGGGCTCTACAGAAGTGCCGGCGCCTTCTTCTCGTTCTACGTCACGGTCCTCGGCGGATTCTTCGCTCTCGCCGGATTCTTCCGCCTTCTCGGTACCTTGTGCCAGAACTACGACCAGGCGTCGCGCCTTGCGTCCGTAATCATCACGTTCATGATCACCTACGTGCGTCCTCGACTGCGTTTCTCTCGGACGGGCTCGCTGACGGTCTTTCCCTGTGCAGTCCGGCTACCTCATCCCTACCTTCGCCCAACAACGCTGGCTGTTCTGGATCAGTTACATCAACCCTCTGTTCGTCTCTTCTCCTTTTTTGACGGTGGTAGATGTCCAGGACGCGCACGCGACTCTGCGAAGGTCGTCGGTTGCGCCGTGTCGTGCTGCCCTCTCCCCCTTCAGCTTCTGCTCCTCGCTTGGAGATCGACTGACATCAGCTTCTCACGTCTATAGCCAATTCGCCTTCTCGGCAGCCATGGCGAACGAGGTTAGCCTTCCGTTCTTTCTTGCGAGGTTGACGACACCTCGCTGACTTCTCTTTCCTCGCAGTTCAAGCGCATCAATCTCAATTGCGACGTCTCGTACATCACACCGCACAACGTCAACGGCCAGCTCACGCAATACCCCGGCACGCTCGGCCCGAATCAGGTTTGTACGCTCCCCGGCTCGTCGCCAGGCAACCCTATCGTTCCAGGCGGCGCGTACATCTCAGCGAGCTTCGACTACAATGTTGCGGACCAGTGGCGCAATTGGGGTATCACCATCGTTTTCTTTGTCGGATTCACGCTCATCCAAGCCTACCTCGCTGAGCGCCTCGACCACGGCGCGGGCGCTCCCGCCATCAACGTGTTCGCCAAGGAGAACAAGGAGCGCAAGAAGCTCAACGAGGAGCTCGAGAAGAACAAGGATGCGTATCGCAAGGGCGAAGTCGAGCAGGACCTGTCCGACCTCGTCCAGACTCGCAAGCCGTTTACCTGGGAGGACTTGACGTGCGTCCCGCTTCTAGAAGCGTCTTCCAGCGTTGTACTGACCTCGACTCCGTGCACGACAGCTACACCGTCCCGGTTCCCGGCGGACAGCGCCAGCTCCTCGACCACGTTTTCGGCTACGTCCGTCCCGGTCAGCTTACAGCTCTCATGGGTTCCAGTGGCGCCGGAAAAACGACTCTCCTCGACGTCCTCGCGAACCGCAAGACTATCGGTGTCATTGGAGGCGAGCGGCTCATCGCTGGCCGCACGCCCGGCAAGGAGTTCCAGCGCGGCACGGCTTGTACGTTCCTTATCTCGCCCAGCTCTCGCGCGACCCGCTACGCGCTTTCTACTTTTAGGCGTGTGCAGACGCGGCTTGCGCTGGTAACCGTGTTGCGACTATCCGCTGACCTTACCTTTCCGAACGAACAGATGTCGAGCAGCTCGACGTCCACGAACCTACGGCCACCGTTCGCGAGGCTCTTCGCTTCTCGGCGTACCTTCGTCAGCCCGGCCACATCCCGAAAGCAGAGAAGGATGCCTACGTCGAACAGGTCATCCAGCTTCTCGAGCTTGAGGACAAGGCGGACGCCATGATTGGTTTCTCTGGCTTCGGTCTCGACGTCGAGGCACGCAAGCGTGTCACCATCGGTGTCGAGCTCGCTTCGAAGCCGCAGCTGCTTCTCTTCCTCGACGAGCCGACCTCGGGTCTCGGTGAGTTTTCGCTCTCCTCTCGCTCGTGGTCCGTTTCTGACTCGTACCTTTGCCATTCACAGATGGTCAGAGTGCCTACAACATCGTTCGTTTCCTCCGCAAGCTCGCCGCTGCCGGTCAGGCCATCCTTGTTACGATTCACCAACCGAACGCCATGCTTTTCGAGAACTTCGATCGCCTCCTCCTGGTGCGTCGAACCCTGCGAGAGAGTGTGCATCGGTTGCTCACAGACTTCGCTTTCGTACACGTAGCTCAAGGCCGGCGGCCGCACCGTCTACTTCGGCGATATCGGCAAGGTTCGTCCAACTTACTTCTCCACTTTTCGCAACGCAGCCGCCTCTGACATATCACGTGCTCTACAGGACTCTCACGTTCTCCGCGAGTACCTCGCCAGGAACGGCGCGATCTGCCCCGACAACGCCAACCCTGCCGAGTACATGCTCGAGGCTATCGGCGCTGGTTCCGGCCGGCAGGTCGGCAACAAGGACTGGGCCGACATCTGGAACGACTCTGAGGAGTTCCAGGTTGTCAAGCGCGAAATCGACGACCTTAAGCGCGACGGACTTGCCATGCCTGAGGACACAGACCCGTCGCTCAAGAAGGAGTGTAAGTGGCCTTTCGCACTCTCGTCGAGGATCAGTCTAACGACAGTTACAACGCAGACTCAACGCCGTTCTGGACGCAGTTCCAGGTCGTCATCTCGCGGACCTTCCTCTCGTTCTGGCGTTCCCCCGACTACGTCTTCACCCGTCTCTTCAACCACATCTCCATCGCCCTCGTCGTCGGCCTCACATTCCTCAACCTGAGCGCGTCGTCAGCTTCGATGCAGTACCGCGTCTTCGTCTGCTTCTTCGTGAGTCTTAACTCCTCCCTCCCGCCTCTCCGCCTTGCGCTGACCCTCCCCGACCTCCGCTACTAGGTGACCGTCCTCCCCGCGATCATCATGTCTTCCATCGAGCCCACGTTCATCCTGGCGGTGCGTAGGACTTCCTGGCGACTTAGGCGGACTCTCCAAGGTGAAGGGAAGCTGACCCGCCCTCTCCCCGCCTCTCACAGCGCATGACCTACGTCCGCGAAGCTTCTTCGAAGATGTACTCGCCCGTCGTGTTCGCCCTCTCCCAGCTGGCCGCCGAGACGCCGTACTCGGTCCTCTGCTCGATTGTTTTCTTCCTACTCATTTACTACCCTCCCGGCTTCAACACGGACTCCAACCGCGCCGGCTACGCCTTCGCCATGATTCTCTTGACTGAGATGTTCTCGGTGACGATGGGCCGTGCGTAGCCATCTCTCCTCTACCGAGAAAACTCCGCTGGTTGCTGACCTTCCCGTTCCTCCTGCTTTTGTTGCTCGCGTCCTTTGACGTTCGCCTCGTCCGATATGCGCCTTTCTTGACAATCGCAGAGGCCATCGCAGCGCTCGCGCCGTCTATCTACGCGGCAGGAGCCGTCAACCCGTTCCTGCTCGTCGTCTTCTCGCTGTTCTGCGGCGTCACCGTCCCGCGACCGAACATGCCTGGCTTCTTCCGAGCCTGGCTCTACTGGCTCGACCCGTTGACCTGGCTCATCGCCGGTCTCGTCACGAACGAGTTGCACGACCTCCGCGTTACGGTGAGGCGCTCTCTCTCCTCCTTGTGTCGGAGCTCGAGCTGACCTTCTCGTGTGCCTCGTTCGCATAGTGCCTCGACTCGGAGTACCGCATCGTTCAGCCGCCCGCGGGCCAGACGTGCTCGGCGTGGCTTCAGCCGTTCGTCTCGGCGGCCGGAGGGTACCTCGCCAACCCGGATGCGACGAGCAACTGCCAGTGTGCGTCTCGCCCTGCAGCTTGCCTCGCCCTTTATGTCGTGGCTGATTCACTTCTCTTCGTACGCAGACTGCCAGTACTCGGTCGGCGACCAATTCTTCGAGCCGCTGGGCCTCAGCTTCTCGGAACGTGGCCGCGACCTCGGCATCTTCCTCTGCTACTCCGTCTTCAACTGCTTCCTCACCGTCCTCGGCGCGACGTTCCTTACCAAGGTCTACAACAAGCGGTAGACGGGCGACGTCAACACCACCGACTTTCGCCTCGAAGGCCATGTCGACGCCTCCGGTCCCCCTTCTTCCGGTCTGACGACCCTCACACTCGTTCAGCATCTTCATAGACAGCCCGCCAAGTCGCGGCGGTATTCAAGGCGGTACTAGAGACTCCAAGACTTCATTTTTGTCCTCACTAGTTCGCTTCTCCTTTCGCTCTTCATCCCTTTGGCTCATTGCCTTCACAGCATTCCTTCTTTCTCTACCTCGTTCTTCCAACCTTCCCTTTGGACGTACAACGCAATTGAGGAATCAGCCAGCGTATCCCGGCTGCCTTCCCCTGCCTGGTTAGACTTCTGTATTTGACGGTGAAGCGGTCGTGGAACCTTCTTCGAGTCTCAGGATCCCCTCGAGGCAGACAAGGGAGCATACTCGCTGTTTCCGAAGCGAAGGAAGCGAGGAGAGCTGAGAAAAGGCCAGTTGTCTCCTGCGAGGAGGGTCGAGGGGTCGTCTGCCTTCCACCACTCGACGGCACCTGCTGGACACGCTCGCGAAGCCTCATATCGCTTCAGCTCGCTAGTCTGAGACGGTTGCGCGCCCTTCGATCCGTCCAGCGACGACCAACCCTTTCATCGCCTCCGCCCTCACGACTAGGCGACAACTCACCTCACGACGGCTGTGCGCGCTTCAGAAGCTTAATAGAGGACAGACAGGATGGCTGGACAGTTCCTGGGAGTCACGCCGCCCATCTCGGTCGCGCCGCCGACCGCCCGCGACCTCGAGGTCAGCAAGACGCTCATCCAGGAGCTTAAGGACAGGGGAATTTACGAGTCGGCGGAAGAGGGACGTAATCGGTGAGTATCGGTACTGGGTATTCCGACAATTCGGCAGGCTTGATGCGAGAGCTGACCTTGCGCGACTCGTCGTCTCCCTCCAGCGAGATGGTTCTCGGCCGCTTGAACAAGCTCGTGAAGGAGTTCGTCTATCGCTCATCCATCAACCACGGGCTTTCGGATGCGAAGGCGCGCGAGGCGTGAGTCCAGGTTCACGATCCGTCTCTCCTCCCATTCATCGCTGACCCTCCACTTCCTCGACAGCGGCGGCAAGATCTTCACGTTCGGGTCCTATCGACTGGGAGTGCATGGCCCAGGATCCGATATTGATACCCTGCTCGTCGTCCCCCGGCACGTTGAGCGCGAGGAGTTCTTCTCCCTATTCGAGCAGATGCTGAAGGAGACGGAGGGCGTCCTCGAGGTCACGGTGCGTTCCAAACGAGCGAAAGAGTCGCCATATGCTTATCGCTTCTTCTCGCAGGGCGTCCCCGAAGCCTTCGTGCCAATCATCAAGTGCACCTTTAGCGGCATTGACATTGACTTGCTCTTCGCCCGCCTCGCCGTCCCGACTGTGCCCGACGACCTCGACCTGAAGGATGACAACCTGCTGCGGAATATTGACGACCGGTGTCTGCGGAGTTTGAACGGATCGCGGGTGACGGACGAGATGCTGCGACTTGTGCCGGACGTGCCGGTCTTCCGAGAAGCCTTGAGGACGATCAAGCTGTGGGCGCAGCGTGAGTTGGCCGTGGTTTCCTCATCCTCGGACGCACTGATCAGACTTCTGCGCAGAGCGAGCGATCTACGGGAACGTGATGGGCTTCTGCGGAGGTGTCGCTTGGGCGATGTTGGTTGCGCGCATCTGCCAGCTGTATCCGAAGGGCTGCGTTGGCAGCATCATCTCTCGGTGTGTCACGGGTCTTGTCTCCGTCACGTGCGCTCGTCGCCGACCGCAAGTTTGCGCAGATTCTTCATCATCATGCATCAATGGCAGTGGCCGGCGCCTGTTCTGCTCAAGCCAATCGAGGAGGGTCCGCTGCAAGTCCGCGTCTGGAACCCAAAGGTGCGCACGCATCACTACCTGATACCGGCGCCGCGTGCTGACTTTCTGATCTCGACAGCTGTACCCCTCCGACCGCTCTCACCGCATGCCCATCATCACGCCTGCCTACCCTTCGATGTGCTCGACCCACAACGTCACGCTCAGCACGCAGCAGATTATGACGGCCGAGTTCAAGCGCGCCGCCGACATCGTCGACAAGGTGTTCGTGGGTTCGGCAAAGTGGAGCGAGCTCTTCCAGCCTCACGACTTCTTCAGCAAGTACCGGTACTACCTGCAAATCACCGCCAGTTCGGGCAGTGCCGACGTCCAGCTCAAGTGGTGCGTTGTCGACCTTCCTCTCTCGCAAATCTGCATGCTCACGCAGCGTTCCGCAGGTCCGGCACGGTCGAATCTCGCATCCGACAACTCGTCATGAAGCTCGAGTACGTCGACACGCTCCTTCTCGCGCATCCGTTCGTCAAGAGCTTCGACCGCGTCAACTACTGCATCAACGAGGAGGAGCAGCGGGCGGTCTCGATCGGTGAAGTGCCTGCGGCCGTCGACAAGCGGACAGAGCAGGACTTGATTGCAGGACAGGGCGGGACGGTGTACACGACGACGTTCTACATCGGCTTGCAGATTGAGCGGAAACCAGGTGCGCCTCGCTGAACTCGTCGGAGACTTGCGCTCCTCCGCTGATCTTGAGGCGGCGCAGCGGGCGACAAGGGACCGCGGAAACTCGACATCTCGTACCCGACGAACGAGTTCACCAAGCTCGTCAAGATGTGGGACAGCTACGACCCGGACTCGATGGGCGTCATCGTGCGCTACATCAAGAGGTGCGCTTCGCCGGCTTGTTCGAGAAGGACGTCTGCTCATGCCTGCACGACAGCACCGCTCTTCCCGCATACGTGCATGCCGGACGAGAACCCGAACCGCCGAAGACGGGCGGTGTGAAGAGGGCAAAGACGAAGGTGCGGTCTGCTGACCTTGTCCCCGATCGCCTGCTTGCGCTTTCTGAGTACGCCATGGACGCCCCACTGACTCGCCTCGATCTCCCCGTTTCCCCGCTCTGCCCGCACTGACCCGTCCGCAGAAGGCGAACGGTACCAACGCAGCGACCGCCGCCTCGCCTGCTCTTGCCAGCGCCGCGACCGACGACAGCGACGCAGAACACCTCAACAAGAAGCACCGCGCATCGTCTTTCGTACCGGAGAACGCTACGCCCACCCCTGCAGGTCTGCCACCCGTCCCGGTCGACAATGGCCCGATCCCGACACCCTTGGAGAAGACGCGCGAGGCGGCCGAGGTCGCTGTCGGTGCGACTCCCATCGGCGAGACTCCAGGTGCTACTGCTATAAACCCGCCCCCGACCGCAGCCTCTGCTGCGCCCTCACAACCCTCGGTCACGCTTCCCGGCCTCAACTCGACTCTGCCTGTGGGTGAGCTGAACGGTTTGGCTTCGGCGGTAACGAACGGCGGACCGCAGAACGAGGCGGCGTTGATGGCGGGCGAGACGCCTGCCCCTGTCGCCGCCTCGACGGCTCCCGCATGAACCGGTTGGCGCGCTTGCGTGCCATGGGGACGTTTCACGCTTTCTTCTCTGCATTTCGTTCCAATTTCTCTGCACATCCATCTCACAACGCACACAATCTTTCGACGACCACCTCTTTCGCAACAAACAGCCTCGCCTTGCCTCGCATTGTACTCCCTCTCGCCCTCTGTCTGTAGTTCCTTTCCCTGTTTGTGGGTAGTACATAGGCTGCTAATGGCGACCCCTGCTTTCCACTCGCCTGCGCGCTGTTGTCCAAAGACGAGTCGACCCGCTCGAGTTGAGGGACTTGGCCCCTTGACCTTCGCAACAACCCAACCTCGCTCCCCCGTCGACCATGCCGCCCACTCGCAAAGCCGCCGCCGCCGCACGACGCAGCATGTCGCGCACCAAGGAGGACGAGAAGCCCAAGGGCCTCGCAGCAAGGAGGAGTCGCCCGGCGGGTGCGAAGCCCACCATGGTCGACATGTCCGTCGCGCTGGACGTGTGTGGCGTCGTGTACCGTGTGCTGACTCGCTGGACTCGCTTCTGCACCGCGCGCTCGCCCGCTCGACCCGCCGTCGCCGACATCTCGCCATTGTTTGCCTCCCCACCTCCTCTCGCGACCCGCTGACAGGATCGCCGTGCGTTCTCTCGCTGCCTTCTGACGCTCGTGGACAACGTTATACTGACCTGCTTGCTTTCCAACATCGCTTGCCCGCCCGCGCCTGCCTTCGCACCGTTCTCGTGACCCTCTTTCTCGACATCCTCATTCAAATCGCCCTTGATATCGCGTCGCCCTCGCTCTGCGCTTCCAGGAGGCTATCGAGAAGGCTGGAGATGCCCATGACGGCGCCTCGAGGCCGCTCATCAAGAAGTGCGTCCGTTCCCACCCGTTCCCGGTCACCCAACGCCTTCTTCCCGTCCCCCTCGTCCCGCCTGTCGCCATTGTTTGTTCGTTGGGCCTGAAAAGCTTGATACTGACTCACTGACCGACGCAGGTTCATCATCAGCAAGTTCAAGCTCGAGGACAACGCGACTACCGACGGCCGCATCGCGACCGCCATCCGTCGAGGCAACGAGTCTGGCGTCTTTGCCCTCCCGAAAGGCTTTGGCGGCAAGATCAGGATTGCTGAGGATGTGCGTGCTACTCTCCGCTCGCTCTTACGGGCACACGTCGAGGCGTGGGAGCTGAACTGACCGGGCCACGTTCTGCAGGGTGACAAGCCGTACGTCAAACCCAAGGCGGGCTCGAAGGGCACGAAGCGCACTTCCACCGGCACGAAGAAGGCGCGCTATAGCTTCATCTCTCCCGCTTCACGTCAACAAGCCTGACCGCTTCCCTTCCACCTCGCAGACTGCGACCTCGTCTTCGAGTACCGCGAGGAAGCCGCCTGCCAAGCGCACGACCGCCAACTCGACCGGTACGGCGAGGCAGAAGCAGAGCGAGGGAGGCAAGCGGGGTGCTGCCAAGGTGCGTCTCGCCAATCGCGATGTTTCCAACGTCTTCCCGTGGCGATGCCGCAAGTTGCTCAACGCGTGCTTTCTGACTGATTTGCTCTCCATAGACCAACGCCAAGCGCGGTGCCACGACCTCGACCATGACGTCCTCTAGGGTGCGTTCGCGCTGCTTTCGCTCGCCTCCCGGATCGTACCGAGCACTGGAAACTCACTTTTTTTTTGCGACGGTAGAGCACGCCAGCGAAGAAGACGGCCAGCAAGTCGTCGCCGAGGGTGAGTGACGGATTGTCCTGCTGCGTAGCGAGATGGACGGCTGATTCGCCCTCATCCGCCTACAGAAGACGACCTCGAGCTCGTCGAGGCGTGCTCGTAACTGAGCGCGCTGCTGCAGCTTCGGCCAACCCGTTGACGCCCACTCTGCTCACCCGCTCACCCCGAGTCCACCTTTCGCCTTTCCATCTCCCCACACGGACTTCTCATCTCTGCTCTGGTCTGACTGTACCCTACGCTCGTCTGTCTTTCTCTCCTGCGTTTGTGCTCTCGTCCACCTGTCGTCTTTCCTCCCTCCCCTCCTCTGTCTGTGCAACGAACTCTGTCGCTTTCAGCCTGCTTTGATTTCCGTGTGCGAGTAGGGCAGTCCTAGTCGTCTTTCAAGGCTGGGCGAAGCTTGAGAAGCGCCAAACGGAATGTTGAAGGGAGACAATCGCGAACAGTTGGCGAACAGCGAGAACGAGGAGGAGGAGAGCGAGAACCACGCCTGCGGACGCCGTCGCAGCGCGTGATTGTCATCTACAGCTCCATTGGGGTGCTTCCACTCGACCAAGGCCCGCCCTGCCAGTTCGCAGTGTGCTGTCCTTCGCCAACCTCTCGCCGACGACGCTCTCCCGCTCCCTCCGCCTTATACCCGCCAACCATGTCTGCACCAAACGTTTTCCGCCGCACATACTCGTTCCTGGTGCGTGCGAGCTCACCCAGCTTGGCCCATGCGGAGGACGCGAGCTGACTGCCTCTTCATCACTCGCCTCTTCCCCCCGCTCCTCGATCCGCCGTCGCCTCGCACCTGCTTGACCGAATGACTGGATGAACTGAATGGCACGGCATGGCTTGGCGCGTGCAGCAACGGTCAGCACACGAGCAGCCCGCCATCTTCTACTCGCTCGCTCTCGGCGCCGTCGGTTCGTCCCCCTCACTCTCCTTGTCGCCACGCTGGGTATCCAGGCTTGCTGACATGTCCATTCCGAGGGGATGTAGGTCCCGTGCTGGTTGTGGCTGTCCCGCCGATCCGGAAGCGGTACTTTGGGTACAAGCCGGCCGAGCGTATTCCTCAATCCTACCCTCGTACGTCCAGCTTCCTTTCATGCTCCTCGAATGCAGAGAAAGGACGAGCTGACCCATTCCCTCTTCGTCGTCCCTCCTCTCTACGCTTACACGCCGACTCGACGTCTTCACGATCCCTCTCTCCTGCCGACACAGTGCCGAGCCGACCAAGGCAAGCGACGGAGGGCTACGAAGACGGCTGGGAGCTCAAGGCGTAGGGAGGCTCGGGATACGCGGACGGAGGCGGGCGAAGAGCGGGCTAGACGGGTGCTGTGCATCGACAGACGATTCCTTCCACAGCGGCACACGAGCGGCGATCTGCGGCGCTGCTGAAAGCCTGAGCAGGGATTGGAGAGGTCTCTAGCGGAGTACAGCGCGATGCGAGACGGTGGATGACCAACGCCCGGCTATCAGAACAAACTGCGTTTCCAAGGGTCGAATCTACTTGAGAGCGGTCGCTGCCTCCTTGACCGCCTCTGCACCCTTGTCCGTGTCCATGTCTGCGGGCGAGATGCGAGTGAGTAAGGCTGCCGAGGAGACGCGAGTTCGTGCGAGACGAACAATTGTCTGCGCGGCGAAAGAGCTGTTAGTGCGCAAAGAGTGGCGTAGGGACCGCAGCAGCACGCACACTTGATGAAGCGGAACCCTTGCAGACTTTGTGCTGTTGCGTTCGTGGCGTGCTGTGAGATCGAAGCACGCGTAAGCTGAAGTCGCGACGAGCCTTGATGAAGGGGAGGAGCGCACGCATGCGAAGAGAAGGTACTGCGTGGTGCAAAGGACGGTCAACGTGTGGTGCAAGTCCAGGGAAATATGGGCGGACGTACATTCCGTGGTTGAACGCGCCAGGCTGTCGACGACGGGAGGAAAGGGTCAGCCTCGGCATGAGGACGAGCGGACGAGCGGCGAACCGAAGCGCATGAAGACAAGACTGTAATCCAGTAGCTCGTCAGTATGGAGTGCGCCGGGGCAAGGCAGCTCGTACGCCGACGCACGAGTAAGAAGCGAGAGCGAGGGTCATAGGTCCCGAAATAAACTTCGGGTCCTTCGAGGAGAGGTCGGCAATGGCGGCGAGAGGCAGTCCCCAGTTGGCGAGCGGTCTGCGCACAGATCAAAGCGACAAGATGAGTGAGAGGATGGATCCCGAGGCGAGTCGGCCGACTGACCCCCAGAAGTGCGTCGACATGAAGTAGTTGCGGGCCTCGGGCGACCTGCAAGGCAGAAAGAGCACTGATCAGCTCATCCCATCCCTTTCCCGTGTGTCTACGCGCTCCTCGAGGCGAGCAGACCGCCTCAAGTCCTGCGAGCGATGAGGATGGGGAAGCGGCGCACCTCGCCCATTTGAAGAAGGTAGACGCCACTGCGGGTCAAGCAAAGTCAGTGAAGCCTCTATGGAGCAGTTCCAACCGTCACGCACTCCTGCAAGCCTCGTTGGGAGATGGGGAGAAGCCAGAGCTGCCGAGCAGGTTGCTCTTGACCTTGTGCACACGCTCGCTCCTCTCAAAGGCTCACTGGGACTGCTGTACTGGCTTGAACCTACTCGCACTCTGCTGCCATGCCCTCCTCAGCCAGCGGATCGGACGACGAAGGCTTCGGCGCCGTTTTCGAGGTGCGTTCTTCTCCACTCGAATCCGCTTCGTACCCAGCTGAACACGCCTCGCCTTGCAGGAGCCGGAAGGATTCCGCCCTCCCACGCCTCCGCCAACCGTCCGCAACTACAAGCGGAGAAAGTACGGAGGTGTGGGCGAGCGAGTTGGTCCTGAGGAAGTTGAGGTTGGCTTGGTGTCGGGCCATCCTCTCTGGGGTGCGTACGCCGGATGCGAGGTAGACGAGGAGAGACTGACAGTGTCCCGCGAGCAGGTCACATCCTCTATCCCGCCGCCATCGCATTATCCCAATTTCTCGAACTTCACGCTTCGACTCTCTTGCACGGTCCAGACGGCCAGGGGAAGGGCAAAGGCAAAGCAGTGCTGGAGCTTGGTGCCGGCGGAGGCCTGCCAGGCTTGACGGCGGCGCTCGAAGGCGCAGGAAACGTACGAACCCGTCTTCCTCGCTTCTCAGCTTCGCTCCGTTGACCTGTCTTCAATGTGCAGGTCGTCATTTCCGACTTTCCTGATCCCGCTCTCGTCAAGAACATCGCACAGAACGTCGAGACGAACGTCAGCTCGCTCGGCTCGACTTCCGTAGCCGAAACCTGCGCCAAGGTCCGTCTTTCTCCTCCCCTCGTGAGGGACAATCCAGCTTACGTCTTGTTCGCTCGCACAGGGTTTCACCTGGGGCTCTCCCGCCGACTCGCTGCTTGAGGTACTAGGCGACCCGTCCAGTTCACGCAAATTCGACCTCATCCTCCTCTCCGACCTCGTCTTCAACCACTCTCAACATGCCGCCCTCCTCAACACCTGTCTCAGCTGTCTCTCCACCACTCCTCCACGACCATCCGCGCCAGCTCCCGAGACTGAAGCGCCCGCACAACCACCATGCGACCTCTCCGACCCCTCAACCCTCGCAACTCCCGCCGTTCTCTGCTTCTTCTCCCATCACCGACCATGGCTCGTCGACGCGGATCTACAGATCCTTGACCTCGCGCAAGAGAAGGGTTGGAAGGTGACGAAAGTGTGGGAGGATCCCGAGGCTGGCGTGCGTTTTTCCGTCGTTTCTATCGTTTGGAAACGTTGCTGATGATTTAGGTGTGAGCAGCCTGCATTCCCGGAGGACGGTGGAGATCTTGCGATACGGAGTACGGTGCATGGGTGGATGTTCACGCGCGAGCAGTAGAGCCGCGCAGCTCACCGGGTAGATTTGCAAGGACCGCTGCCTCACGTATCCCGCTCAGCAGCGCGCCTCGTCATCGACAGCGCAGAAACAAACCAACTGGACACGATGACCCTCACTGAATGAAGCGCAAGTCGGCGAGAACAACCTGTTCCGAAGGAGACTCCCGCGTCGAGAGAGCTACACACGACCCACACAACCTCTCGAAAGACGCTTAGACGACGGTGCCGGCGTTCGAGGCGATACGGGCTGTGGATCGTTCGGCGAGTCAGTGCGGCTGGCGAGATGAAGGAACAGGGATGGAGACTCACGCCAGAGGTCGGCGCACTCCTTCGCGACGGGGCCTTGGATGGCCGAACCCTTCATCTCACCCTTGGGGTTGACGATAACGCCGGCGTTGTCTATTCACGAAAGGATCAGCAAATCGGTTCGAGGACGGGAGGAATGAGGAGACGCACCCTCGAAGTAGAGGAAGACACCGTCACGACGGCGCCAGGCCTTGCGCTGGCGGACGACGATGGCGGGGTGGACTGGACGAAGGGGCGAGGTTAGTCAGTACGCCGCTTCCCGACTTTCGCTGGCCTGCTGTTCCTCCTAACCCCACCGGCTGCGCCTTCCTTCACCGCCACGCGCCGGTCCGCCTTTCGCGCCTTGAAGTGCCATGTCTGCTTTCACTCCTCCACCGCGAAGCGCCATGCCTGTTCCGCATCGCCGCCGTTCTCCTCCGCCGATTCGCCCGTTCCCTCCCTCCTCGCCGCAGTTCCCGCACGAATGGAACGCAACACACCCTTCTTCCTGAGGTCGGGCTTGCCCTTCTTGACAGTGCACATGCACTACAGAGGCGATAGATCGTCAGCAACGTCGTTTGTGAGCGAGATCTCGAGGGAGGGTGAGCTCACCATGTCTGTTGGAGAGCAAGGGGAGCCGCGGAAAGGGCAGTGGCGCAGGCAGGTTCGGCGAGGGTCGTAAGCGTGTCGAAGAGCAGATGTGGCACAATCAGGACGGGCGGAGAGCAAGAGGAGGTGATCGAGGTTGAGTGGGCGGCGGAGGGGCGAGCAGAGTTGGGGAGAGCGTGGACATGCGGAGACAAATCGTCAGCGCCGTCCTCATGCTCTTCACGTGCAAGCACACGCACCACCAGCAGCAGCAGCCGGGAGACGGTTGAGGCGGGCACCCGAGCGAGTGACAGCAATGACCTGCGGGCGCCAAACGGTCAGCACTTCGCCCGCGCATACGTCCAGCGACTCGTCGCAACGCACGTAGAGGTTCTTGGCACCCGAGTTGTCGGCGCAGTTCATGACGGCGCCGACGGGGAGAGCGAGGGTCATGCGGAACTTGTTGCCGGCCGAGCCGCCGCGTCCACGTCCAGCAGCCATTGTTGTCTAGTCGGGTGGGAAGGGGAAGGAGGAACTGCGCGCCGGTACACGAGCGAGACGACGAGAGCGAGGTCAGCTCAACGCGGTCCTGCGAGAATTGGGGACGAACGCTGCCCCGATGCCGCCCCCTGCGCGCCTGTTTGCCCGATCTGACGGCACTCTGGCTGCTCCTGCACCGTCCTGACCCGTCCACACGCCCACCTGACCCGTCCTCGCTGCGCTACTCTGTCCCCGCCGAGTTTTGCGCTCGTACGCCCTCGTCCGTCTCGCGCGCTGGGTCCGCCTGGTCGCTGGTTGGCTGGGCGGTCTGGCAGCAGCAGCAGCCATCACGAGCAGCAAGAAACGCAGCCTCACGTCGAAGGTTGGCCGAGTGACGGAGAAGACGAGACGAGCGCGCGAGCCGCAAGCTCTCCTCCTCCTCGACAAGCTCTCGCCGCTCGACACACCGCTTGTGGACTGGATTGCGCGGGTTAATCGCACTGCTACAGCTCGCACAATCACACCAGGCTTTGTCGCGCGCCCGCCCGTGCCCTCCTCGCCAACTTGCACCCGCTCACTCCTCCCAAACACCTCGCTTCGACTGTCGCTCCACAACGCTATGCAGGGCGTTACTTGCGACAACAGCATCTCCAGCGACCCTCTTGACGAACTGCCGACGGCTTGGCCAGCCCCAGCCGCGCTCTACGCCTCCGCCTTACCGCCTCCCTGCCATCTGCCTCGTCGGGTTTAGCCGATGGCTCAGGTTTCACGGTTGGAAGGAGCGATTGCGCATCGCCTCGCAACTCTGTCGGCCGAAGAAGAGTGCTGATGCAGTCAGCCGCCGTCGACACCTCGCCGTCGACAAGAGCAGTCGACTGCTCGCTCGACCTTCGCTCCACCTTCGTCGGCCTGACAGACGGGCTCGTCCTGTCATGCAATGGCACAGCGCACTGATGAAGCACTACAAGGATTGACACTCGTCGAGCCCTGGCAGGGAACGATGACGGGTCCCTTCCCAGCCTCCTCAGTCTCCGTCCTTTGTGCGCTCAAGCGAGGCTCGATCCGCAGGCTCACTGGCGTTCCGTCTGCTTCATTACTCCCAGAGGAACGTCGTTGCGGCCCTGCGGTTCTTGACCTAGCTCAATTGCTCTCGTTCCCAGCCTTCCCTCTTCGAGAAGCGGCTCTCATTCCGGCCGCAAGCCTTGCCGGCTCCTTCTTCCCTCGCATGAGGTCGGACGTCCAGCGACGTCGCCTGTGCACCTCTCGCCGTGGCGAGAGACTTCTCTTGCTCGTCCCACAACCACTCCCGTCGTCGAAGGCTGGCAACTCGACGACCTTCCCGACTTGGACTGCCGCTCAACCTTGTCTGTCCGAACCTGCGTCGCCGGCGCATCTGACAAGCGGATGAGCTACCCAACGACGTCCTGGCGTCCGCACCAGTCCGACTCGTACGCCTACCCGCCTGCCCAGCCAGCTTCGTACGCTCCCTACCCGCCTTCTTCCTCGGTTCCTCCCGCCGCCGCCGCAGCCCCACAGAACCCGCACCCGATGTCCCAGCATCCGCCACCGCCTCAACAGCACTATCACTCGCAGTCGGCGTCGCCGCCCAGGAGCTTTGGCGGGTTCGGGTCGAGCCGCAGCGGAGGAAGGGAGATGGGCAGCGCAGCGTCGCTTCCTCCGCTCGAGGCCCCGGGGTCGTTCCCATACTCTCAGCGAGGTCCTTATCCGCCCTCGCCCGTCTCGCCCTCGTACCCAGGTGGCATGGCGGGTCAGATGTCGTCCTCGTCCAGCTACACGACTTCAGGACCATCAGGAAGTTACTACAGTTCGCGTCCGCCACCACCTCCCGAGTCCTACATGTTCTCCAGCTGTCCTCCCAACGTCTCGATGCACCCGCCGCCCGCTCCGCCTCGCACGCCTCCGCCCTCAGCCGGCCGGAAGGAGCGAGTCCCGTCTGCTCAGGGGTCCTTCGCGCAGTATCAGCCCGTCGCAGTCTCGTCAAAATCGAGACCGCCGTCGGGATACGGAGCGCCGCACTCGTATGCGCCACGGGCGGACGAAGGGAACTACCAGCAGCAGGCGCAGTCGGAGGACATAAGCAAGGTGAGTCTCCTTCTCCTCGTACTCTCCTTCCTTCGCTAAGTCCTCGCCTACAGTTCTTCCAAGAGATGACCGAGATACTGGGTCCCGAAGGACTGGCTGCCATCTCTGCCTCGCCATCCTTCCGCCAACAGCAGCAGCCGTTCGAGCCACAACCGCCTCCTCCTCCCTCGCGGCCTTCACATAGCTCGTCGGCGTCGAACTCACGACCGACTTCGAGCAAGTCAGAGGCAAAGTACAACGTCTCGGGCGTGCTTTTGACGGAGGAGGAGTACCGCGCACTTGCGGACTCGCCCTCCCTCGCGAGACGAAAGTCGTCACTCCGCACCTTTGCGCCCACTCAGTCGCTCGATGACACATTTGCGTACGGTGTCAATCCCTCGTCAACATATGAAGCCTCGCAGTCCGCCTACCTCGACTTTCCCCTCGACCTTCAAAGACCCGCTTCGGCTCCCCCAACTCCCGCCTTCGAGCCTGAAGCCGTCTTCCACTTTTCAGCGTACGGGTCGTCAGGCAACTCGCCACCACGAGGATCTGCCCCGCTCAATCGCCGACGAGGTTCATCGCTCGACCCGTCCATCCCTCGCTCATTCGGCTCGTCCGGCCTCGTCGGATACGCGCCGCCTCAGGAGTATAGCTACGCCCCACCGCGAGCTCGGACTCCGCCTCAGCAGCAGCAGCGGAGGCCGTCTGCCTCGATGCAGGGGTGGACTTATCCCGAGACGCCGATGTCTGCGCCGCAACGAGGTTACTACGCCCAACCTCCGCCTCCTTCCGCCTATACCCCCTACCTGCGCCACCAACTCGACCCCATATCTCCTTCTCCCGCTCCGTCGTCGTCTCGCTCTGCACCGACGCCGTCCACTCCCTCGAAACCGACTGGCGGAAGTCGACGAGCGCGAGGCGGCAACAAGTCGATCTCGTTCATCAACTTCTCGGCTGCCGACTCCAAGACGCTCTTGAATGGTGTTGCGCCGAGCGGGAGCTCGAAGAAGCGCCAGCGGGACGAGGACGATGGACGGAGGGAGGCGAAGAGGACGGATGTTGGGGCGAGGGAGTGAGTCTGGCGGGCTGCGATGCCCGGGTCTCTTTCTATCTGTCTTTGTAGAGCACTATGCATCCGTTACCACGCCTCCCTGGCGTTGTGCAACTTTGACATCTCGCAAAACCAACTCGACCCCTAGTCCGGACGAGTCTCATCAAGGTTGACCTCGTCCTCCTCACGCACGCTCGCTGGGCTCACCGCTGGACCGGACACGATGGCAGAGAAGGAAAAGACACCGCTTCCCGAAGCAGCACACGGCGCGCTCACTCCGCAACCCGTCGCACCCCCCCCACCCGCCGCCGACTCGACTGGCGAGGCAGCTCTGGAGGCCTCCCACCTCGACGCAGAGCTGCCAGACGAGCTCGTATACAAGCTTGTGCTCAACTTTCGCGGCAAGAAGCAGGAGGTCAAGGTCGTCGAGTCGGACACGGTGCGTTCTCCTCGTCCCCCCACACACCGCTTGGAAGAGCGAAACTGACACCTGCGCGCTCATTGATAGGTGGGAGACCTCAAGCAGTTGCTCTGGAGTCTGACGAACGTCCCGCCCGAACGGCAGAAGCTGGTTGGGTTGACGAAGGGGAAGCTGCCGGGAGACGAAGAGGCCGTTGTCAAGCTTGGCCTCGGGGCAGGGGCAACGACGGGCAAGCTGAAGGAATTCATGATGATTGGGACGCCAGAGGGTGAGGAGGCCAAGGCTATAGGGCCATCTGAGGTGCGTGGATATGCCCCTTCTCCTCCTCCTCGCGCCCTACTGCTCCTCCTTCCACGCCCTATGCCTGTCTCGCGCCCCTTGACGTTCTCTCACACGCTCCAGCTGCTAAGAGCACTGACGAGAGCTCTGCGCTGCAGAGGGAGGATGGCGACTTGGACTATTCGACGGAGGCCTCGAAGCTCAAAGCCTACATGGCCGTCCAGTCTGTCCGGAACCGTCGCAAGCTCAAAGAGACGGCCGAGAAGCTCGAGATCAACCTCATCGCGCCGCCGCGACCAGGGAAGAAGCTCCTCGTACTCGACCTCGACGGCTGCATACTGGACACGACCTGCTGGAAGCACCAAGAGTTCGGGACGGAGCTCTTCCAGCGACCCTACCTGCACGAGTTCCTGCGCGCCGTCTCGCCCTTCTACGATCTGATCGTCTGGTCGCAGACCCACTGGCGATGGCTCGAGACCAAGATTGTCGAGCTGAATGTGCGTGCGATTTCCTCGCGAACGCTTGCTGTCCCCACCCGGTCTCCTCTATGTCCTTGCTGATCGCGGGCAACCCGCAGATGATCGGACCGTCGAAGAAGGGCGACTACCACCTCGTCACGGTGCGTTGTATTCTCTCGTCGCTCTTCACTGCATCACTGCTGACACCGTGCGCGCATCGTTCCCGCCTCAACGCAGACGCTCGACCGCTCGCCCATGTTTTCGATCTACAGCGAGCGCGAGGGCAAGGCGTGGAAGCACGAGGTCAAGGCGCTCGGACTGATCTGGGCCAAGTTCCCGGGGCAGTACACCGCCGAGAACACGATACACGTCGACGACCTCTCGCGGAACTTTGCGCTCCAGCCGAAGAACGGTGCGTCCCAGTCAAGTCCGCACGCAACGTCGCTTCGTGTCTGACCCGCTCTTTCTGCACAGGTCTCAAGGTTCACGCTTACAAGGACGCCTTGACGAGGGACCGAGTAGACACGGACAAAGAGCTTCTTTACGTCGCGCGGTAGGATGACCTCCCTCACTCCGCAACTCGCTTCGCCTGACCTTCCCTGTTCGCAGGTACCTCCTCCAACTCTCCCTCGTCGACGACTTCCAGACTCTCGACCACTCGCGCTTCCGCAAATCCAAACTTCCTCTTCCCGACGGCGTCGCAGATCCGCTCCGCCTCGTGCGAGGCGAGGAGGAGAACTAGACTGTCCGCCTCGCCCTTCGATCGCTCTTCGTCGTGCGCCCCAGCAACCGCATACCCTTCGCAATTGCTTTACCCGCCTTCTTGTCGTCACATTTTGCATTGCAGTCTATCTCGAGACTCGACACAGCGCCTCCCGACATCGCCTTCGTCCGCGGACTCTCCGGGCCCGCTTCTTCCTCGCTCGCTCAATCTCTCGTCCTTCTCCCTCCTTTGCGATTGTGCCCTCGCTCACGTTCAGTCTTGATCATGCCCGTCATCTTCCCTGACGAGCTCGAGGGCGGCCTCATCGGCGTGCGTCCCCTTTCCTCCTCCTCTTTCTCCTTCCTCGGCGACTCCGTCGCACCTCCTGACTTCCTGTCTGCTTCCCAGCGCAATACGGCCGCTAGGAACCTCGTCTCGAACGCTCTGCGACAAGCCGGTATCGACCAGAACTCGCGCTTGCTTTCTCGCAGTGGCAGCGGGTCGATCCAGCAGCAGAGGGTGGATTTATTCTCCCTTCCTTCGACGAGGTAGAGCTGACGAGTGCGTATCACAGCTCTACATGGATCAGTACGCGCCCGACGAGGACGGCTTTATGCACCACCGCACGCTCGATGCGAAGACGGGCCACACGGTGCGGTCGTCCGTCAAGCACAGTCTGCAAATACGATGCTGACCTCGTCAGTCTCTCACTCACAGCACGACGATGTCAAGAGTCTGTTCTATAACCCGGACGCGCCGGCTGACAAGCGCATCGCCCGAGTCTCAACGAACCATGACCATCACCAGGGCTCGCTCATCTTCAAGGACAAGAAGGTAGACCGTATCCTTACGCCGGCTACAAGCGACACGGACGACGAGGACGAGCCGCTTCGCCAGAAACTTCCGTTCGGAAGTCTCGGTCTCTCGGGCCCTTCTTCTGCGGGTCTTCCCGTCTTTGCCGCTCCTGCGCCCGTCGACCTTCACCCCGAGGGAACGCCCAAGACGCTAGACGACTTGCTCGACATCCTGCGCCAGCACAGGCCGGGCAAGAAGATCATCGAGATCGCGGGAGACATCGACATCAAGGAGACGTTCGTTACGACGGCAATCATCCACGTCCACGGCATTGGACCCGCTCGTCGTGCGTTAACCTCCTCGAGGAGTTCGTCAGGTTTGGCTGACAGGTTGGCTCGCCTGCGCAGGTCCCGTCCTCGCCGTCTTGTGCAGGCGTCTTCCGAACAACCACATCATTCTTGCGCACCCGGACTGGCAGCTCGGCGACAGCAGTCCGACCGACAAGGTCCTACTGTGCGTCCGCTCGAAGGTCCCTCCAGTAGCGAGACTAACCTCGTTCTTCCCTTCCGCGAAACAGCCTGAAGATCACCAAGCAGATCCATGTCCACATCCAGTTCAAGCTCGAGATCCGGGTGTAGCTGCGTCCTCATTGGCGTTCTCTTCCTTCTCTCGTTCAGCTCCGTGCAAGGTGTACGACTGTTTCGGATTGCTCAAAGTTGGTGGTCAGAGTAGACGACAGAGAAAAGGCGCGCGAGAGACGATGGGGACGATGCTGGTATGCTGAAGGAGTCGAGCGAGAGAGAGCCGAGGAGAAGGATCAGGCGGTGCGGAGTATGACATGGACGCCCGAGTCGGTCGAGACGATGTCGGACAGCTGGCCGACGTCGAGGGCAAACGCGGCGTCCTCGAACGGCTTCTGCATCTGGTTGCGCCCGAAGAAACCGAGATCTCCGCCGTCCCTCGCAGAAGAGCAGTCGCTCTCGGTGCTGGCGAGCTTGGCAAACGTCGCTTTGAGGTCGTCTGCCTCGCGCAACGTCTTTTCGTGGCCTTTGAGGATCTCGAGCGCCTCGTCCTTGGACCGGGTGATGTTGGCCTGACGCCAGGACGCGGGTCGACGACTGCCGCTGTGCTTGACGAGGAGATGCGACGCCCTGATCTTTCCGCCGTTGTCGCTCGACGCGCTCGCTCCGGCCGACGTCGACGACGACTGGCTCTGCTTGAGGTGCTCGGCGCCGGGGAGGGAGGAGAGGTCGGACGAGGCGAGGGAGTCGGGCACCTCCCAGCGCGACTCCTGCGTCGCCGTGTTGTAGAAGTAGGGACGCTTGCGCGAGTTGGAGAAACGGATCTCTGCGTGCGTGCAACAAGGCTCACGGTGAGCGTGCGCGGGCGAGACGGCGGTGAGAACAGGTTGAGAGAGATGACGGAGACGCGCCCCAGGACTGGTCCTGCGGGCCGTGTGAGCGGGTCAGCCCGGTTCTGAGACACTCCAAAGGGCTGTCAAACTCACTTCTGATGCCATGTTTGCCCGGTGGTGATGTGTAGCGGTGAGAGCGCTCCGCTCTTCCCCTCAGCCGACCGCTTCGACCGCTTAACCACCGCTCTGCTCGCTCTGCTGAGGCTAGGACTGGCTGGACTGTGCTACTAGCACACTAAGAACCGCATGCAACCACCACCGCCGGCCCGCAAACGAAACACCGTCCCCGTCTGCCTCGTCGTCCCCGCTGGAGAACCCCTCGTCGAGCAGTACTCGGCGCAGGTCATCTCGTGCGTGTGCTCATTGTTCTTGCAGTGACCGAGTGCTCACCCTCTCGCACCCACAGAGCCCTGCAATCGCTCCATCCCCATGCCCAGGTACATCCGCCTCACTCGCCCGAGCAGGCCATTGCGCCTCGCAGCCCTTCTGCAGGTCCAGCGGGTGGTGCACAGTGACGAGGACATGTGGACGGTGCGGTTGAAGGCTTCGATCCGCCGCAAACGGGACTTGGGGACGCACCGGCCTTTGTGCGAAGCGATGCGGGGTACCGGTCGGATAGGCGTACAGCAGGTCTGGCGGGCTGAGCAGGAGGACAAGCCATCTGAGAACCAGTCAAACTGACCGTGGCTTGCATCCCGCAGCTCCTCATCTCCTGCGTCGTTCCCTCGGCCCACGCTCTTCCCCTAAACCCGTTCCTTTCGCCAGAAGCTTTCCTCTCGGCTCTCCCGACCTATGTCCGACATTCCAACCGATCTTCGACGTCTCTATGGCGGTCGTCGACAGGTCTGCTACGGGCGATACGGCTGGCGCGGCGAAGATTGGTCGAGGGGTCGCTCGCAGGCGCGGGAGGGGAAGGTAGGGCGCAGCTGCCCAAGTACGTCGTGGTCATTACGGCGGATGACATTGAGAACATGGGCGGCGACGAGGTGTGGCTAGAAGACGATGATCAGGGCGAGACGTGGGAGTCGTTCGCGAAGAACTTTACGCGGGTGCGTGCTGCTTCCCTGTCTTTCCGCTCTTCCTGCATCTGATCTTATATGCTGCAGGGCCCACATTGCACGACCCTCTTCTCGCTCATCTCGTTCAGCTACACTCCCAATCTCGAGGCGTTTTGGAAGGAGGTGCGCAGAAACTCCCGCCTGCTAGATCGGTGACTCAGCTGACGCTCGCTTTACCAGTCCTCCGGCCGCTTCCCCGCCAACCTCGTCTACAACTCGCTCAGTCCCCCGCTCAACACCGCCTTCTCCTTCCCCCTCCTTTCACCCTCGCACGCCTGTTTCCTCATCGGCTTCTACAACAACGATGCTCGCCCGCCTCTCGCTTCACAGCCTTCCAGCGGCAGTCCCTCCCCTGCCAACACCGCAAAACGACCTGCGCCGCCTGATGCGACAGCTGCGAACAAGAAGGCGAAGCCTAATCCTCCCATATCGGCCTCCCCTCAGCTCCCCTCCGCCAAGCCAATACCGACTCCGCCAAATCCTTCTCGTACTTCCGTACAAGCAGCAGCATCGCTCCAATCTTCGCCTCCTCTCGCCGCCAAACCCTCACCCAACCCCGCCCTTTCCCACCTCCCGCCGAACGTCAACATGGAGAATGTCGAGCATTTCATCGAGGAGGTGAAAGCTGCCGCCGCTCGCGCCGGCAAGCCTCCACCGTCTGCGGCAGACTTGCAAGCTATCGCGCTCGCCGCGTACAACAACGTGAAGAACGTGACTCGCCAGACTCCCAGCTCGGCCTCGACCGCTCCCTCTACCGTTACTCCTGCCACGACCGCTCCGTCTCAAGCACCCTCGACGACCAACACCACCCCGCGCGCGACACCGACACAGTTCCCGCCTGTGAACCAGATGACCCGCGCGCAAATCGACGCGTTGCCGCAAATTCCAGTCGACATGCGTGCGAAAATCGAGGCGACGCTCGAGGGGATCAGGAGGAAGGTTGAGAGGGGCCAGTTGACGCAGGAGCAGGCGCATATGCAGGTTAAGCAGTTGCAAGAGTTGGCGAATCAGTGCGTTTCGAGCCGTTCTCAGTCATCTTGTACCGCGACCGGCTGACAACTTCGACGAGCCTAGACAACGACTGCGTCTCGCACAGCACCAAGCCGCCTCCGAGCATGCCGCAAAAGGCTCGTCAGGTCAAGGACTCGGTCTCAACATCCCGGTCGCAGCGTCCTCGACAGTCCAGCCAGCTCAACAGCAACCGCCGCCCCTACAGCGAAAGGACTCGCAGCGTGTCATCTGGCGAGGTCCGATCTCGTGGGCGTTTTCAGACGCGTCGGGCGGGCCGAAGAAGACAGAGTTCACCGTCTTCACAAGTGCTGTCCCGATGCAGCAGAGTGCCGTCAAGGATCTGTGCGCTTAAACCCATCCCGGCGCGAGTCAGCTAGCATGCTAATGCGCTTGCCCTTTCGCAGCGCCGAGGTCAAGCTCCCGCAAATCTTTCGCGTCTCGAACTTCATGCAGATCAAGATCGCCGCGCTGCAAGAGCTCGCCAACAAGCACACCTTGCCGGCCATCAGCATGATCCCTATACCGAGCAGCAACATGCCGCAGGACCTCCGGGACAAGCAGGCCGCAGCACCGGGCGGGCACAACAACGAGTCGCTGTACCGCATGTTTGCTGAATCGCTTGAGACGCGACAGAACGTGCGCTGCCAGTCTTCGCTGCATCGGATGGCTCGCTGACGCTTTGAAACGCAGTGTGGCATCGTGCGCTTCTCGGGAACGCCGAACGGACTCGTCCTCGTCCCCGTACCCGGACAGAGCAAGCTCATTGGCCTCGTGTTTGCCAAGATACCTCTGCCGGAAGCATGGTTCAAGCGCGACGATTCTGCCTCGCAAGCTCGACAACAGCAGCAACAACAGCAGCAACCCAAACCTACGCCCGCTCCGCAACCTCCGCAGCAGAACACCTCGACCGGCATGTTCTCCTCGCCCGTCGCCTTCAACCTCCAGCTCCCGACCAGCATGCCCTCGCACTCTCAGCAGCCTGCTCCCTTCGCAACCTCGCATGCGCCACCTCAGATGTATACACCCGCCCCGACGCAGCCGTTCAACCTCCACCAACCTCCGCCTGCGGACGTCCAGCGGCAGCCTCAAGCTCAGCCTCAGACGCCGCTGCCGCAGCAGCAGCAAATACCTACCGGCGAGATCGCAGGGATGGGCTTTGCCGAGCTGCAGCAGTTACTCGGGCCTGAGCAATTCGCCCAGATCATGAGCGGTCTCTAATCACCCTTCCTCTACTTTCTCGCAGTCGTTCACGCTCCATTGTCGTATTCTTTTCGCGTCGTTCGCGCTCGCCTGTCTTGCCAGCAACGAAGACTTCTTCGCACTTGCCCTCTGTTTTGCCGAGGGTAACTCGCCTCTTCTCGCCTCATTCTGCGTCCCTTCCTCCGCTGCCGTCGCTCTCTAAGAGTCAGCGCGTCCTGCGACAGTCGAAAGACGCCGTGCAAGCGAGCCGAGGTTGTCGTCCCCTTCGTCGCGGACCTCTTGAACCTCGTCCGCATCCTTGCTCCCGCCCACCCGCTTCTTTCGGCTTTGTTCTGCCTGCGTCTGAGTTGTAGCAAGCATGTAAGCCGTCGACGTTCTTCGCCTCCTCGCCGTATCGCTCGCTGACCGCGTTCACGCCTCATCTCCCTTCTCGCGCCGCGATGGACCGTCTCGCAGGCCGAAGCTCGCCTACGCCGAGAACGAGAAGGCGCTATGCTTCCATGGCCCTCTGATGTACGAGGCGAAGGTGTGCTCCCGCTCACGAGCTCTGCCAGATCCGCCAGCAACGACTGACAAGAGACGCGTCCGGTCCTCCCGTCGTTCTCGCTTTCCGCAGGTTCTCAAGGCGGAGTTCTGGCAGAAGGGGAGCAATAAGAGCGGCGCAGTCGGGCCGCACTACTTCGTGCACTACAGGGGGTGGAAGCAGACGTGCGTTTCGATCCCTTCCTTTCGAACCGCTTGTCGGCTCGCCTGCAGTGGTCCAGAGCCAGCTCGTCCTGCGGAAGTACTGACTCTTGTATTCTTCGCACAGCTGGGACGAGTGGGTCCCCGAGGAGCGGCTGAACAAGTGGAACGAGGAGAACATCCGCAAGCAAAAGGCGCTCATGGAGGCGCAGCGCTTGCGCGATATTGCCGAGCGCGAGGCAGCGAGGGCGGAAGAGGCGGCGAAGGCGAAGGGTGCAATGGGAACCGCTGCGATGGGCGGACGAGGGACAGCACGAGGACAGAAGAGGGGTCGTGAGGGCGAGACGGTGCGTTTGCGCTCTCAGTTCTACTATTGCCACTCGCTGACACTGAATGATTGGACAGGAGGACGAGTATATGAAGCGGCCGGAGATCAAGATCTCGATCCCGGACAATCTCAAGATCCAGCTCGTTGACGACTGGGAGGCGATCACGAAGAACCAGCAGGTACGCGTTCTCATTCGCCTTTCGCCACTGATCTGCATCGCTCACATGCCTTCTCACAGCTCGTCCCCCTGCCACGCGTCCCGAATGTCGATGTCATCCTCGACGAATGGCTGATCTACCTGCAGAACGAGGAGGAGGAGAAGAAGCGGTGCGTATTGAGCAGTCTCGCCCTTCTTCGCATGAGGTTGACCTGTTGTCCTCGCAGGATCGCGGCCGAAGTCGCCGCAGGAATCGGCCTGTACTTCAACAAGGCGCTCGGGAACAATCTCCTCTACCGGTTCGAGCGCGGGCAGTACCAGGAGCAGTACAAGCGGCTGCAGGGGACAAACAAGGGAATGAGCTCGGTTTATGGCGGCGAGCACCTCCTGCGGTTATTCGGTTCGTCTCCAGTTCGTTCGCGTCCGCTCCAGAGCTTCGACTGACTTTCGCTCCTCCGCTCCGCGCAGTCAACCTGCCCGAACTGCTCGCGCACACTTCACTTGATCCCGAATCGATGGCCGTGCTGAAGGACAACATCCAGCAGTTCCTGCAGTGTGTTCGCCTGTTCTCTTCATTGTCGAGCGTTTGGCTGACCAGCATTTCCGCAGATGGATGGACCTGAACCGACGAGTGCTCTTCTTGCCAGAATACATCGGCACGAGCTCGGGCTACCAGAACAACAACCGAGGATGAGGCGGCGAGGTGAGCTTGCGGCGATTCGAGGAGCAGGGTCTCGCGGTGTGTCCTTGTACATTGTCACAACAGATCTCAGTTCTAAGCCTCCTTGTGACCGGTTCGAAATGACCTGAGAGATTGCCAGCCTGCAAGCAACGCTGACGCTGGACAAGCTACGCATCGACCTCTCTTCCTCGTCGTACCTAGCTCTGAGCGCATGAGGTCAAACTGTCGCTTCTTTTACACCGACACCGCCGCATTCCGCAACCAGTCCACCCGTACGTCCTCCAGATGCTCATCAAAATCCCCAAGCAGCTTATGCCGTCCCTGCCGAACCTGTTCGAGCGCTTTTGTCGGCGCGGAGGAGTCGGCGAGGGATATCCGTGCGGAGGAGAGGGTGGTTGGTTGCCAGGCTGCTGAGGGGGATTTAGGCGGGAGGTAGGGCTGCGGTCGGAGGCAATGGTCAGAGGGGAAAAGCGAAGAGATGGGCGAAAGGACGCACAATGAGGGCCGGCTCGTTTGACGCCAGCTTCTCGTTGTCGACCTACGAACCAGATCAGCGTCAGTACAGCTCAAAAAGAGGGCTGAAAGGATGGGACGAAGACGCACGACGAGCACAACCGCCTCTGGTCTGTCCCTCCTGATCGCCTCGGCCATCTTCTGCGCGCCATTCGGGACTGCCTGGTTTCCTAATCGCTCATTCGCGACGTACAAGCCGAGAAAGACGAGCTGCTGCTGTTTGGCGTAGAGTTCTGCCTGTTCGAGGGAGGGCCAAGTCGGCTGAGATGAGCGTTCTTCGACGACGAAGCAACGGGCAGGACTCACGAGTCCCAGACCCGCTTCAGCCATCGGTGAGAGGTTGGTCCAGTGGTGCAGCAGCGGTACCGCGTCGGTGATGGTGCAGGAGGATCCAGCGACGGTCCCGATGAGCAGGCCGACACAAGTCGACGAGGGGAACTTGGCTGCGTGCAAGACCAGCTTAAGGTAGGCCAGCGAAGCGATCGAGTAGTCTACCATCGTCGGCAAGTCAAACGAGCGGGGTGAGCGAGAGCGAGAGAGCGCAAGAGGCGAAGGACCTCCTCGACAAAGGGAACAGCGACGACGAAGACTCTCTTCGCGTTCGCAGCGCGCCAGGTTCAGTCCAAACAGTTCGACGTTGCCAAAACTGCGTTTTCGGAGGTTGTGAGTGAGGGAAGAAGGGAAGAGGACAAGTTGATGCCGAGCGAGGGCTGCGATGTGGGAAACGGGGGCAAAAGGGTGTCGCGGGTGTGTATAGTGAGGAGACAGAACAAACGACAATGCAGCAGAAGACGCGCGGGGAGAGAAGAGAGAGAAGTCCCGCCGGCCGCCCAACTCGTCCAACCATCTCCCGCTCACGCCCTCCTGGTCACTCCAACGCGTGCAATCAACGGCCTCCCGCAAGTGCCTTCTGCATGCCACGCTTGAGGTGAAGGTTGGCGCGGCGGAGCTCGTCGGCGGACGAGTCCTCGATCTCGAGGCGCTCGAGGGCCTTGGAGAGCTCGGCCTCGAGGGCAGAGCGGTTGTGGCGCTTGATCTTGGACGCCTCGGGGGACTGGAGCGTCGCCTCGACGGACGCAACGTACGACTCGAGTTCCTGCCTCGCCTCGTGCTTGGCCGAGAAGTCCTTGTCCGCCTGCTTGTAGTTCTCGGCGTCCTTGATCATCTGGTCAATTTCGGCTGACGACAGTCGTCCGACCGAGTTGGAGATGGTAATGTTGGCGCGGCGGCCCGAGGTGCGGTCGAGCGCCGAGACCTTGAGGAGGCCGTTGGCGTCGATCTCGAAGGTGCAGACGAGCTCGGCCTGACCGCGGGGCTGGGGGGTGATGCCCGAGAGCTCAAACTCGCCGAGGAGGCGGTTCTCCTTGCAGGTGACGCGCTCGCCCTCGTAGACGGGGAAGGTGACGGTGGTCTGGTTGTCCTCGACGGTGGTGAAGGTGCGCGACTTGTTGCAGGGGATGGGCGTGTTGCGCGGGACGACGACACCAAAGACGTCGCCCTGCATGGCGACACCGAGCGAGAGCGGCGCAACGTCGAGGAGCAAGAGGTCGGCCGTCTTCTCCGAGGTCTGGCCGGTGAGGACGGCGGCCTGGACGGCGGCACCGTACGCGACGGCCTCGTCGGGGTTGATCGACTTGTTGAGCTGGCGGCCGCCAAAGAACTCGGAGACGAGCGACTGGATCTTGGGGATACGGGTCGAGCCGCCGACGAGGACAATGTCGTCGACCTTGGACTTGTCGATCTTGGCGTCCTTCAAGACGCGCTCGACGGGGTCGAGGGTCGAGCGGAAGGTCGCGGCGTTGATCTCCTCGAAGCGGGCACGCGAGATCGAGGCCGAGAAGTCCTGGCCCTGGAAGAGCGAGTCGACCTCGACGGTGGTCTGGGTGACGGACGAGAGGGTGCGCTTGGCACGCTCGCACGCCGAGCGGAGACGGCGGAGCGCGCGGGCGTCGCCCGAGATGTCGAGCTTGGTCTTGCGCTCAAACTCCTTCTTGAAGTGCTCGAGGAGCGTGTTGTCAAAGTCCTCACCGCCGAGGTGGGTGTCTCCGGCCGTCGCCTTGACGGCAAAGACGCCACCGGTGATCGAGAGGAGCGAGACATCGAACGTGCCGCCTCCGAGGTCGAAGATGAGGACAATCTTCTCCTTCTTCGACTTCTCGGTCGCCTCGCCGAGACCGTACGCGATCGCAGCCGCGGTGGGCTCGTTGATGATGCGGAGGACGTCGAGGCCAGCGATCGTGCCGGCGTCCTTGGTCGAGAGACGCTGCGAGTCGTTGAAGTAGGCAGGGACCGTGATGACGGCCTTCTTGACCTCCTTGCCAATCTTGGCTTCGGCCGTCTCCTTGAGCTTGGAGAGAACCATGGCCGAGATCTCGGCGGGCGAGAACGACTTGGTCTCCCCGAGGTAGTTGACCTGCGCGCGTGGGAGCCGGGTCAGCCTTCGGGAACACACTCCGCTCCTGTCGCCGCGGCAACGCACCTCGATGAAGGGCGAGCCGTCCTTGTCGATGACGGTGAAGGGCCAGTGGGTCATGTCCTTCTTGACCTCGGCGTCGTCAAAGCGGCGACCGATGAGACGCTTGGCGTCGAAGACGGTCTGCTTCGGGTTCATCGCGGCCTGGTTCCTGCGGGCGTGCACAAACTCGGGTCAGCTCTGCGGGGCGTGTACAAGACGGTCGCAAGCTGGACGCACTTGGCAGAGTCACCGATGAGGCGCTCCGACTCGGTGAAGGCGACGTAGGAGGGGGTGGTGCGGTTGCCCTGGTCCTGTATCCCGCAAAGACGCCCGGCGTTCAATTCCCGTCAGCACGCATTCCATGTTCCTCTATCCACCGCATGTAACCCGTCCAGCCGAGTAGCAAGTGAGGCGAGGGTGGTGGGTGGAAACGCACGTTGGCGATGATTTCGACACGGTCGTTCTGCCAGACACCGACGCAAGAGTAGGTGGTGCCGAGATCGATACCTGCGTGTCATTCGTCGCAAATGCACGGGGAGGTCGCGAGCGAGTCGGGAAGGGGGCCAGTCCAAAAATCGGAGGATGCGAGGTGGGTCAGCTGGGGGCGGTGGCAACTGGGTGGAGAGGTGCTGACCGATGGCTCCCTCGAAAACATCGTCGGCGGCGTTGCCCTCCACGAGCTGGGGGATCTGTGAGCGCGTGCGAGTGGTGAGTTTGCTGTGTTGGCGGGTGCGGGGTGAGCTCGAGCTGACCTCGTCCTCGGCAGACATGGTTGCTGGACTCGGGGGAAGCTGTGGGTTGCGTGCAGGCGAGTGTGAGTGAGCAGGTCGAGCCACACAACAGCCAAGCTAAGCAGGCGCACGGGGAGAGAGAAGGGGAGAGAGCGGGAGGAGGAGGACCAAGCCAGAGCGCGAGCCGCGACCTCGCCTCGCACCACGGCCACCCGCCCAGTACCGCGCTCTCACTCACTCTGGCAGTGTATTATATGCTGCAATGCACTCTCACTGGACTTCTCAACACACTCGCGAAACAACCGAACAAGCCGCGCGCCGTGAGGACGAGCGACAGCCGTTTTCTCTTCCCCTCTCGTTGCTAAGCCGCTGGTTCCAAGAAACAGTCTGTAGTGCATCACAATGAGTCCCTGCATCCAGTCCAGTCGAGCGTCTTCGTGAGCCATCAAGTTGTGGCGAGTGTCGCGGAGAGTACGGCGTCTTGACGGCCAGCTGCGAGAGCGCCAACGCTCCGGGCGAGTCCGTCTTCGAGCAAGCTTTGCGGTCGTATTGCATGCACTGTGAGAGGCGAGAGTGTGGGCGGCATCAGCTTCCCTTCGCCTGAGAGAGTCCGCCTAGGGCCGACAATCGCGGGGAGGACGGTGACCTGGTCACGGAGGTCGGGGATGGTCAGCGCAAGGTGGAGAGGCGGGGAGGGCGGGAGAAAAGCGGTGAGATTCACGAAGACGCGGTACTGCATCGACGCTGAGGAGGCGCCGAGGAGGCGCCGAGGTTGAGGAATGAGAGGCCGACGACGAGGGCGATCAAGATGTGGTGGAAGAGAGGGGTGAGGACGTAGTCGGGAGAACGCCAGAACGAGAGGAAAGTCCGCGAGGTGACCGCCTGGAAAATGCGTCCAGGACAGCGTCGAAGCAAGCTGGCCGTCCAGCGTGCGACCAGTCCATTGCCCAGAGCGATACTGAGCGACTCTCGTCGAGCTCAGCCTGAACGGAAGCAATCTGCGCGGCGTCCTTCTGCGTCCCAGCCTCGCAGAGAGACGCAGCCCGCGCGCTCCTCCGGCAGGGCCCGAATGCGGCCCGACCTGACATCTAGACAGTACAACCGACTCCAGCCAGCCATCGCGAGTCGTCCGCCGCGACTGCGTGATGTCGAGTCGTGCCGAAGGTCGATGTCAGCGACGACGAGGAGAAGGAGGCAACACCAAGCATGGGAGCGCATGCTGTCAAGCTCAGCACACTCGCAGCAAGCACCAGAAGCTAGTCCGAACCCTCTTGTCCAGCCAGATGAATCGCGAGCGGATGGTCCTCGAGCAACCCCTCGCCTCGCTCATCTCCCGCTGACCACCCACCGCTCATCCTCAAATCTACCAGACCGCTTCACTGAACACTCGCTAGTTCCCAGCTCTCTCCCTCGAGCCATTCACGCGGGCCTCCCGCCCCCCTAAATCTCTACAAACCATGCCTCCCTCCCCTCCCTCGCTCGACTCTTCCCTCGACTCTCTTGCAGCCGACATGCTCGCCGCGCGTCACACCGCCCTCCTTACGCGTCGGAGACAGCGGTCGCTCGAGGCGGAGGTCGAGTGGGATGAGCGGGATACGGCGATTAGGAGGGGAAGAGTCTTAAGAGCGGGAGGCGGAGGGGAGGAGGTGTGGGCTAGTATGGGCTACGGTGTGGGCGAGCACGAAGCAGCGGAAGAGGAAGAAGGAGAAGAAGGGTGGGCAGGCGGAACGTACCCCCAGCCCGAGGAAGAATGGCACGGCGGGTTCAACGAAGTCCCCGACGTAGTCATCGAAGGACCAGGCGCGACGGTCGATTACGACTGGGCGGATCCGGCTGAGGTAAGGAGGAGGCGGAGGCTCGGGAGCGATGATTGGGGCGAGGACGAGCAGAGGTTGTATGAGGAGATTGGCGCGGATGCGTTTTTTGGGTATGGGACGAGCGGGAGCGAGGATGAGGATGAGGAGTTCTCGGAGACGGAGGACGATAATGGCGATGGAGCGGGAACGGGCGACGGAGTCGTCTCGATGGACTACGACGCGCTCGCCGCTGCGGCCGCCGCGCCGCTCGAGTTCGCCACCCGCCTCGACGAGGAAGAGGCGTTCCTCGCTGGCTTGCGCGAGCGACGACTGGCCGAGATGGGTCAGGAGACGCCTGCTGCAAGACAGGAACTCCAGGCGCTCCTCTCCGGGCGTTACGTCGGCGAAGCGCCTCTCAACCCGTCCCCTGCACCGCACACCTCACAGCGCAGCCACGATGCGCCCGCGACCTCCATTTCGACCGACTTGAACGTCGCAGCCGCCGCACTCCTCTCGCAAGACCCGTCTTCCGCCCTCTCGTACACGTCCTTTCTCCGACCAGGCGCCTTCTTCGTCGGCGAGCAGTCGCTGGGGAAGAAGCCGCAGCCTTTCTCTTCGCTGCGGGAACCAGCACTTCCATGGCGCAACAACAGCGCGAACACGTCTTCGACCGCCCACCCAGCTTTCGCGCCTTTCCCTTCTCTCGGCGCGGCAGGGAGCGGCGGTATCTCCGACTCGCTTGCGATTCCTCGACCTTCACCGTCTGGTACGATTGAAGGCCCTCGGAACGCCATCACCAACTTTCTCCGCCAATCCGCCTCGTCCGCCTCCGCCTCTGCCTCCGGCTCACACCCCACTCCTTCTTCCTCCATATCATCCTCGAACCGCTTCGCCCCCTACGCACAATCCCCAGCTCCCGCAGCAACAGTAACACACCTCGACACCTCTTCCAACCCGCACATCATCAGCGCGACCCGGATCCGGTTCGGGGACACGACGAACCCCGCTGCGAGGGGTGATAGGGAGAGTTGGAGGGCGGTCGAGAGGGAGATGTTGAGTCGTGCGAGGGGGGTGCTTGCGGAGACTTCGGCATCGAGGGAGGAGGAGCGCAAGGAGGGCGAGGGGGTAAAGGAGAGGTGGAACGTCCAGGTGCGTTCCGCCCTTCAGTGCTCAGCGTTCGTCGTCTCTGACAAACATACAATGCTAACCCTTGCCGTTGCCGGACGTACAGGTCACGATCCAGTCCTACGAGCCGATGAACAAGCGCATCACGGGCTACATGCGCGCCTTCGGCATCGATGGCGGCGCACCCGTCTCGGCAACCTACAGCGACGTGACGACGCACTTCTCAGGCGACATCCTCCACCCCATCATCGACGGCCTCTTCGCTTCTCCGTCTCTCACCGGTTCCGGCGGCCGAACGGGCTCAGTCAAGGTCACCCGCGCGTTCGAGGCCGAGTCGTGGATCCAGCTTGGGCCGTTCAAGGGCTTGTCTAAGGCGGACTTGCTGGAGAAGTCGAGGAGTAGACAGTGGATCGAGGAGCAGACTAAGGGGTGGATCTTGTTCAGGTGGAAGGAGCAGGGCTTCGTCAACGTCGCTCGTGAGTTACCGTTTCCCTGTCAACTCTGATGACATGATTGGTGCTGACACTGCTTTTGCAGCCACCGACTCAGCTCTCTCCATCTCCGGCTTCTACCACGCCGCCCTCAACCGCCGAACAGGCGAGATTGAAGGCTTGTACTGCGACCCCGCCGCGACGCCCAACCAGCACCTCTTGCTCCGCCCGACGTCGAACACCAACGGCGCAGTCTCCTTCGGCGCCTTCGACTGCCGATAGTCTCCGCCTCGCCTCGTCCTCGCCTGCCTTGTCCCGTCTCACTCGTTCTTCCAGCCTTCTTCGCAACCATTCTTGTTCATCGTCCCTTCTACGCATCTTGCACACCCGTCCTCGCACTCGCATACCCAATTTCGACGATCGACCCTGTACACTTCGCTCACACTCGCCCGCACTCCGCCGCCCTTCTATCGTGCGCACTTCTTGCAATGACCAGCAACGTCTCGCGGTCCTCTATCTCGCAAGATTTGCACTCGGCGTTGCCGCGCATGTCGCGCTCGTCCCCGTGCGCCGTCCGCGGATTGTCCGGGATCACCTCTCCCTTCCTCGCTCGCTCTTTCTCCTCCTCCCCTCTCACATCGTCCGACTCGCCTTCTCGCTTGCTACCAACTGACTTTGCCCGCAGATCGACCCGCATGTCGCGCTACGCCCAGCGCCGCTGTGCGTCCTCTTCGCCTGGTCCGCGGACTCTGACCTTATTGTTTTCCCTTCGCTAACTCGTCGGTGGATAGATACGAGACCTGAACAGTACTACTACGACGATGCGAGGGGGCCGGGGAGTCGGTATCGAGGTGATGAGGACGGAGGGGACGAGGACGACGACACGGCAAGTCCTCGCTCTTCGTTTCATTTCCCATGTTTCGACCTGACGATGCAGTCCACAGGCCGTCGCGACAGACCTGTCTGCCCTGAAGCACCAGCAGCCGAAGCGAGGCGTCGTCTTTGGCGAGAACGAGGTCGAGGAGTTCAACGGCAGCGAGGCGCCCGATGCCATTGTTCCTGCCCGCTCGTCGTCCCGCATGGGCATGTCCCCTGCTCCGCCAGATGGGCGACGCTACCTGTCGCCTGTCGCCTCAGCTCCTGCTCAGCAAGGCATTGGTCGGCCTCGCTCGACGTCGATAGACGGTCGACGTTCGGCGCAACCTTTCCTCCCGCCTCCTCCGCCGCCTCAGCGCGTCGTCGTCAGCGATGCGCGGTACAGCATGATGCCGCCGCCGGTACCGACGACGTCGTCCGTTCGGAGCACGATGCGACCGCCCTCTCGCGACGACAGGAGCTACGGGCGTCCGCCTACGTCTTTCGCTCGCTCGTCAAACGCGTACACGTCCGACGAAGACGATGTCAGACCGCGCGGGAGCGATCGCGAAGACGACGACGACGCCTTCACGGCCGTTGCAACAGGCGTAGCAACCGACCTCGACATGGAACCTCCGACGAGACGCGAAGATCCTCGCGAACGTCTCATGACGGTCCAGCACCAGCAGCAGCCCACAAGCTATTCGACGTATCTCGCGGTCCCTCGTCCGCCCTCTCGAGGTGTCCAAGTTCGGCGCAGCATCTCTGGCTCGCCCATCGGTAGCGGTCCGCCTGACCATCCCCTCGACGGTCCTTCGCCCAACTCGCACGCTCGCTTCGCTTCCGTCCACACGCCTTGGCCTGCACCGACGTCCGCCTCAGGCTACGACTCGAGCGATTTCGACTATCCCGACGATATCGAGCCTCCCGCGGGCTTGCTGCTCCGGCAGCGGCAGCTTGCTGGCATGCGGTCGACACCGCCTGTCGCCGAGCAGCGCGGCATCGCTCGGCCTGTCTCGAGCGCGAGCTCGAGGATGCAGGTCGACGACTACGACTCGCCACCTCCGCCGCCCGCCTACAGAAGCAGCCCCGCTGCGCCAGCGATCGAACGCTACGAGCGGCCGCCGTCGCTCAATGCGGCAAGAAGAGCGGCTCAGCGTGACCTGCCGGAAGACTCGCCGATCGAGAAGGAGCTGATTGCTCTGCTCAAGGTGCGCCTAAGCCTGTACGCCATTTCGAGCAACTCCTGACGCGGGTCATGGCGAGCAGGAGCTCCAGTTCAGCCTCGCCCTCAAGGACTTTCACGACGCGCTGAACATTGGCGTCCAGAAGACGCTCGTCGCCGAGGACGGCATGGGTCACGCTTACTGCAAGGTCCACTGCAAGGTGCGGCTCGCACTCCCCTAGTCGGTTCGCCGCAGCTGACGCCTTGTATTGCAGCGCCTTCCGCGGCATGAGGACATCGAGCGGGAAGTACACCTCAAGCAGCACTGGGTGCCCATCGCAGGCAGTCGATGGGTGCGTTGACCTCCCAACCTTGGCCGGGTCTCGTCGCTGACGTCTCTCGCGCTCTCGCAGGAGTTCCGCACCGCGTCGCACAGGGTTACGGTGGTCTTCAAAACCGCAGCGCTTGCAGCGTTCGAGGCGCAGTTCCTGACGAGGCGGTAGACTGGGGGACTGTGTAGATGGTCTGAATGCATCGCAGTACGAGTCTAATCCTACAACACCGTGAAGAAGACATGCGAGAGATGGTCTAGTTGAATGCGGTTCGCCAGAGGTCCCGCCCCATCAGCTTCTCAATCCCGCCCTCCTCTAGCATGTGCACAACCCACTCTTTGACCTCTTCTGTCGACGCTCCTGCACATCGCGCGATGCCTGCGCCTTCTGGGTGGCCCGGTAATTGCGAGAAGCTCCAGACGAGCGAGTACGGCAGAGATTGCTTGTACTGCGATATTGCGGCGAAGGACGTGGAGAGGTGGGCGAGCAGAGGTGCAACGGCGGGACCGAAGAGGAAGAGGGTGGCGTAACAGGCGTAAGGTGCGACTCGAGAACGGTAGGTAGTCGGTAGTCGCGCCGCGTCTGTGTTGTCGATGCCTTCGCCGACGTCCCGCTCGATCTCGTCCTCCAGCAACATGACGTCCTTCGCTATCCGTCGACCTTCCAGCCAGATCTCGTTCTCGCTCCGGTACTTGTCGAACTCCCACTCTTCTCCGTTTCCCATCCCCATCCGTCCCGAGGTGTACCAGTCCAGTAGGACGAGACTACTCGTCCGGTCGAGAAGGTGGACAACTTGTCGTTGCGAATATCGAGCGCGGGAAAAGCAGGTGACGGGAGCCGGAAGGAGGACAAGGGTGGCGGAGGGAGCGATGGAGAGGCGGAAGAGTTGCTCGGTCGTGCTGGATTCGCTCAGGTGAGGGGCGTGCAAGTATCTCCCTGGCCGTAGCTTGAAAACCTTGGTCGAGCCTGCAGTTCAGAGCGAGATCAGCGGATCGAACGAAAGTGCGAGCAAAGAGAAGTGAGGCCGTATCAGCCTGCCCGGGCTTGGAGACGCTTGAAGAGCTCACTCACCTTGTGTCAACATTATCAGCGTTGCGCCCTTCCCCACCTCGCCCTTGAGCCGCACCCTGTCGCCCGCGACGAGTCCCCCTCCGTAGGACAACACGTACACGCACTGCACGCCCGGGAGGAACCGCCTCTTGGGCACGATAAGCTTGAGAGGGTAAGAGAACTGGATCGACGAGAAGTGCGCGTCCGATCGGTTGTCGAGCGAGACGGTGAGGCTTCCGTCGCCTGGAGCGAGCCGACTGTTCATCCGCTGAAGGCGATCGTGCGAGCTGACGAGGGCGGCACGAGGCTGTAAAGACTCTCCTAGAATGCTCTGAGCAGCGGCGAAGCGGACGAGCGCAGTCGAGCGAGACGAGCAGGATGGTCCAGACGAGAGGAGTGGACGAGGCGGGGCAAGACGGCGAGACTCGCGGAACGGGTCCTTTGGCTCCTCGATGACACGAATGCAATGCTTAGGTACTGAACAACAACACCTACGATTCTACAGACATCCGGAGCCGCCGCCGCCACCGCGCGACCCACTTCTCCCTCGTTCTCGCCGTCTCCGCCCCGCTGCGCTCCGTAGCCGCACCCTGTATGCCTAGGCCATCTCCCGTCGGGGCCTCTGCAGCCACAGCCGAACGCCAAATGTCCTCATCTGCCTCGCCGACATAGAGCGCCCCGCTCAGCGACTCGCTTCGTCGGTGTCCTCGAGCAGGCCTCGTCCTGCGCGGCATGTTGGGCAGAAGAGACGCCGTCGAACGTGCGAGCGGGTCTTCGGATGATGTGCTGAAGGGGGAAGAGGTGGGAAGAGCAGCTGTGTGTGCGCGAGCGGGTCGAGGGCGGATCTCGAAGCCGGGAGAGGCGGCGGAGAGACCAATCGAGAAGCCGCGAGGACGCCAGGTAACTGCGTTGAGAGAGTTTAGCGGAATAACGAGGGCAGATGGGCCGACGAAGCGCACCTGGCTCTTCCTGATCTGTCAAGTCTTCGACACCTTCCATCGCCAAATCTTCCGGCTCGTCTGTCCAACCTTCTCCCGTATCAACCTTCTCCTCACCCTTCGACGCTCCCGATCTGAGGCTAACCACCCAGACTCCCGCCAACAGGACGGTACAACCAAGCCCGACCATCCCTCCCTGCAAGCGAGACAGTGCGTCGGCTTGGCGGTAGTAGATTATGCCGGAGACAATCGAGGCGGTGTTGTAGAAGCAGAAGGAGAGGGGGCAGACAAAGGTTGGGCCGGAGAGGCGGAGCGCGCGATTGAGGTAGGCGAGCTACACAAAGGGCCGTCAGTTTGGTCTTGCTGCTCAACACTGCACGACGCAAACGCACCTGCAACAGCTCGCAGATGAGAAGCATGGCAAGAATGAGCCATGCTTCAATGCGATTGAACTGATAACGGCGAACGGGAAGGTCAGTGCGAGTTCGGCGGCAGCCGGCTAACTCATGCGCACCTGGTTCTTCCCTTGGATCGTCAAGATGACCAGATCTACTCCCGTTTTGGTGAAAAGCAAGCACAGACCTGCCAAAGTACCGGAGGTGGCGCCATACGCCGTTGCGAGCCATACCCGCGTTCGCTCGATTCTCTGCATCGTCTCTTCGAGGCTGATTAAGCCCAGCTTCGGGTCGTCGAAGCGCAATGAAGGTGGTCGCGGCTTCGTCGCGCGTTCAGGCGATACGGCGGTCGCTTGTGCAGCGTGTTTCGGAAGTAGAGGTTGCCGTTCGCCCGAGGCAAGCTGCGGTGTAGATTTAGCCGCGCCTAAGGGGGGCACGCTCCATCTTCGCTTCCTGACCGCCCTGCTGACCGCTCGAGGCGTCTTCGGCGTTCCAGGCGGGGGGTGCAGGTTCTCGAGGCGCTTGTTGAGGCGCCATTCGGCGAGATGGGCGACGGAAAGGGTGAAAAGGAGGCCGAGGGCGAGGAAGAGGAGGAAGAGAAGGAAGGCAGGGCGAGTGTACAGGGCGATGAGGCGTGGGAGGGAGAGAGTCGGCTCCGGCACAACTGCGAAGCGGGAGTCAGCTTTCGCTCAATAATGGCGTCCGGCGACACTCACCTCCAAAGATGCCGATGAGGGTAGCGCCGCCAGCGATGAGTAGTGAGCCCGCGACTAGCTGCGCTGAGAAGTGGTCGCCAAGGATGATTCGGGCGAAGAAGGCGTTCCAAAGGAGTGAGACGGCTCCTAAAGGTCCGAGGACGACGATGGGCAAGGCTCCGAGCTGGAAGAGCGTGCCTGCAGCTCATACAGTCAGCTTTGCCAGGTGTAAACCAGGTGTAAATGGGTTCGACAAAAGCGGCGACGCACCGAAAACATTCGAGACGATGAAGACGGCGAACCCGGAAAGCCACAACGGTCGCTGCCAATCCCGTTTCCGCTCGTCGGCCGGAAGCTTCTCGTTCGAGAGGTGACTTAGTCGCTGGACAGTCAGGCCTGCGATCGTAGAAGCGAAGGTCAGCAAAGACAGGCGATGTCGGCGCGCGAGTTGAGCGCACCGAGCGACTGGACGAAGCTCGAGACGAGTCCGACTGTGATCTGTAGCGGTAATAATGTAGTCAGCATACTCGCTGCAGCATCCTACGCCGTTGTCGCCGTACTCCCGCCCGGCCAAGCCAACCCCGCCAGACATTTGGTCGTCTCGCCGCCTCGCACGTCGCTCGTGCACTGCTGGCATTCTCGCACACATTTGGTGAGGTGGTTCGGAGAAGCTCAGACGCACCCCGGCCGCTATCGAGAGGTGTGGACCCGACTCGTCCCCCATCTCCGGCTCGAAACTGATGAAGCGATCCCTGGTCGCGTGCCGCAACTGCCGGGCGTATGGGTGGTCCAGGTGGGCTAGCAAGGGGATTTTGCGTGGGTGATAGTGCTCTTAGCGGTCCAGTGCCTTTACGCAGCGCAGATGGGTGAGGGAACGAAGCGAAGGGCCGTCGGGTGAGGTGTCAAGATGTTATTGCGGCGCTCACGCTGCTTTGGTTCTGCGGAAACATTCCGTCGTTGCACGCACTCTCATGGCGGAACACCGCGCCGGCAGTTGACGGGGAGATACAGCATTCAAGTCGCAGGAGAGGAGGAGGAAGAGTGCCGTCGAATCGAACACTCATTCGCTCTTGAGACCGGAAGCCTGTGCCACCCCGATTGGCGCAGCAAGGAGGAGTTCGAGCAGGAATTGCGGTAATGGCAGGCGTTCCAACGAGAGGAGCAGTTCGGTTGAAGCCAAGTTAGCAGGAGGTACGAGGCACGAGACCTCCGGCGACGCCTGCCATTTTCAAGCAGCAGCAATCCCGTTACACATCGCTGCACCTTCCTTGACCGCTAGACGAGTCTGCGGCCGGCGAACCGCTGCAATGCGACCGTGATAGGTCCGAAGGACGAACGAGGGGCACACTGTCCGCCGGAGAGCAGTAGGCTTTGAACAAGCTGAACTGAGTCGGCGCAGCACCTCTGGATTCCTCCACCGTTGATGCCTGGCGAGGGAGAGTGCCGGGCGGATGAGAATGGCGAGGAGGCGAGGCGCGACGGCCCGCGGCATCCGGGGGTCGACGAAGCAGTTGGCTGTAGCAAAGAGCGCGATTATAGCCTCTGGGACTCCTCAGCAGCCAGCCTGGCGGTGTGAGCACTCGTCGGCGGAGTCAACCCTCGGACAAGGGAAACCTCTCGCTCCGTCCTCTCGCTCTGCTCTGCTCCAGGACCAGCTGCAGGCTAGCCAGTGCTCAGGAATGGCTGCACCGATTGGTAATGGCGGCTCTGTCCCGCTCACGGTCAACGACGGCAACGCTTCGTCCGCCTCCTCTTCGCTCGCTCCGAAGCCGCACATCGACCCGAACAACCATGTGGTCATGCTGGACAATTGTGAGTGCATTTCCAAGAGTCTCGTAGGAGCAAAGCTGACCGCCCTCGTCTGCAGACGACAGGTGAGCTCTTGCTTCAGCTGCCCGCATTCTTCCTTCCGATCTTGCATTGTGCAGTACGGCGGGATGGAGAGGGAGCCTGTAGTGCTGACAATGCTTCTCTTGCGTGGGCAGCTTCACCTGGAACCTGGTGCGCTCTCTTTGTCGCACACTTCCTCCGTCCTCCTCAAGCTAACGCTGGCTTGACTCGCTCGCAGTACCAGTACCTCTGCCTCCTCGGCGCCAACATGACCGTCATCCGCTCCGACGCCCTCACGCTCGACGAGCTCCGCGCCCAGCACCCGACCATGACCCACCTGGTCATCTCGCCCGGTCCTGGCCACCCTCTCAAGGACTCTGGCATCTCGGTCGATGCGATCGACTACTACGCCGGCAAGATCCCCATCCTCGGCGTCTGCATGGGTCTCCAGGCGATCACGGTCAAATACGGCGGAGTCGTCGAGCAAGCCGGAGAGTACGTTCACGGCAAGACGAGCGCCATCTTGCACGACGGCAAGGGCCTCTTCAAGGGTCTCGCGCAGGGCGTTGCGGGGACGCGGTACCACTCGCTTGCGGCGCGCATCAACTCGCTGCCCGAGGAGCTGGTCGTCACTTCGCGCACCGAAGGCGGAATCATCATGGGTCTCCGACACAAGGAGTACTCGATCGAGGCGGTTCAGTACCACCCCGAGTCGATCTTGTCCGAGGAGGGAAAGCTCATGCTCGCCAACTTCTTGTCGTGGAAGGGCGGCAGGTGGAGCGAGCTTCCCGAGGTCCTCGAGCCGGTCAAGGGCTTCTCGGCATCTGCACCTCTTGCCAACGGTTCCGCTCCTTCGCCGAACGCCGTTCCGACGATCCTTCAAAAGATCGAACAGCAGCGCATCCTCGACGTCGCCAAGGCCAAGGCGACTCCAGGCTACAAGCCGTCCGACCTCGAGTCGCTCATCGCTCTCCACGTTCCTCCTCCCCTCATCTCGTTCCACCAGCGTCTCCGACCATGCGCGACGTCGACTTCTGCGACCTCGGCCGTTCCTCACATGGCTCTCCTCGCCGAGGTCAAGCGCGCCTCGCCTTCCAAGGGCGACATCGTCGACGCCTCTTCGCCCTCTGCGCCCGCCATTGCCCTCTCGTACGCTCTCGCCGGCGCATCAGTCATCTCGGTCTTGACGGAGCCGAAGTGGTTCAAGGGCTCGCTCGACGACATGCGCGCCGTCCGTGCCGCTGTCGACGCCCTCCCGAATCGCCCTGCGATCCTCCGTAAGGACTTCATCCTCGACCCGTACCAGATCGACGAGGCCCGCGTCTACGGCGCCGACACCGTCCTCCTCATCGTCGCCATGCTCGACGACGCCAAGCTCGCCTCGCTCTACGCTCACTCGGTCGCGCGCGGCATGGAGCCTCTCGTCGAGGTCAACAACGCCGAAGAACTCGAGCGCGCTCTCAAAGTCGGCGCCAAGGTCATCGGCGTCAACAACCGCAACTTGCACGATTTCAACGTCGACATGTCGACGACCTCGCGCATCGCGGATGTCATCAAGGAGAAATACCCCGAGCGCGCTGGCGAGGTCATCCTCATCGCGCTCAGCGGTATCACGGGTCGCAAGGACGTCGAGCGGTATCAGGCGCAGGGTGTGAGCGCCGTCCTCGTTGGCGAGAGCTTGATGCGCGCGAACGACAAGGGCGCCTTCGTCAAGGAGCTCCTCGGCCTTTCGTCCTCAGCAGCGCCTTCGTCGCTCGTCAACGGCGCCGCGCAGGCTGTCCAAGCAGCTGCGTCGGCAGTCGTTGGCGCCGTGACCGGCAACTCGACCTCCTCGCCTCGCAAGGCCCCGCTCGTCAAGATCTGCGGTCTCAAGACGCCCGAGGCAGCGCTTACCGCCGCTGACGCAGGTGCAGACCTCCTCGGCCTCATCTTCGTCCCCGGCAGCAAGCGCAACGTCTCGCTCACTCAAGCAGGCGAGATCATCTCGGCCGTTCGCGCACGCCACGCCGGCCCAAAGCGGGCAGAAGCCGCTGCTGCCGCACTTGACACGTCCGACTGGTTCTCACTTCAGGCGTCGCGCATCTCGGCACACCCGCGGAAACCCCTCTTCGTCGGCGTCTTCCAGAACCCATCGCTCGAGACGGTTCTCTCGACTGTTGACGCTCTCGGCCTCGATCTCGTCCAGCTTCACGGCTCCGAACCGACTCAGTGGGCTCGCCTCATTCCTGTACCGGTCATCCGCGCGTTCCACGTCGATGAGAAGGCGGAGGCGGACGCAGAAGAGGCGGCGCAACTGCGTGAGGCGACTCGGCCAGGCTTCCATGCCCTGCCTTTGCTCGACACCAAGGTCAGCAAGGACAAGGGTGCGCTGAGCGGCGGTGCGGGACGGGTTTTCGACTGGGCGGTCGCGAAGCGGCTCGTCTCGTCCCGGGTGCAGGAAGGACACCGGGACTTGCCGATTGTTCTGGCGGGCGGACTCGACGCGGCAAACATCAAGGAGGGCGTGCAGACAGTTCGGCCATTCGCGGTCGACGTGAGCGGCGGAGTCGAGACGAACGGCGAGAAGGACTTGGACAAGATCCGCGAGTTCATCCGGCTCGCCAAGCAGGCATAGACTAAGGATAGTTGGGGCTGTATTGGCTTCTCTCGCAACGGATGAGCAGTTATCAAGGCAAGAGGCTCGCTCGTTGCGATCGCGAGATAAAGCTATTGCAGCGAGTCGCGCCCTTCACTCGTTCCCGTCGAGATTGACGAACTCGAGGAAGCCACCGGCTTCGTCGTCCACGTCTGGCGCGTCATTATTCTCCGCTTCGCTCTCCACCTCGATGAAGCTGCGTCGACGGGGACGTCCCTTGACCGGCGAGCCGTCTTCAGGTGTCGTACCATCACCCAAGTCAGCCTGGGTCGACGGGAAGGCCTGCGTCACCGGCGCTTGCGAAAGCGGCATCTCGTCATCCATTTCGTCCACATCCATCCTGTCCACGTCCGCCTCGACCCGCTCGACAGAGACATTCGCCGGCGATGCCGTAGCCGACATGTCGTCGTCCTCATCCGTTCCGAGGATGCCCTGGCTCGCCTCGTCCTGCTGCGACTCAAGCATCTCCCTCTCAGCCTGCCGTCGCGCCTCTTCCGCCGCCTCGCGCTCCGCTCGCTTCCTCCGCTTCTCAGCTTCCGCATCCTTTGCTCGCTGAGCTGCAAGCGCTTCCTCCTGGATCCGTTCCATCTCGGTATGCGAGAGGTACGTGAGGCCGGAAGTGTCGGAACCGAAGGAAGACTGCTGCGACGAAATCGAGCCGGTTCCGGTCGCGGCTGTTTGCGCTGGAGTGGCGAGGACGTTCACGATCGGCTGGACCGAAGTGCCGCGTGTGAAGGGACGAGTCGGAAGGATGGGCTGGGTGAAGGGGTTGGGCTGCGATGAGGAGGCGGTCTCGAGACTCGAGACGATGGCCACGCTTTTGCTGCCGCTTGGCTCGCCAGCCAACGACTGCGAGTCGGATACGTGGTTCGACGTTCCCGAGCCGGACGAAGTTGACTGCGTCGACTGCGAGACGAGGGTGACCGAGACGGCTGCTTCGACGGTCTCGGCAACGACAGCCTTGGCAGGCGGCGCAGACGACTCGGGCGTGTCCGGCACGAGCTGCTTAGCGCCTTGCGCAGGCGTTGGCGCGTCCATGGAGACGTCGGCAGGAGAGGCAGACGTTGACGCGGTGAAGCCTGCAAGAGGCGGGACGTTGCCGCTGCGTTCGGTCGCGGGTTGGCCGGGCGGCGGATCGTCTGTGGCGTGTGGCTGCGACTGAGACTGGTTTTGCGACTCGCCAGAGAGGTCCGCTACAGCCGAAATGTCGGACGGCAGCGTCGACGGTTCGGCGGAGGACGGCTCGACCGAGTCTTGCGAAGAGGCAAGGGCAGGTGCTGTCGTCGAGACGTTCGGGGCCGGCGACTGTGTCGATCCCTTGCTCTTGGTAGTTGCGGGAGGAGGCGGCATGAGGATCGTGCTTGCGCTAGGTCCGAGGGGCGTCGCAGGAGGAGGCGCCGGATGCGAAGGTTGTACAGGCTCCCGTGCTGGGGGTGCGTCCGCCTCCTCCTCGGCTACAGCCGGCTGCGGCTCTGACGGCGCAGTCTGCTCGGGGGGAGGAGTCGGTTCCGCAGGCGGCGCAGGCTCGCTCATCCTCCGCGAACTCCGCAGCTTCTGATCCTGCTCGGCCGCACCCTTCGCGAGCAAGCTGAAGATGTCGGTCGGGAACGGCTTCTCAGGCGGAAGTTGCGATTCTGGTAGCGATTCTGCGTCGTCGTTGGGCGAAGGCGGAGCGAGGAAGGCGGAAGGAGCGGTGAGGGAAGTGGGCGAACGCGCGCGCGGTCGAGGCGATCGTCGCGGACTCGGCGCAGGGCTGGCAGCGCGTCTTTCGGGAGTCGGCTGTAAAGAAGGTGAGAGGCGAGGCGAACGACGAGGCGAGACCGGAGGAGGGTGCTGCTCGGCGGATACGACAGGCGGTGGAGTTGCCCGCACGGGAGAGGAGCCGGCGTCTACTGCGATCGCGGGAGGTTCAGGTGTCTGGTCGGCCTCAATGCCGACATCCGTCGCGTCGTCCATCTCGACGGCCGTCTCCTCTGCCTCCACGACTACCTCGACGTGCATCACTTCCACCGCTTCCTCGCCTTCCTGCAGCCGCGTCTCTTTGCCATCGGAAGACTCGGTTCGTCGTCGTTTCCTCGGCGAGCCGCGATCCTCGGCCTGTCGTGCGGATGTCGACGCAGCACCGAAGGCGTCGGAGCTGGGCCCGGGAGTCGGCAACGAGTCCTGCGAGTGAGATTGGCTCGTCGAAGCCGGAACGAACTGCTGGACTTCGGGACGCATGAGGTACGGCCTGGCCTGCACATCGAAGAAGTCAGCTCAAGCTCGCCATCTTCAGGGAAAGCGGAGACTCGCCTGGTGCAACAGCTTCTTCATCCTCCGCAACTGCCTCCACACGCACAATGCCCAGTCCTTTGACATCTTCACCAGCAGCTCGGCGTCAATCTTGCCATCGTTCGGCAAGCCCTTGAACGGCCACCGCGGCGCCCTCTTCCCCTTCTCCTGCGCCGCCGCCGCCTTGGCGATGTACGCGTCGTAAGCGTTGGCGAAGACGAGAAGGTGCTGGAGCCCGTCGGGCTGGAGGTTGTAGATCTTGCGCCTGTCAGAGGTGTCGGAGGTGAAGTAGGCTTTGAGGGCGATTCGGGCGTCTTCGAGGTCGCCAGCGAGGATGCAAGTCTCGATGCACTGCGCGACGCATGTAAGGGTCAGCAAGCTCCCTTACTCTGCGCCGAAGAAGAAGCGAAACGCACCAGTCTCCGCCAGGACAAGTCGATTGCGCAGAAGCGGATGTCGCCCTCGTCGCGGTTCTTCTGGCGAATCACCTCCTCGAGCCAGTGCGCGTCCCGTTCCGAGAGCCTCATCTGTTCATCCTCCCTCAGCACATACTCTGCCGTGTCCAGGAGCCAGTTGCGGTGCTGTTCGAGCTTCTCGAGGTGGTGCAGGAGAAGCGGGAACCGACGCTCTGTGAGAGCCTCTGGCAGCGAGCGCGCGTCGCACAGCCCTTCGACAGCCCATTTGCGAGCATCCTCAGCCATTCTGCGAGCCCAGTCAAGCCGTGTGAGCGTGAGAACGAGTTGGTTGATGGTCAACCCGTGAGGCGTGAGGTCGCGTCGAGGTTGACCTTCACCACCTCGCTCGACCGCTCCTTTTGACTTGCTAGACTGCCAGAGTGACTCTCGCGCTATGCCAAAACGCGCCCACCTTGCCGTCAAACTCGCGAAGCAGGTGTGTTCCCACACTCGCTCCGTCATGCCTCCTCGATGCACGCTGACCAGCGACAACTCGCTCGCAGGCCACGCAGGATGCATTGGCGGACAAACTGAGAGAGTCCTATGGCGCTGGGAAGGGCAAGGGCACGTATGTTGAGGTGCAGCTGCGGGACCAGACGTTCGTCGCAGGTTCGTTCTCTGCTCGAGTACGACAGGCTGATCTGCTTTCTCTTTCTGTGACAGTGCACGGCTAGACATTCTTACGCTCAAGGGGTTGTCGGCCAGTTTGCGGGACTGGATCTGGGCACTCTTCGAGCAGAACATGCGGACACTGTGTGTCGAGAGCGCCTTTCCCTCTTTCCTCACAGCGCGAGCTGACCGTTCTATCCTCTGCGACAGATACGAGCACTCTTCAGAAGGCTACGACCCCGCAGAGAAGCGACAAGAGCTCTTCCACCCCGACTCGCGCTTCCTCATTCTCTACTCGCCAACATCGGCGGACAAACCCGTCGGCTACTGCATCTTCCGCTTCGACACGGAAGAGACGGCATCTGATGACGACGAAGAGCTATACGACGTAGCGTATTGGTGAGGCCGCGGCTTGTCACGACGTTCCTGCGCCTCCGCTGACAGTCTTTCTCCTCGCCCAGCTATGAACTACAAGTGGATCCGGCTGGTCAACGGAAAGGAGTGGGTCGGGTCCTTATGGAGGCGCTGGAGCGGATAGCAAAAGCGTGGAAGATGGACAAGACGATGCTCACCGTGTTCAAGGGTGCGTGACGCCTCTTCCCTCGAGACTTCCGCCTGCTGACTCTCGCTCTCCAGCCAACCGCGACGCTATCCTATTCTACGAGAAGCTTGGGTGCGTGACAGTGCTGCTGCATCACTCGCGAATGCTGACTTGACAACCTGCTCTCGCAGATACACGGAGGACGAGGTGGATCCGGGCAACTTTGGCCTGGACGACGCCGTAGACTATTGGATCATGTCAAAGACTGTGTCGTAGCATTCCAGGCGCCCTTTCGCCATCTCGAGAGACTTCACCTCCCGCATCCTCTCACCAGTCCCGCAAGTTGTTGTCCTCGACGCCACTCTCTCGCCTGGCCCGCTCGAACCGCTTGCTTGACTGCCGCATCTGTCTGCTCTGTCTGTACCGTGTACTCGCATCCTCACGACCGCCCGCATCTGTGTGAGTCCGCCTCGTCGCCTCCGCTCATCGCGTCCAACTCACGCGACCCAGCATCGCTTCGGCGGACGAGCTGACGCGTTCGACTCGCCTGCCACGCAGCACAGCATGTCGACTAGCCCCGCACAACCTCCCGCGCCGCCACAGTCCGCTCCCGCCGACTCGGCACCTCCCCCTCCATCTGCTTCCACCGCGTCTCCCGCCCCCGCGCTCCCTCGCAAAGCCGGCAAGACCTCACCATCCCGTCGTCGTAAGCCACTCAGGCGGCGTGGCGCGCGCGTCGAGTCCGAATCAGAGGAAGAGACGTCCGTTGCGCCCGCTGGCAATGCGAGAGATGGGACGGCTTCCGACTCTGATTCCGACTTTGAACCGCCTTCCCCCGACTCTGCCGACGAGGACGACGATGAGGACGACTCGGACGCGATCGACGGCGCGCCAGAGCCAAAGACTCCTGCAGCCGCTTCCGTCGAGCAGCTCCCGCCTGTCGACCACGGCGACCGCAAAGCAGCCGTCTTGACCGCCCAACTCGCCCACCCGAGCTGGAGCGACATGCCGGCGCCCGGGGAAGGCGGTGCGGATGAACTCCCAACTCTCGACTTTGCGAATCTCTCGATCGACGGTGTTCAGGCGCTTCCTTCGCCTCGAGCTGCGGCCAAGGCGCCGGCCAAGAAGGCGCCCGTCGCGTCAGAAGCGTCGAAGGAGGATAAGCCGCAGCTGAGCAAGAAGCAGCTGCTGTTGCAGAAGCGGGAGGCAAAGAGCGCGGCGCTCAAGGCAAAGGATCCGGAAGCTTGGGCGTCCAGGGAGAAGGAAAGGCTCGAGAAGGAAGAGGCGAAGAAGGCGGCGCGGAAAGAGCGTGTCAAGGAGAAGCGGAAGGAGAAGAAGCTCAAGGAGAAGGCTGAGAAGGCTGCGGGTGTCGAGGGAACAGGCGCAGCGCCAGTTTCCGCACCGTCAGCCACTGCGGCACCGGCTTCTGGACCTGCTCAGCCCGCCAGGTCGACGCGTCCTCCCAAACCTGCCCGCCCCGTTGTTCCCTCCCGCCCGTCCCGCACCGCTCTCGCCCTTGGCCTCGTCAACTCGACTCCCGCATCTCCTGCCTCCTCGTCTCCCACCGTCGCCGTCCCAAAAGCAAACTCGCAGGTCGCGCCGTCCGTTGTTCCCCTGACTGGCGCAAGCGAAACGACCCCCATCGTTCCCCTCGCGACCCGCCAGCCCGCCTTCGTCCAGCGCGATCAGGACGGTCGACCGATCCCTCAGCCGAGCTTCTTCGATGGTCCACCGCGTCGTCGCAGGTCCCTCGGAAAGGAAGATCCCTTTGCTTCCTTCTGGCGAGGAAGCGGTCGTGGTGGAGCGGCGGGCCGCGGGCGCGGTCGAGGTGGTTGGCAGCGCGCGGTGCCCGATCGGTCGGACGTGCAGACGCAGGACGAAGAGGCGGCGCCCACTTCTGATGCGCAGGAAATGGTCGGATTGACAGCAGGCTCCGAGGCGTTTGCCAGTTCGCGTGGCCGTGGACGAGGTAGGGGCGGTCTGAGCGCTCGCGGAGGCATCTCTGGACGCGGTGGTTTGGCGACTGGACCTCCCGGCGCGATCAATCCTCGCTACGCCCACCTTCCCTTCCACCCTCGACACCGCTTCCCCTCGCCTGCGCCTTCCTCGTCCGCCCAATCGACGTCGAAGGAGCCCGTCGCACCCGAGGCGACCACAGCTGCACCGGACGAGTCGCTGTTCGACCGACCGGGACAAGGCCGGGACGAGTCGGCTAGCGTCAAACTGCCTGGCAAGCAGCAGGTTTCGCTCGCGATCAAGGGTTCTGCGGCCAAGGCTGCGGACGCGGAGGCTGCTGAGTCCAAGGCTCGCGAGGAGCAGGAGCAGGCGAAGAAGCTGGCGGCGGAGCAGGCGGTCGCGGAGGACTTGGAGCGTCGTCGACAGCAGGGTGCGAGCGTACTCTACGCGGCGGATCCGACCAGATTCGCCTCGCCGCCCATCGAGCCCGTCCATCAGCCGGCTGTCTCGCTGCCGTCGTACGAGCAGCGCCGCCCGCCTGACGCCGCCATCCACTCCTCGGTGATGTACCAAGTCCCGCCGCACCTTCAAAGTTCCGCCGCCGCGGCGCAGCAGGCTGCCTACGTTCATCGCCAGGACAGCCCGGTCTACTACGCCCCGCATGCACCGCAGCCGTATTATTCGCCTGAAGCGTTCCCCCTCGTCCCCTCGCCTCCGGTTCCTACGCCTCCTCCGACTTTTCTTCCTGCCGCGCCCGCGGCACCCAGCTCGAGCTACTTCCTCCCGCCCCGCGCGAACAAGCGCGTCGAGATCAAGGCGCCTTCGCGCGACGGCCAGTCGCCTGTGCCGGTCAAGACCGTCTCGAGCCCGAGCACGGATGCTTTGACTGCCGCGCAGAGGGCTCGCATCGAAGCGCTCCAGCGCGAAGAGGAGCAGCGTCGTCAGCAGTACGGCGACGCAGCTTCGTCGGTCGGCGCGGTCGCCGGCTCGAGCTCCCCCGTCTCGACTCGCGCACCTTTCCCGCCTTCGCCCCAGCAGCAGCGTCAACACCTCGCCTTCTCCCCGCCTGCCTTCTCGCCTGCCTCTGCGTACTATCCCGCTGCCCCCTCCCCCATGTACACTTCCTTCGCGCAGCAGCCTCCCCCTCCTCAAGCCTTCGACCCTTCCTCGCACCCCGCCTACGCCGACCAGTACGGCTTCTACTCTCCGCCGACGACTCAGCAGCACCACCAGCACCAGCAAGCGTATCCCCTTCAGCACTCGTTCCAACCTTCCATGTCGCCGCCTGGCACCACCTTCTACCACCAGCCTCACCTCGCCGATGCCGGCATGATGCCACCCTCAGGCTACTATGCCGTCCCCAATCATGCCGCGCACTACCCTCAGCAGCATGGCTGGCCTACGCACTAGCCGGCGTCTGCTTCATCGTCCGCCGTGTCCTTCGTTCCCTCCCCCCTCTGTTACGAGTAGGCTTTTCCGTCGCATCGAATAATCTCGCAAAAATACAAGCGTAGTTCATCCGTCCTCGTGGCGGCAAGAAGTGATCTCGGCGAGCAGCGTAGGACAGCGAGTACGATTTCAAGCGAGACAAGCGAAGGACGGAAAGCATTCGAGGCTCAGACTTCGACAGCAATCTGTGCGCGGCGGGGAATGTCAGTTGTGCGCGAGAGAGGCGAACGTGACGCGTCGCACCTCGCCGTACGGGTCCTCCTGTTCGACGCGGACCTCTCCCTTCATGGCGAGGGTGAGGAGGTGGTAGAAGGCTGCGGCAGCGATAGTCGGCGTCGTGACGGCCGCGGGGACGATGTCGCTGAAGAAAAGCTGCTCGCCAGCCGCGAGACCGTCGGCTTGGCGGCGGGCGTAGTTGAGGAAGCGGTACGAGTCGGTCTCGGGGAGAACCTCCTCGCCGTCCGCCTCGCCCGAGCGCGCCACCGGCGAGCCGCCTGTTCGCAGCGTTTTCAGTACCCTTGAGCCGGGTGAGAAGTGGTGCGCGCACCTTCGAAGCCGACGAGCTCTCCACCCTCCTCGAGCAGCGCTTCGACCGAGCCTCCCGGGAGCGGCGATGCGTGAAGAGACGGCGTACGGCTGCGACGCTGCGCCGAGCTGTCGTCAAAAGCCATCAGCGCATTCTGAGGGGATATTTGGACCAGGCAACGCACCCGCGAGGAAGCGGCGTTTCCATAGACACCCTTGTTCCGCCCGCCGCGCTCGAAGGACCGCCAATTTCGAGACCGAAGCCTGCAAGAGAAAGGAGGTCAGTCTCTCGTACTTGATGTCGCGAAGGACTACTCGCCACCAGCACCGCCAGCATCGCTCGTCGGCAACTCGGCTGCCCAGGGAAGCATGGAGGGACGGCCGCTGCCAGTCAAGCCGGCGCCGCTGGCAGCACGACCGATTTCGACGTCCTGTGCATCGCTGCATCAGCCGAGTTTCAGCGTGTGAGGAGAGCAACAGCCCGCACCTGGTCGAAGATGCCGTGCTCGAAGCCGCCCATGTCGCCGTCGCGAGCTGCATGCGGAGCGGATAAGCTTTTGTTCGTGAATACGAACTCGGCTCACGCACCATACTCCTCGCCGCCGCCGAACTCTTGGACTGCGAAGAAGTCCTGGGCGCCGACATCGAAGCCGCCAAAGTCGGCCCCAAAGCCAGGCTGCTCGCTCAGACGTTTCTTCACCTCGCGCGACTGCTCGATCTCAGGCGCATCCTCAGTCTTCCTTGCCTTGCGCTGCGCCGGCGAGAGCCCAGCAGCACGACGTTTCTTCTCGTCTGTTGAGGCAAGGAGAGTCAGTCTTCGCGGAGTTAGGAAGGTCGGGGTGGCAATGCACCCGCTGCTTTGCCGCCCTCGAACGGCGCCATCTGCCCGACGACCGTCTCCTTCCAGACTGGAGGCAGAGGGAGGAAGTCAGGAAGTGCGGGGAGCGGGAGGAGCTCGCATGGTACGCACACTCGGCGAGACCGGGAATCTGGACTGTTTGCCGGAAGACGTACGGGGTCAGGCAGCATTCTGTTAGGCCAAATGCAGACCGAAGAAAACGCACATGCAGCGGGAACGCCGAAGATTGCGTCCATCGCCTTCTGGTGAGCTTCGCGCTCCTCCCTCGCCTTGTCCGCCTTCTTGCGCTCAGCTTCCATCCTCTCCGCATACGTCGCGCGCATCGAGCGGAACTGGTCGTCGGTGAGCTCGGTGCTGCGGTCGATCGGGATGAGCTGGGTGAAGAGAGCAAAGTTAGTCTCGCTTCGTCGAGGGACGGCGGCGAGCGGACCTTGGCTCGCTTCGCCTTCTTCGCGGCCTTCTTCGTGTCCGCAGCCTTCGTCTGAGCCTGCTCAAGGGCGTCGGAAACGCGTTTGCGGGTGGTCGTCGAGGGGGTGCCATCGCCGACGCTGACGAACTCGCCAGACAAGTTGACTTCGCCGCCGAGGGGAGTTGCCGAACGCTGTCACTTTAGGTGAGTACAGTGTAGGTGTTGGAAGCTGTGGGGCAACGCACCCTTCGTCCAGCCTGCTCGAGCCTCGCCTGCGCTTCCTCGTGCTCCTTCCTCACCCTTTCCGCGAACGTCTCCTCGCCTTCGCCAGGAAGCTGCGCAGGAGGGAAAAACTCCTCTCCTCCACCGCCGAACTCCTGACCAGCGAAGCTGGAGAATGAGGAGAGTCAGCGCGATCTAGGGAAGGGGGTCCTGCCGGACGCACTGATCGTCGAACCCGCCGAGGTCTGCTCCGTAGCCAACCGCGCTCGACGATGCTCCAAAGCCGGCTGGTCCCCTCGCCGAGCCAGCTGCGCTGCCGCGCCCAGCCGAGCCCGCCCGAATCGCAGCGTCGAGTTCTGGCGAAATGCCGTACAGCAAGCCCTACAGTTGCGCAAATCAGTCGCTATTCGCTTGCAGTAGCTGGCGGGGTACTCACCTGGTCCTCCTCGCCAAAGATCGCGCTCAACGCGCCCTCGCCCTCGACGCCTGCCTGCCCAAACTCGTCGGCGCCTTCGAAGCCGCGAAGAAGGTAGTCCTGCAGGTGCGGCTCTGCGAGCGTGATGTCGGCTTTGCGCGCTTGGTGTGCGCCCTTGGGCTTGTGTTCAGCGGCAGGAGCTCCTGCGCGAACCGAGGAAACGGGATTGAGAAGGTTGTTGGCGGGAGAAAGAGGGGAAAGCGTGCGGACCTGCGATGGATGGCGCTGGACTTGTGAACATCCCCTCTTCGATACCCTCCATCTCGTCCGCACCCTCCTCGCCCGGCAGACGCCAGAGAATTCCGAGATCCCAGTCCGGGTCGAAGCCAGTGAGTGCGATACCCTGGTTGAAAGCGAGGTTGAGACCGCCTCCTCCCGCCGCCTCCTTTCCCTTCGCCTGCTCAAGGCCTTCGCGAGGCGTCGGAGGCGGCGCAACCTCGGGCTGGACGGTGACGTCGGGCCTGCGAGGAGGACAAGCCAAGTGAGCAGTCTGGCTTCACCGACTCCGCGGGACGTCGGGCGTACAGGTTGAATGCAGAGTCGGTTATGACCTTCTTGAGCGTGGCGTGCATGTGCGTGACATCCGAAGCGTAGATGGTGTACTGGCGAGCGGAGGGTCAGCCCTTCGCGGCGAATGAGCGGTAAAGGCCGTCGTGCGCACCTGCTGCTGGTAGACCCTCGCAATACCAACCATCAGATTTGACGAGAGACGCAACGCGAGCGGTTCATCCGGCGCTGCCACCTTCTCGCTGTCGTCGAGGACGAGGAGGAGAGGCGAGACGAAGCTGCGTCAGAGAGGGTCCGGAGGCGCGTTGCACGCGCTCAGAGAGTCTATAAGACGCACCACGCCTTGACGACGTTGCAGCTGAGGAGCTCCTTCTTGCTGAGCTTGCGAACCGCCGTCCCTCCTCGCGACCCGACCGTCGCGGCGAGCCAGAAGATCGCGAAGCCGCCCTTGCGCGACGTGAGGATCTCGGTGTTGTAGAACATCGAGTATGTGCCCCACGCGAGGCGAGCGAGCGAGTCGTCGTGAGTGGCGAGAGGGAGAGAGCACACGAGGGAGGGAATCGCTTTGCACTCACCGTCTCGCTCGCATGTGGATTGCAGTCAAAGCAAATGCAAAGCAATGACAAGTAATATAAAAGCGAAGGCAAGCGAGAACAAGCGAACTACCGAGACAAGCGCACCCAGTCCTCCCTCCTCTCGACCTGCCGCTTCACCTCTTCTCGCGAAGCTCAAGTGCTCTCCCTAGCCGTCATCCTCGACAACGAACCCTCCAGGATTGTCCTGTCCAGGCGAAGGCGGGGCGGGTGGCGTGTACTCGACCGTAGGGAGCGCAAAGGTCGGCTGGGTGTGCTTGTCGAGAATGTGCTGGACCTGTGGACCAAGAGGAAATGTCTTCAGCGTCCCCATCATGTCTTCGCAGGAGCGCGAGCGCACCATCCCGGACCACCTAGCACTGCCTTGGTAGCGCCCGCTCCAAATCGCCGGTCCGACCGCACCATCCCTCGACTTGCAGTCGTCGCACTTGAAGGCGGTGCCGAGCGCGTACAAGGTCGTGGTGGAAGGCGGGTCGTCCTTGAAGCGGTCCGGCTCGACGGCGTTGACGACGGCGATGACATGCTTGGTCGCGAGGATTCTGGCGGCGCTAGCCGAGAGCGAGTCGGCCGTGAGAGGCTGCGAACCGCACACCTTGTAATGGTCGAGCACGGCGGGGAAGGTCATGTAGGTCGTGCACCAGACGGACGGGCACTTGACCGCCGACTCGACCCTCTTCGCGAGCTGCTCGACCGCGGTCTGGCTGAGCGTCGCCGCACCGGCCTGGTCGCGCGCAAGCGGTGTGCCGGCTTCATTGTGTGCCTTGACGAGCTGCGAGTAGAAGACAGACTTGATCTCGGCGGCGAACCTGTTCGCGTCGTCCATGATCGAGTTGCGGGCGGCTGCGAGGGCGGTCGGCGACTGGTCGGCGTCCTCTGGCTCGTACAGCGTCTTGACCGAGTCGAACATGAGAAAGTTGCCGAAAGGCGGGAAGAGCGCGCGGGACTCGGCGGACGCGATGGACGACTGGAGCGAGTCGTAGAACGGTTTGAGAGCGTCGGCGCGCTTCCTCATCGCAGCCGCGAGCTCGTAAGCACGGCGGTCCTCCCTCTCCTTCTCAAGGGTTCTGCCGGCGACGTTTGCGGCATCAGCAAGTGGACAAGGAGAGCGGAGAGGGAGAACTCACTCGACAAACTTCGGAGAAACCGTCTTCCAGATGCGATCAGTCAAGTCGCGAGCCTGCTTCATCAAGCTGTGATTCTGGATGCTCGACGAGTCGATTCTGTGACAGTTCAGCGGCGAGTCAGGCTTGCGCGAGAAGCGGAGGTCAGGCAAGTCCGCTTACTCGCGCTTGGTATAGCCCATCTCGACGAGCTTGGCATTGATCCTGGGAAGCGATCTCACGCGTCAATGTGGGCTGCTCGCAAACGGGGGCGGAAGGAGCAGTCGTCGTACTTCTCCTGGCGGCTGAACTTCGCATCCCAGGCGTCCATGTTCTTGCTCGCCTGCCACGTCGCCCACCAGCGCCCAATCGCAGCTCCGTCGACAGTAGCGGCCTGCTTGATGCGCTTGCGCTCCTTGACGTAGTCGTCGAAGCCGGGCTTGCCGTCGAGCTCCTTGAGGCGAGCGCTGACGGCTTGGACGGTCGGCAGCCAGAAAAAGGAGTAGATCGCGCCCTCATCGAAGTAGCCAGGCGACCCTAAGAGAGGGGTCTCAGCTGAGAGTGATTGGAGGACGAGACGAATGCGAGCGCACACTTGGACTCTGGAACGCATTCCCAGACCAGACGGTGAGCGTTGTGCATGCCGTACATCTTGAGGCGCTGCTTGCTGTTCGCCTTCATGCACTTGGCGCAGGCGCGAATACGGAGCGTCCAGTCGGTGACGTTGGCGCGAGGCTTGTGGCAGACCTGCGGCGACGAGATTGAAGTCGAGTTCCGCGAAGAGCTACGCCTCGGGCTCACCTGGCAGGTCGAGTCGAACAAGAGCGAAGCGTACATCCATTCCTCGAGATCTCCAGCCGTCAAGTCGGGGATGTTCGAGGTGTTGAACCGCGCAGCCTTCCAAACCGAAGTTCCCTGCGGCGAGTGAAGCAGGCGACGAAAGAGCGAGCAAGTGCGGGACATGGCGAGGACCGTCTTCGTGTCGAGCTCGCCCATGATGAGCGCGAGAACGTCGAGCGGCATCGACTGGAAGAGCTCGAGTTTCTTCGGGCGGCGGCTCTTGCCCTTCTTGCCGGCAGTCGAGCGCTTGACCGTCTTCGCAGGAGGTTCTGCCCGAGCAGCAAAGAGTCGGCGTGTGCAGCGAGACGAGAGCCAGGACAAGACGCAGCCTTGTGCCGACTCGTAGGATGAACCGGGACCTACCGAACTCCTCGCTCTCGCCAGCGTACTCGTCCTCCGTCTCCGCCTTGGCCTTCCTCTTACCCTTCTGCTTCTTCTTGGGCGGAGCAGGCGCAGGCTCTGTTCGAGCAGAAAGCCCCAAGTCAGACTCGCAGCCCCTCCCTCGTCCTCGCACTGCTGAGCCATCAGCTCGGTGGAGTGAGGTGGTCCAGTCATCGCCGCTCCGGCTCGATACAATAACGCAGTTTCTCGTTGATTCCATCACGCGGCCGTACAGAGCAAGTAGACAGGAGAGGCAGGCGAACGCGAGCGACGTACCGAACTCGTCGTCGTCGCTGTCGGCCGCCTCGGCCACCTTGCTCGTCTGCGCAGCCTTGCGACGAGGTCGAGCTGTCGGCGAGTCTGCTGGGAGCGCAGAAAAACGCGTCGAAGAGGTCAGCTCGAGTTCGCTGGACTTTGTTCCCTGCTCGTCCCCTCCCCTTGGTGCTCCTTCAGCGTCTAATTAAAAGCCGTCAACCTGGTTCCAACTTGTGGCCAGTCCGTGGTAATGTATTGACTGGTTGTTGTCATCCCTGGAGCGTGAGATGATGGAGGACACGAGAACGCACCGCTCCCGTCCTCCGATCCGTGCGCGCGCGGCTCGTCGGTGCCGTCAGAAGCCAGCTGAGCTTGCACGGTGCCCTTGCGAGGCGGCATCCTCCCTAGCGATGGGGGTGCGAGCGACAAGTGAGCGGTCGAGGGGAGAGCTTGGTTCTGTGAAGCGGGACAGCAAGGCTCGCGAGTAAAACTTCGTGCTTGCTATTCTGTACAGTAGAGCAACGAGACGCTACGGATGTACTGTTTCTACTGGTAGAACGCGCCCCAGACCTGCGTCGGCGCCTCACCCTCCCTCGTGAACTTGACCTCCGTACCCGCCTTCACAAAGCCAGCCTGTCCCTTCGTGAGCGTGACAGAGTCGTCGCCTGTACTCACAGTGACCTCGCCCTGCGTGACAACGAAGCAGAGAGGGCCGTCGAGCGGAGAGAGGCGTTCAAAGTTGCGTCCTGTCGAGAGGAAAATCGCGAGGAGGTCGAACTCGGCGATGGGGACCTGTGGCAAGCGTGCCGAAGTCAGCATGTAGACTGTGAGATTGTCGTCGGGTGTCCACGCACGTTGTACAGGCGCGCATAGCCGTTCTCCGACTTCGACCAGACATCGTCGTGCGAGACGAGGAGCTTCTCGGCAGGCAAGTGGCGGTAGCTGAGCATCTCGACGAACGTGCTGATGCCGCCCTGTTCCGAAGTACCGAGTCCGTGCGCGACCATGTTGTCCGAATTGGCCATGCACTCGATAATGTCGCCCTCGACGTACGCGTGCAAGTCGTCGGCTGGCGGACGACGCGTGAGTTCAAGCCGAAGCAGCAGCAGGATGGTGCGCACCGAGGATCCACGTTCCCTCCCCAGCTCGCAGCCTCAGGATGTTCATGAGTGCCAGCGAAGCGAGAACTCCGACGTCCTCCTCGCCATACGTCTTGAGCCCAATCTCAAACACCCTCTTCATCGCCGTCGCCTCCGTCTCTCCACTCGCATTCGCCTCGCCCTGCGGCGTGAACTCGTTCGCGGCGGCAAAGACGACGTCGGCGCTGTCCTTCTTGAAGCGCGCCTGAAGAGCCTGGACGATCGACTTGACTTTGGACTTGGGGAGATTGATCGCTTCGTGAAAGAGCGAGCGGAGGGCGGCTTTGGCTTGGTCGTCGGAGGGAGAGGAGGAGGCGACTTGGTAGAACGACTCGAGCGTCGAGTCCTTGAACATCTGCTGGAGTTCAGGTGTGCCTCGAAGGGTAGCGGCGAGCTGCTCGGGCGGGCGGAAGCCGACGAAGGCTGCGAAGAAAGACGACTGTGAGCTTCGGGAACGGCGTTCACGCAAACTCTAGGCTGGAAGATACGCACCGGTGAAGGGGCTGAGGGCGACGCCGACTTCGGGCTTGGCGTTCGAGTCGACAAAGTCCGAGTTCTTGCCCAACTTGCGCTTTTCCTCGTCCATCAGCTGCGAGAAGAGTCAGTCAGACCAGCGCGAAAGGCGGACTGGGAGGGGAACGACGCACCTTGCCTCCGAGCGTCTTGTCCGGGTGGCACTGGAGTGGCAGCGGCTTGTCGAAGCTGAGCACCTTGAAGAGATACGGCAAGTCGTTCGGGTACTGCGACGCCATCTGCTGGTCGTTGAGAAGCTTCTCGCCCAGGTAGAACCTCGGGTCCTTCTGTATCAAGTCCTTCAACGACTCGCCCTCCTTGCCCTCAACCTCGCAAGGCCCGTTCTGGTGCGTGCTGCCGAGCCAGATTTCACCGTACGGCTGCGATGCCTTGATCCCGCCGTCCTTCTCGACGCCAGCCTTAAGGGAAGGAGTAGCGAGTGCGTACTGAGCGGCCCACGAGTCCATCCCCTCGCGCCCGTACGGGAACGGCTGGAGGAAGGGTTTGAGCTGGACGACAGAGGGGAGTTGCGACGACGAAGCCATGGTTTGCGGATGCGAGCGAGATGCGAGAGTTGCGGGCGAGTTGCGAAGGTCAGGTGTCGGAGAGTGAGCAGGTGGAGAGTCGAGTCGTGCGAGAGAGAGCCTGAAGCAGTCGTTGGAGTCGTAAGGAGACGGAGCGAGCACAGCGAGCGCAGACGAGGCAAGCGACGAAATGACGAAGTCGCACCGCCTCGGCCGGGTCGACGACTCCGGGGTGAGCAGGTCGAAGCGCGAGGTGAACGCGTGTCGAAGGAAAGCCTGAGGACGACCGCGGAGTGCTGTGTGAACTCCCAAAATGTTCCACAGACTCGAATCAGGCTGCCGCAGCAAGACTGCCGACCGGCCGCGCGCCCTGCGCCTCTCGCACCTGCCTCTCCAGTTCCTCTGCCTTCTCGTGCGCCCTTGCCCGCTCCTCCTTCGCCCGCTTCTCTACCGCTGCCAGTTCGACGTCTCGAGCGACGAGTCGCGCCTCCATCGACCGCAAAAGTGCCTGAACCGAGTCGAGGTGTTGGGAGAGAGCGGAGGGGTTGAGGGCGGGTACGAGCGATGTCGACGGCGCCGTCAATGGGCTGTGAGCTGTCGCTATGGGTGACGACGGCGACGGCACAATGGCAGACGCTGTGGCGCGGGGAGATGGTGGCTCTTCGTCGGTTGGCGATTCGGGAATGGCGGATTGGGCGAGCGAGGTGGAGAAGCTCGTCGAGCGGCCGAGTGCGCCGAGACCGACTGGGGTGCCGAGTAGACTCGCTCGAGCTGCGAGCTTGCCGCGGACGGCGGGAGAAGCGCTCGCAACGCCTGGTCGATCCGCCAAACCGAGTTCGTCCTGCCAGTGCGGTCCGTACGCCCGTTCGAGGAACTCGCCCATCCGCCGTTGCCTGCGAGCGGTCTGTCAGTACTCATGGCACTCAGAGAACGGTGCGAGGAAATACGCACCGAGTCTTGAGCCGTTCGACTTCGAGCGCCTGCTTCTCGTTCTCCTTCTGGAATCCCGCAAGCATCTGCTCCTGCACCTCGAACTCCTTCTCGAGCCTCTCCATCTGCTTGACATCGAGTCCCGCCTTGTCCGACGCCGCTGCCTTCTCCAGCCTGTCCACCTTGGCCAGGAGGTCCCGTTTCTCTCTTGTGAGAGCCGCCAGCTCTTTCCGCATCGCCGCAATCTCCTGCTCCTTACCCTCCAGTGTCGAACGAAGCGAGACTACCTCAACCGACGGTCCTCTCGCCTCCCTGTCCGCCGTCCTCGCCGAGTTGAGAGACCGTCCAGGCTTTGGCGTCGCCTCGACGTCTGCTACTCCTCCTCCGCTGAGCCCAAGCACCTCGCACATAGCCGCAGCCTCCTTCTTTGCCGCCTGCGAGCGGTCCTTGGCCGATACGGTCGCTGTGAAGCCGCTTGAGACGCTGTTTGATGAGGGGAGTCGAGCAGTCGCGGCGGAGCGGTAGGTGCGTTGTGGGCCAGAGAGGGTGTCTGCGAGCGAGACTGGCGTGTATAGCGACTTGTCTGGCGAGTACATCAGTAGCTCAAGAGCGTGTTGAGCTGGGTTGGAGCGAAGTGGGGCGGTCGAAGAACGGTTGGAGGAGAACTGCTCACTTTGCTCTCGCTGGAACGGCTCGTGGGGCGCGTGAACTACTTCAGAGCGATGCTAGCTGTCCCCAAACCCACCACGCTCACATTCAAGACCGTCCTCGGTGTCGACTATCAGCTCGACGTCTGGCTTCCGGAGCAGGACTCGCTAGCAAAGACACCGTGGGAGGCGGCACCGGTGCTCTGCTACTATCACGGTGAGCATCGTCGTATGCGTGGAGCCGGACGAATCAAGCTAATCCGCGTTTTGTACGACGCAGGAGGCGGACTTTGTGCTGGAAACCGCGACTGGAATGCCTGGGTACCCGACTGGCTCTTCTGTGTGCTCTCCTCTGCCTTCGTAAGAGGTTCAGAAAGGCCGCTGAGTGTCCGAGCATGGCAGACGGCGCCCTCGAAGCTGGCGTCGCCGTCGTAAGCCGCTTGTCTTCGCTGCAATTGCCTTTGCTCTTCTGCTGACGGTTACGATCTCGCAGATCTCCATCGACTACACCCTTTTAGGACCGCACAACGGTACACACGTCGTTGACGACGTCCGAGACGCCATGCGCTTCATTCACGACGAGCTGAACACGAAGCTGGCGGAACTCTCGAAGCGGCGGATCGACCCGAAACGGATAGCAGTTTGCGGATCGTCCGCAGGCGGATACGTTTCGTACATTGCGGTGTGTGCGCTTCGCTTCGGCTGGAAGCGCTGTATTGACGCTTTTGGGCGACAGGGTATTCACTCGCCGGTTCCCTTGAAGGCCATCATCTCGTTCTACGGCGGCGGTGGCGAGTTCTTGGTGGACTGGTATTTGAAGGAGAAGAAGGGTGAGTGAGGTCTGCCAAGGGAGAAGGCGCACAACTAATGCAGGCTTCGTCTCATGTTCCTGCGCCTGACCTGCAGAACCGTTCTTCCACGATCAGCCTCTCATCAAGGATCCCACGCCTTACCGAGCGATCCTCGACGCGCCAATAGACTCAACCCCTCCGACCGTCCGAACACCCATTGACGACCCAAACCAGCTTCGCAACACCCTCTTCTACTACCTCCTACAAACCGGATCTTTCCTGGACGCGCTTTCGGGCATGCAGGGCGTTGCGGCAGAACTCGCCAAGCTTCCGGCAGAACAGCGTGCGCAAGCTGTTCCCGACCATGTCAAGCGCGTCGTCCCGCATCTCGCCGTCTCCCCCTCTTTCCCGCCCACCTACCTCTTACACGGCACATTCGACTCGGTCGTCTTCCCCGCCGAGTCGCGCAATATGTACCGCGTCCTGCGGGAAGCCGGTGTTGAGGCGAAGTTGGCGGAAGTCGAGGGAGGCGAACATGGCTTCGACACGCAGGATGGCTGGGCGAGTGGGCCTGGGGGCCAGGACGAGGAGTTGACGAAGAAGCGGAACGAGACGCTGGGGACGGTCTTGCCGTGGTTGTTGGAGCGCATCTAGATTTGCTGCAGGAATCTAACTTATCGTTCGTCTCGTTTCCATCGCTCTCGAGATGGCGCTCCTGCCTGCTACGGGCGAGAGACGAGTGCATTGCGAGAGGGTCTAGACGATGACAATAGGGCAAATGCGAAGGATCTACAACGAAAGCGAGGAGGAGAGCGCTGCGAATGCGGGCATGGAGTAGAGCAGGCGGACGTGCAAGCCGCCGAATACGAATGAGGGGATATCTCGGGGCGTCATAAATCGTAACATAGAGCGTCGTGAATGGGAGGTTAGGCCACCTCCCTAGCCTCGCTCCTTCCCCTCCTCACCCCGTCACGGACGCTGTCCGCCGCCTCCGCCTGCGCGAACCACTTTGACTTGCTCGTCTTCTCGTGGTTGCGCTTCTCTAGCCAGCGGAGGTAGAGGAGGTAGCGATTCTTCTCGATGGGGCCGAGGTAGCAGCCTCGCTCGTCAATTACCACGACGTAGCGGCTGCCGAGCTTGACGAACATCTGTGGGTGTCGAGCGGCGTGAGATAGATCGCGTCCAGGAAGGGAGCTCGCTGTACGCACCTCGTGGATGAGCTCCATCGGACTCCTCGCGCTCACGGTGAGCGGCGCCTGATCCGTCAACCAGCTCAAGTCGAACGTCTCGCTCTCCGCTCCTCCGCCCAGTCCAGGCGTCGCAGCGGCGCTCATCTCGGCTGCGAGTCCCCTTCTCGCTGCCTGCGCGACCCTGAACGTGCAGGTCGTCGAATGAGGCAGGCCTTGCGGGCGAGCGAGCGAGAGACCATGCTCGAGCTCCTTCGAGCCGATATAGCCGAACATGCGAGGACTGCCGGCATCGTCCGTGGCGATGAGGGGGAAGCCGCTCGATGTGCCGGAGGCGTACAGGGCGGCGAGTTGCGAATACAGCGAGGAGACGGTATTGTCGGTGTCGAGCGAGATGGTCGGTGCGCTGGCGTCCAGGATGTCGTGCGGCGTAGAGTCGTGGACGTATTCGGCCTTCGCATCGAGATAGGGAAGGTCGGCGACCCTGTTCAAGAGGGTGGTCAGAACGCGAGGAAGGTCGCAGCGAGAGCAGCCCAGCTTACTCGATGACGAGGTCATCTGCGAAGGAAGAAGGACAGTTCAGAGTGAGCAACTTCTGACGGCAGAGAAAGGGGCGCTACGTACAGATCGACCGAGGCTCGATGCTGTCCGCAACGGTCTTGGCCAGCAAGACCGCCAACATCGTCGGAACCGAGTACGTCAAAGTCCCTGAGGATTTAACAGCGCGTCAGTATGCCGCTATTGGCTGAGCGCGACGATGGTGCGCACCGGTGAGCTCGAAAACGATGACGGCGAGCGAGACCGTCGTGCGAGTCACGCCTGCGAGAGCTGCCGCGGCGCCGATCATCGCCCACTGCAAAGCATCTTCCATGAGCATTTGTCTGAGCGGGATTTTGCAGAGGAACTCACCACGCCTGGCAAGACGCAAGCCTGTCCAAACGGCAACGGCCCGCTCTCGCCGTCCATCCTGCACGCTTCGAAGACAAAGCTGCGAGGGTACTTGGCGTGCAGAACCTCAACGGCCAGTCCGGCGATGCGGCCTGCGAGAGCGCCGACGGCGAGAGTGGGGATGAAGATGCCGGCTGGGAGCTTGAGGCTATACGAAACGACAAGTCAGCTTCTTGTCGTGCAAATTGGAGGGGAGGGATCGCACCCGAAAGTGATGGTCGTCAACGCAGCCTTGAGAAATAGCGCTGCGCCGAGCGAGAGGACGAGCGGGCCGACTTGCGAGGGCGAGGTGACGCAGAGACCGGAGAGGCGTTCCGACTTGTAGCATTCGGAGAAGAGCGACGAGATGAGCTCGGTGCCGCCCATCTTCGACCATGGGTTATAGAAGGCGATGCAGGCGGTGACACTGCGCGGTGAGACTGGTCAGGATGGAGTTGGCTGTGAGGGCGAGACGGCGAGACTCACAGAGTGACGAGCGCGACTTCGACGATCGGGTGCGACTTCAGGAAAGTGCCATTGCGAACGTGCTTCGTCCAGGCGATGTTGGCCCGGCAGAAGCAGGCGCCGTAAACCCCGCCGAAGATGGCGAGGAAAAGGAAGCCGAGGAGCTCAAACGAGTGCCAGTCCTGTGAAAGCGTCACAGGTGAATCGCGCAGTCAACCAGTAACCAGCGCAAGGACACGCGACATCGCGAGGACCATCGCGCGGTCTCAGTCCGCTAGGCGACTCACCTTGTCGTACGTGACGGCGAAGAGAACGATCTTGCCGCTGCCGAACGGATCGAACATCTTGAGCGTCATGGCGGCGATCATGGCGCACCAGAATGAGCGGAGCATCGTGCGAGGCGGGAAGTAGTACGAGACTGCGGGAGGTTAAGATGGGTTGTCAGGGTCGACCTTCGCGCAGAGAGCGGTAAGCACCGTGACTGAGAAGGAACTACCGGCCGCTCGAAAGGATCGCCACTCACCTTCCTCGAGCGAGAACAGCACGCCGCCAACCGGCGCACCGAAACTGACCGCGACGCCCGCTGCACAAGCCGCACTCAACACCTCCCTCCTCTTGCCCTCATTCCTATCATACTTCCTCCAGAACCTCGATACGATATTCGCGACACACGAGGCGATGTGTACAAAGGGACCTTCTTTGCCGAGCGAGAGGCCGGACGCGACGGAGAGTGCGAGGCCGACGGATTTGACGCCCAGTGTCCAGGAACCGAGGTAGCCGCGAATGACAAAGCCGGAGAGGATGGTCTTGATCTCGGGGATACCGGAGCCGGCGGCCTGCGAGAAAGGGAACGACAAGGGCGCAGGCGTCAGCTCTCGCTCACGGCGGAGGGAACGCAGAACCCTTCGTCCCACTCACGTAGTAAAGCGTCTTGCGCGTCCTCGGCACCGCAATCGGCTCGACGTGACCCTGCAGCACTGTATCGAGACTCGCCTCGCTCGTCGAAGCCGACACGACCTCATCAGTCGCGCCGTACTTGCTGGTCGAGACGGGCGGTGAGACAGACGCTTCGGGCGCGTCGGCGAGCTTGGCGGTGTTGCCGAGGCGGGGCGAAGCGAGCGAGTCTTTCGAGGAATAGACGGAGGTCGAGGCGGTGAAGTAGATGGTCAGGACGGAGGCGAGCACGGCGAAGACGAGCTGTCGTTGCGAACGTCAGGATGAGGATAATTGGAAGCGAGAGACGCGAACGCACCGCGATGGCGATGTAGGCGATGTAAGAAGCCGCCTCTCCCGCCCCTTCGCCCTCGCCCGTCCACTTCCTCCATACAGCCACCCACGTCGTCCAAGCCTCGCACTCTCCTCCTTCCTCCAACGCAATCGGCGCCCAACCACGCAAGACGAACGTCCCGAACGCCTTCTCAGGCGCACTCTCCGCCCTGCAGCAAAACCTCTTTGCCCTGGTCCATCCCGTGGCACAATACCCCTCCTTCAAATCGAACAACCACATCTCGGCTCGGATGATGCTGAACGCGATGCAGGCTGTGACGAAGCCGACGATGGTGACGAGCAGCCAGCCTTGGAAGCCGTCCCAGAGGTTGATGAGCTGGCCGCGGAGGCCTTGCGTGCGCTTGAGACGGCGAAGGCGGCGAAGGCGGAGGGAATGCTTGATCGTGTCGTGGATCCAGTCTGTACGGGAGAAGGTCAGGGGAGGCCCCTTGAATGGGCGGGAGAAGGGGACGAACCGATCGCGGTGTAGTTGTCTGTTTGCGCGCATAACCTGTCAATCATCCTCCCTCCCACTTCGAAGCGAGGAACACAACGCACCGTACCAGCTCCTTACGCCGTTGCCCGCCTCTCCCTCGAGCTCAGCCTTGAACTCGCCATCATATCCCCCTCCTCCGGTCCTCAAGCGACTCAAGCTCCCCCTCCTACTCCCAAAGAAGCTGCTCCTGGCTCTCGCCAAACCCCTTCTCTCTCCCTCGTCATCCGCACCTCGCTCGACCCCGTCCGCCCCATCGAACGCCTCCTCGAGACCCCCTGGACCGGCCTGAGCGTCCCCGTCGCCATGTCGGAACAACAAATCGCTGAACTGGTGCGACCTGCGCCTGAGGTCGTCTGCGCCGAACGAGCGAGCTGTACGGAGGAGCGGGCGGCGTTCGTCGAGCGGTGAGGCGAGGGGAGAGTAAGTGGGGGAGGTGGTGGTTGAGAGAGGAGGGAGGAGGGGTGGTGGACGTGGGAGAGGGGAGCGCGGGTGGGATGGCATGCGCTTGAGACGAGTTGTAGTGCGCGAATAGCTTCCCAGTCTAGCGAGGAAAGCGAGGTGAGAGGTTGTTGGTGCGATGAGAGCGAGGAGGAGGAGGCTCTGGCTCTGGCTTGTCACCGCTGACTACGCTGGACGTGCTTGCTGGGCGTGCTAGACACTCTTACACACTGGCTTGACACGACCCACCCACCCACCAACCCACCCACCCACCTCCTCCTCACCCTCGTGCCGTCATCTCCCCCTCCATCCCTCTACCGTCTCACCACCCGCACGGGCGACTGAAGGGCCGACGATGAACATCTTTCGACTGCTGGGTGACCTCTCCCACCTCGCATCCATCTTCATCCTCCTCAACAAGATACGAAAGTCGCGCTCGGCGAGGGGCATCTCGTTCAAGACGCAGTTGATCTACTTGATCGTGTTCCTCACGCGGTGCGTCTGCGTTTTGCTCTTCGCTCTCCTGGCGAACCTGCAAAGCGGGCGAAGCTGTGGGTAGAACGTGAACTCGTGGACTGACCCTCACTCCCTCGCTCGCTCGCAGATACCTCGACCTGCTGACGGGCCCGTACATCTCGCTGTACAACACGATCATGAAGCTCTTCTTCATCGGGAGCTCGGCCTACGTCCTCTACCTCATGAAGGTCAAGTTCCGGTGCGTACTCTCCGCTCGCCCGTTCTCCCTCGAAGGTCCAACTGAGCTAACGAAGAATCCACGTTGGGACGGTCGCGCAGACCAACGCAAGATCCGGCTATCGACACGCTCCGCCTCGAGTACCTCCTCGGACCGTGTGCCGTCCTCGCCCTAATCTTCAACTACTCCTTGTGCGTCCGCCCCCCTTCCTCCTCCTTCCTCCCACTCACCCTGTGCTTATGACAGCACGCCCATGGAGATCCTCTGGGCCTTCTCGATCTACCTCGAAGCAGTCGGGATCCTCCCCCAACTGTTCATGCTCCAGCGCACGGGAGAGGCAGAGAACATCACGACGCATTACTTGTTTGCTTTGGGCGCGTATAGGGCGCTGTATATCCCTAATTGGGTCTACCGGTGCGTTTCTGCCTCGCTCCCCTGCAACTGCTGAGAAGAAGGCTGATGGAGGGAGGAACAGGTATTTTACGGAAGACACGGTCGACCCGATTGCCGTCTGCGCAGGGATCGTCCAAACAGCGCTCTACAGCGACTTCTTCTACCTCTTCGTCACAAAGTGCGTTCAACCTCGCCTCCCCTTCCCCTACGAGAGTACGCTGATGAGTTGGTGCGGTGGCGCAGAGTCATGCGCGGCCAAAAGTTCGAGTTGCCTGCATGAGCAGCGGATATCGACACGACGCTCCCTCCGACGTCGAGCCGACTCTCGAGCCAGATTCAGTGATACCCCCCATGGCTCGACGAGGAGGCAGGACGAGGGCGACGAGTCGAGCAGGAGGAGCGGGCGGGTGGAGCAGCGCTTGTCGAGCAGAGTGAAGGGACGAGGCAACACGGACATTACACCAGCACCTTCTGTACGCTCTCTGCGCGTCGTCGTTGGAGTGAGATGCGGCTGCGATGGCTCGCTGCGACGAGGGGTTCGAGCGTGAGGAAAGAGGTGCGAGTCCGCGGATTTCGCTGGACTGTCTGTGCTTGTGCTTGTGCTCTCGAGAGAGTGTGTGCCGCTGTTGCATGCGTGTGAGTTGGATAGTATTTCATTGTTTGGGTTGTTGCGAAGACTTGCGATCGAGCTCTCTCGCCCTCGTCGCGACCCTCGTTCTCCTCGCGCCGTCACACTCGCGCTCTCACCCAGCGTGCGTGCGAATTGACCCAACTCGCGTGGCAGCTCGACACCCACACAGGCGCTGCACCCGCACCCGCACCCACACCCGCTCAAACGACCGCCGACGACCCACTGCCGCCGACCTCGCACCTCGTCCCCTCGCTCGTCGTCCACCGCGCATCGACAGACACCCAGCGCGACTCGCCTCACGGTGGTGTAGCACACTCACACGCTCACCAGGTGCGTGCCACACCCCGTCCAGTCCTGCCGAGAACGAAGAACACACGCCTCCGCAGCTTCGAGGGTTCGCTCTCGAGCTCGCCGCGTCGCCGTCACAAGCGCGCGCGCACTCTCTCGCTGGATTCTGTCGTGCATTCGAGTACGCTGGAGTACGTGCATGGGCTCGCGCGCGGCGTTGGAGCGCGAGGCGAGGCGCGCCAGGGTCCGGTCGGGGCCTCCGACGCGAGCTGGCCAAACGGGGCGTCAGTCACAAACGGCGGGCAGGCGACGCTTTTCTCGCGCTCGAGGGGGCTTGGTACTCGCCGTGCACACTCTCGAGACTCGCTGGAACCCGCACAGACACCAGCCAGACTCGCGCGAACTCGTGGCGCTAACCCTTCTCCTCCACATCTCTCGGCGTCCTCCTTCCCTCGCACCCGCTCGTTCGTCCCGCAGGAGATCGCCCCTTCCCCTCCTCATCTCCCGCCGTCGTCAGCTCGACACAGAGCGGCGACCGCCCTCCCCATCGCGGCGATGTACTCGTCCTCGCACCAGAACCCCTCCTCGCCCGACTTTGGCGCCGGTTCCTCCCAGCCCCAAGCAGCCAACTACTCGCGACCGGGAGCCTACGGGTCCTCGGCAGACCCCTCCCCGACCGGATCGCACGACGACCTCGACCCGAACCTCGCGCGCGAGCGCGAGTCGTACATGGACTCGGACCTCGAGATGCGCAAGTACCAGGGCTTGTCGGCCTCGGGCGTCGCCGGGTACCAGGCTGTCGGCGACGTCTCTGAGCCTGGAAGTCCCGTCCATGAGGGATCGTACGAGCGCAGCCATGAGAGCGGGTCGTCCGGAACCAAGGTCGACGCGCCGAGCAACTCGCGCATGGCTCGCCCCGAGACGATGAGCAGCGACGGCAGCTTTGACGCCAAGCACATGGTGCGTTGACGCGATTCTTTCTCCGCAATGTCAGCGCTTTGGGAGACTGACGAACTCGTCTTTGTGCAGTCCGAGTCGGGCCACGGCCACTACGGCGCGTACGGCGCAGACGGCATGTTCCACCCAGGCTCGCCGACGGGCCACTTTGGCCGCTACCGCGAAGGCTCGTTCGGCCAGCACTCGGGACTCGAGTCGGGCCGCGCGTCGACGATCGGGACCGACCACATCCCGTCGCACAACATGCCGCAGAACTCGTCGCGCGTCGCGCTCAACTCGGACTGGCGCAACTCGTACGACCAAGGGTCCGACATGAGTCGCAACATGGCCATTGCCGAGATCGCCCCGGGCAAGGAGAGCTACGGTCGCGCCGACTCGAACTATGGCGACGAGAAGAAGGACCCGGCGTTCGTCGGCGGCGGGTCGAGCTACGCCCCGCTCGCGCCTGGCTCGCCTGCGCTCGGCGGACCGCCCAAGTCGGGTGCGCGCGACGCCCCAGCCGTCGTCATCTCGCGCACCAACCGCCTCGACTGGATCGACGGTCTCCGCGGCCTCGCGTCCATCATCATCTTCACGCACCACTTCTCCGACCTGACCTGGTCCCAGACGCACCCCAACACGCTCGCCGTCGGCTCCCTCCAGGGCTTCCTCCGCAATGGTCAGCTCGCCGTCGGCATGTACTTCCTCGTCGGCGGCCGCGTCCTCGCCGCCTCGTTCCTCAAGTCGGCCTTCACCGTGCCCAAGGCCCCCGTCGTCCACGGCGACGACGAGCCCGAGAAGCCCGTCGTGCCGCGCAAGCCGCCCGGCCCGCGCTGGCTCACGCTCTCGTCGTCCCTCTTCCGCCGATCGATCCGCCTCGCCTTCCCCGCCATCATCGTCGGGTTCATCCAGTGGAAGGTCTGCGTCGACGGACTCATGACGAAGGCCATCGAGGCCGAGGAGCGCTTCCTCGCACCTTCGGCGCTGTGGGAGCCGACCTGGTGCCAGATCGGCGACTTTGCAGGGTTCCTCCAGTTCTGCCTCGACCTCTTCACGAACCCGAACCACCAGTACATGCTCACCGTCGGATCGGCACTCTGGACCACCTACGACCAGTTCTGGGGTTCCGTCCTCGTCTACCTCGTCGCCGCCACCCTCACCCCGCTCCCCTTCCGCGGCCGCTACTCGCTCTACCTCGCCATCTGCGTCGCCCTCTGGTGGATCAACTCGTCGAACATGCTGTGAGTCGCACTTTCCTCCCACCCAGACGAGGCGGGAACTGACCTTGCACCTCGCCCAGCTACATGATTGGTCTCTGGCTCGCCGACTTCTACGCCTCGGGCTTCGTCCGCAAGATCCAGGACCACTGGAAGTGGACGGTCGCCATCGAGGTCTGCGCCATGGCGCTCGCGCTCGCCTTCATCGCCGGCGGACAGCACGTCGCAGGACCCGCTGACCGCGCCATGGGCGCCATCACCGTCTACGACGGCAAGTTCTCGTGGAACCCGTCGTACGTGTGGCCGCAGTACATGCTCATGAGCAACTGGTGCGTTTCGGATCGCTAGCTTCGAGAGTGAAGTCGAGCTGACGACCTCGACGCGCAGGATCCCGCCGACGATGATCCTCATCTGGTGCGAGGTGTCGCACGCGATGCAGTGGTTCATGAGCTGGGGCATCTTCACCTGGGTCGGCAAGGTCTCGTACGGGTTCTACCTGATGCAGTTCCTCACCATCTACGGCCTCATGCCGCACATCCTCCTCCACTTTGCCGACCAGGACCGCTCGTCCTACTGGAACGTCGTCACCCCGACCTACATCCTCTGCCTCATGTTCAACTTTGCCGTCGCATGGTGCGTTCGCCCTTCTCCTTACGTCGCGAGACTTGCACCCTAACTGACGCTTCGTGCGCTCGCGCAGGGTGTCGTACCACCTCCTCGACCGCGTCGGCCTCAAACTCGGCAAGTGGATCTGGGACGGCCTCTTCGTCTCGAAGCCCAACACGGCCGGCTCGCTCCCCGCCAAGATGGGCCGCCACGCCTTCTGGTGCGTCACCAAGGGCCCGATCGTCCTCGCGCGCGGCTGGGCCAAGAACGTCGCCTCGTTCGGCAAGAAGGCCAAGCACGGCATCCACATGGCGTTCCACTGGCGCACGCCGACGACTCGCCCGCACGTCCCCGACCCCACCGACCCCGAAGTCCTCGCCCAGCTCCACTCGACGAGGTGGACGTCCGACCTCAGCCACGACAAGGAGGCGATGCGCACGCGCAAGCTCCTCCGCCTCCAGTCGTACATGTGGATCCCGCACCTCTTCCTCATCCCCGGCCTCACCGCGATCTGGGTCGTCTACCACCCGATGGGCGCCTGGACGTACGACGCCCTCACGTTCTCGTCGCTCTGGCGCTTCATCTGGGTCCTCTCGTTGCCCAACTGCTTCTTCGCCTGGCTCGGGTTCATCACGCCCGACATCTCGCCCGAGCCCGGATCGCTCGACAACAAGCCCGTCTGCCGCGAGTACATCCGCAACTTCTTCGTCGTCCTCGTCACCAAGGGCTCGAACGAGTCGGCCGTCCGCCGCGGTTACAACAAGCTCATCCGCCTCGAAAAGTTCCACCCGGCCGTCAAGGTCGTCGTCCTCACCGACGAGCCGTACGTCTACCCGGACCTCCAGAACATCGTCTGCCCCAAGTCGTACAAGTCGCCGCTCGGCAAGGCCAAGTACAAGGCGCGCGCGCTCGACTACTTCCGCTACCACGTCTCGCTCGGAGTCTACGACTGGATCCTGCACATGGACGAGGAATCCGTCACCGACGCCGAGTCGCTCCGCCACTGCCTCGAGTTCATCCGCTACACGCCGCACCACTTTGGACAGGGCATCATCCTGTACAACGGAACGGGATACTGGGACAACTGGTACTTCACCGTCGCAGACGGCATCCGTGTCGGCGACGACCTCGCGCGTTTCCACCTCCAGAACACGATCATCAAGCGCCCCGTCTTTGGTGTCCACGGATCCTTCCTCATGACGAACGGCGAGCTCGAGAACGAGTGCACCTGGGACTTTGGCTCGCTCGCCGAGGACTTTGAGTTCTCGCAGGACGCCTGGCGCCGAGGCTTCACCTGCGGCCGCATCCACGGTATCGTCCGTGAGCAGTCGCCGACCACCCTCCGCGACTTCCTCAAGCAGCGTCGCCGTTGGTTCATGGTGCGTCGCGCGCCGTCCTCCTCGCCATCTTTGCCTCCCCGCTGACCCTTTCCGCCTCGCAGGGTATCCGCGACATCAAGGGTCTCTACGGTCTGCCTCACCTCGCCATCAACCTCTGGATCGTCGGTGTCTTCACGCTCGGCGCGACCATCATCAACTTGCCGCTCGGCTTCATCGAGCACTCGCTCACGCCCATCTGGATCGCCGTCGCCGCCAACTTCAACTTCATCACGTTCTTTGTGAGTCGCGGTCGTTCTCTTTTGTGGGGCGCGGGAACAGAGTGGCGATGGTGGAGTTGTCGCGAGTCTAGTGAAGACTTTAGGATCTGGCAGCTAGCGAGGATTTCGGCGGTCGAGGCTAGCGAGGATTTCGGCCGTTGCGACTAGCCAGGATTTCGGCGTTGAACGAGACTGACCTCCCCTCCTTCCCGCAGACGCTCTACCTCTGGGGTTTGTTCTTCCAGGAATTGGACTTCGGACAGACCTGGTGGAAGATCCCCGTGCGTACCATTTCCGCTCACGAGACGGCCGCCGAAAGCTGACCCCGCTCACCCCGCGCGCAGATCCACTTGGTGTGCGCGATCATCATCCAGCCGTTCGCGTCGATCGCCGAGGGCCTGTCTGCCATCTGGGGTGCGTTTCAACGAGCCTCACTCTGGCGGAGGACGAAGGAGAAAGGCGGCGCGCAAGGAGGTAGAGGTGGAGAAGCCGGACTCAACGGAGGACTCTGGGGTGAAGCGGACGTCTCCTCGAACTGCGAGACTGACAGCGATGTTCTCCTGCGTCCACAGCCATGGCGAGTGAAGACTTTGGCAAAGAACGTTCACTTTCCGTCTCTGCGTCTCCTGGACTCCGAACTAACCTCGACTTGGGCGCCTGCAGTTCGAGGTCATCGTCAAGAAGTAGTCGCCTCGCCTCTCTCCCGCATGGACCCTCTTCCTTTCTCGCCGTGTCGTCGCCGCCGCCGCCGCCTCCGAACAGCGCCGCTCGACACCCCTTTCGCATACCCCTTCCTCTTTCCCTCTTCACGCCCAACTTACCTACTCGAAACGGACACTCGTATTTCTCTTCTCACTTTGCAACGTCTCAACCCGTCGTCACGCTCCTCCACGGCGTCACCCTCGTTTTTACTCCCCTCAAGTGGACCCTGGCTTCCTTCGCTCTCTCCGCTAGACGCTCCCTCTCCCTCTCCCTGTGCACAGTTCTCGTTCGCTCTCTCGTTCTTGTCCGCCTGCTTGCTCCCGAAATACCATACACTTTCACCGGGCGCGCTGCTTGCGACGAGGAGAGAGCATCACTACCTTCCCTTCCGCGCTTGTCTCTTGGGCTCCTCAGCCAGCGCGGAATTTTGCTTTCCTCACTTCGCCGTCAGCGTGCGCCGGCTAGCCCGCCTCTGACCGCCTGCGACCTCGCCCATCCTCATCACTCTTGCACTTTCACCGGCTCTCTCCTTCATGGCTACACAACCCTTCGCCGGCCTGGCGCCGAAGATCAAGGCCCAGTACGCTGCTGCGCTCAAGGCTGGCACATTATTGTTCACCGAGAGCGAGGTGGTCGAGTTGGACGATGAGCGAACTGGGATCCCGGTGCGTGCGAACTCACGTCCTTAAGCTCAGATTGACACGCGCTGACCTGACGTGTCTCCAGTTTGAAGTCCGCTTCGCACCGGCACTCGCAAAGAAGCCAACGGACCAGGGCAAGGGCGAGCAGAAGGGCGAACGGCGAGACGCTCCTCCGGACCCGTTCGCTCCGCCGTACCAGCAGGACTTGTACGTGGCCGAAGACGTCGTCAAGGAGGACGAGCACGATGCGGGCGAGGGCTTTGTGGTGTTGGTGAGTTGCGCTTTCTCCTCCCCTTCCCCGACTCTCCCTCCTTTGCCCCTCAAGTCCGCTTGTTCTTGCCTCTCGACTCTCCCTGCCGCCGCGAAAGCCTAACAACGCAGTGACGACTTCGCTCTCGGCAGCTCAACAAGTTCTGCGTAACGCCCCGGCATTTCCTCCTCGTCACAAAGGAGTTTGTCAAGCAGACGACGCCGCTCTCGCCCGTCGAGATCTACACAGCGTGGTCCATCCTCAAGCAGCTGAGCTCTCGGGAGAAGCACCTCGCCTTCTTCAACTGCGGCGCGGACAGCGGAGCCTCGTGAGTTGGCGAGACGGAATGATTCTCCTCATCCTGCCCGCTGACTCTTCAGCTCTGTAGCCAACCGCACAAGCAGTGTGTCCACGATTGCGTCCTCTCCAGCTGCTGTTCGCTCGCTCACCTATTCCTCGGTCCGCAGCCTCCAGTTCATCCCGCTGTCGAATGGTGTGGCCCCGTTCGACTCCTTCATTGACGAGCACAAGCCGAAGAACGAGAGTGAGCGCACGAGGTCCCGATCACCGCTATGTCTCTCGCTGACTATCCGTCTCGGCATACGCAGAATCGTGCTTCCAACTACCCCTCCCTTACGCCAACTTCACTGCCCTCCTCGACGTCCCCTCAGATCCCAGCGAAGCACCTGCCTACCTCGGTCACCGCTTCCTGGAGCTCCTCGACCTCATGATCGACCACCGGCGGCGACTCGCGGAGGAAGACCCCTCGCTGGCGAGCGGTCCAGTCCGGCTGTCCGAACTCTCCTACAACGTCGTCATGACCGCCTCGTACATCCACCTCGTCCCTCGGAGACGGGAAAAGTTCACGACGTCGACGGGACGGGCGATCTCGATCAACTCGCTCGGCTTTGCGGGCATGATCCTGGTCAAGGAGCAGGAGGCGCTGGACGAGGTCAAGGAGGTCGGCGTGCTGAAGGTGCTGGAGAATGTTGCGTTCAGGCCAGTGGAGCTCGGAGATACCCATGCGGCGGACGCTATCGTCGCGTGCGGTGGGTTGGCGTGATCAGGACGTGTAGAGGCGGCTTTCGGGGCGCTTGTGAGGACTTCGCTGCACCTGCCAAAGCTCCCTATTTACAGCATCTCATGCACAAGCTGAGCTGCACTGAGGAAGAGAACAGCGCAGCCGCGCGACCTGAGAGAAATGCTGTGAGCGGAGTGAGAAGAGCGTCGCGAAGCGAGCGAGGTCGCCGTCGGTTGGGAGCGAGTAGCTTGACGAGCACTGATGGGCAAGTGGACAAAGAAAAGCTCTACAAGCGCGGATAGTGTGCGGAAACCCGCGACGAAGAGAGGAGGCGACCCTCGCACCCTCGCACCCTCCCTCGCGCAACGCAAGCAGCGCGCCCGGTGAAAGTGTACGGTATTTCGGGAGCAAGCGAGCAAGAACGAGAGAGCAAACGAGAACTGTGCACAGGGAGAGGGAGAGGGAGCGTCTAGCGGAGAGAGCGAGGGTCCACTTGAGGGGGGTAAAAACGAGGGTGAAGCCGTGGAGGAGCTTGACGACGAGTTGGGACGTTGCAAAGTGAGAAGAGAAATACGAGTGTCCGTTTCGAGTAGGTAAGTTGGGCGTGAAGAGGGAAAGAGGAAGGGGTATGCGAAAGGGGTGTCGAGCGGTGCTGGTCGGAGGCGGGGTGGCGCATGATGACGGCGACGGCGACACGGCAAGAAGGAAGAGGGTCGATGCGAAGGGAGAGGCGGGGCGAACGCGAGGCAACTACTTCTTGACGATGACCTCGAACTGCAGGCGCCCAAGTCGAGGTTAGTTTGGAATCCAGGAGACGCAGAGACGGAAAGTGAACGTTCTTTGCCAAAGTCTTCCGATGCCATGGCTGTGGACGCAGGAGAACATCGCTGTCAGTGTCGCAGTTCGAGGAGGCGCCCGCTTCGCCCCAAAGTGCTCCGTTGATTCCGGCTTGTCCACCTCCCCCTCCTTCCGCCGCCCTTCCATTTGGTCTTCGTCAGAGTGGGACTCGCTGAACGCACCCCAGATGGCAGACGGGCCCTCGGCGATCGACGCGAACGGCTGGATGATGATCGCGCACACCAAGTGGATCTGCGCGCGGGCGCCGGGGCGGCGAGTGAAGGGCGAGCGAGGCGGATTCCTGGCTTGGCGGCTGCTATGCAAGCCACAGCGTCGCACGTTACAGTCCGAGCAGATCAGGGCTTTGTACGAGCTTCGAGCCAGAGCAACGCGCTCGAAGAGCATGCGGAATCGTCGGCAACTGCGAGGGGGGCGGGCGTCGACAGCCTGCGCTGCTCCAAGCGGGCTCTAGGCCTACTGAGAGGTGGCGAAACCCTTCAGAACGCGCTGAAGCAGCGGAAGGTGCACCTCGTCAGGAAAGTGATGAAGACGCGTAGCGACTTTGTCGCTGGACGGGGCGCGGTGAGCGCGTGCGACTGAGACGCGGCAGCTAGAAGGTAGCTGTAGCAGCCTCGCCAACTCTGCACGAGCGGTCGAGCGGTGTGGCTACGTCCGAAGTTCGCCATCGCCGCATCGCCAGGCTTTCCCACTTCACAAACCTCGCACTCGGCTAATCGGCTCTTGCACACCCGCAAGCCTCCTAAAACAGCTTCAGCTTCCGCCTAGAGCCGCCATGTCCTCCATCTTCGGCGCCGTCCGCAGCTACGCCCGCTCGTTCTTCTCGACGCCCGCGATCAGTCAGGAGCAGGTTGCGCTCGCTAAGGAGACTGTTGAGGTGCGCGACGCTCCGATAGCACTCGTGTCATACCATGCTCATCACTCGCTCCGAACAGGGCCTCATCCAGTCGCCCGTCGTGGTCTTCTCCAAGTCTTACTGCCCGTACTGTGCGCTTCTTTCGCTCTCTTGGGGCGCAGAAGACGCTTAGCAGCTGATATTGGACATTCTAACTGCAGGCACGGAGGCCAAGAACATCCTCAGGTCGCTCGGCCAGAGCTCTCGCATGAAGGTAGGTCTCTTGCGCTCCCGATACCCTCGCTGTTCCAGCTGACCAAGCTTTCGAATATAACGCAGGTCCTCGAGCTCAACCAGGAGCAGAACGGCTCGGCGATCCAGCAGTACCTCGCGGAGCGAGTCGGCGCAGCGAAGGTTACGGTTCCTCAGGTGAGCCAGCTCGCCCCTCGCCGCGCTCATTCGCCCCTGCTCACGTCGACTATCGGCGCAGGTCTACATCAAGGGCCAGCCCGTCGGCGGATGCAGCGATCTCAAGAAGCTCCAGGCTGAGGGCAAGCTCACCAGCCTCCTCGCTTAAACGCCAGGCTCTCTCCCGCATAGACCCGCTATTTACTCGTCTTGTAGCACTGTAACAACACGTTCCTTCCCTTCCAAACTTGAAACCCTAGTGGTACTCGATGATAGGCCGGCGCCTCGGTCGCTCCTCCTCCTCCTCCTCCTCTTCCGTTCCCTCGTCCTCGTTGGCCTCCGCTTCTCGTCGCCGGTTCGCGTCATGCGCGCCGTCTGCTCGTCCGCCATCCGCCAATCCCTCGATCTCGATGCCATCACCTTCGCCTCCTCCTTCGCCCTCCTCCTCTTCCCGCGCCTGGGCATTCAGCGCTTCTCGCTCCTTCTGCTTGGCGATGAGCTTGGTTGCGCTGTTCAACGGAAACCGTCAGCATCGCAAACAAGAAGATCAGGTAAGGAGTGGACGCACCGGTTGAAGACGCCGTTCGTGCTCGCTCCGCACGCAAAACACTTGCCCGTCTTTGCAAACCGCTTGATCGCGCACGCCGAGTCAAAGTAGTGGCCGCACAACGTCACGACAGGTTCCGGCCCGAACGGCTTGCGGCAGATCAGGCAGGCGAAGGGCAGCTCGTCGTCCGAATCAGAGTCCGAGTCGTCCTTGTCGCCATCCCGGGCGCGCTGTTTCGCCAGGAAGGAGCCGGCGGCAGCCGAGTTGGAGAGGAAGGAGTTGTCGAGTTGCCAGCCGTGAAGGTAGTCGCCTCGGTCGTGCAAGAACTGTTGGAAAGAGGCTGTCAGTACGAGTTCTGGAAGCTGGAGCCGGCGGCTGCTCACCTTGCAAGTGTCGCCGTAGCCACAGAAGCCGGTCTCTGCAAGCGGTCAAGTGCCCAGTCAGTAAAGGACGAGAAGATTGAGTTAAAGCGACAACGCACCTTTGTAGTCTTTGCAGACGTCCGGCTGGTAGTCGACAAGCGTGATCGTCCGCACGTTCGACGGCCCGCCCTTGACTGGTCCAACAGCCTTCGGCAGCTGGTTCTTCTGCTTGTTGGCGCCGCGATACAGCCCGTCGTCCGGGACCTCCTCCGCCTTTGCGTTCTTGTCGCGCGCCATCTCCTTGGCCTGCTCCGAGCTGACCCACGCCGGCGGGCTCTCGCTGCGCCTCCCCTCGGCCCTTCGCTCGGTCGAATGGCGCACAGCGAACGCCTTGCGCTCCTTGTCCTCCTCCTCACCCGAGTCGTCCTGGGCCTCGAGTGCCGCGTCCTGCAGCTTCCGGCGCTTGTAGCCACCCGTTCCCTGCACCAGGTGACTCGTGAAGTGACGCTTCGCAGCCTGCACAACCTCAGAGGCGGCTGGCTTCGAGTCGGCTGATGAGGAAGCGGTGTCGACCTCCTTCTTGCGGAGGCCGGCGGGCGGGCCCTTGCGCTTCTTGATGAAGGTGACGGGGGCGTCAGAACTCATTGCGAGTAGCACGGTAAGCGAGAGACGAAGTGAGAGAGCGGTGAGAGCGAGAGAGTCGGCGCCACAACGGCTAAGTCAGCAGAGTCACTCTCAAACAGTCGTCTGACTGGACTTGCGATGACAAAGACTGGGATACAATGCTTGAACGACTTTTGCTATGAGAGCGGACAACAGGGGAATGCGCGATAGAAAGTCTATGTCCTCCTCGACATCCCTCACGCCGACTGCGACGACGACGACCCCTCCTCCTCCTCAGTCGTCTCGATCATGACAAGGTCCTCCGTCCTCGCCCAGCCCAACTTGCCGACGCCGTCCTTCCTGCACAGCAACCATCCCGCGCCGCCCTCTGCGCTGTCTGCCTCCTCGAGCTCGACCGTGAGTCGGTCGCCGACCTCGAGACTCCAGATAGGATACCCAGAGCGGTAGCCGGACGAGCGGCACGCGTTGACAGCCTCGGCGACGTACAACGGGCCGTCGGCGCCGAAGTCGTCCTCGTCGTCGCCTTCGTCGGCCGGCAAGTAGACGCTGTACGTCGACAAGTAGCGCTCGCGCAGCTCCTGCGCGGTACGGCCAGCCGTCTCACGCGGACGGGCAACGCTAGAGTCGCTGCTTTGTTCGGTCGAGCCGTTCCTGCGGGCCGCAGTCGCCGACGGCAAAGAAGACGTCGGCTGAACGCCAGGCGCAGGAGGAAGAGGCGCGTCGTAGCGCAAGGCCATCGAGCGGCGGTCGTAGCCGTTGAGAGGCTCGTGCATAACCTTCGACAAGCGACCTTCGCTGTTCTTGACGACGACATAGTGCTGCGGGAGAGGCGGCGGCGTAACCGGCTCAGTCGTCTTCGACGATCCTGAACCGTCTGCCGATGGGGGCCGGAGGGACGGCGCGGACGAGTCGGAGGTGACGCTGCTGCGATAGGTCGACCCGAGACTGCCGCGACTGAGGTGCTCGGACGAGTACTCGGTCGTGCTGGACAAGTACGACCGGCGCTTCGAGTGGCGAGGCTCGTCAGGCGTGGTAGGCTGCGAGGCGTATGGGCGAGACGGGCTCGAAACGGAGGCTGGTCCCGAGGCTTGCGAGACGCGGGAGAACCGCTGATGACCGAGAGGGGATGACGCCGTCGACTCTGCATGCGTAAGATGCTACGTCAGCTACAGAGCGCAAGAAGACGGTAGTAAAACGCACGAGAGGCGGGAATCCCGAGACCGGCGGCAAGAGTCTCCATCATCTGCGCGAGAGGCTGATGGGCCGCATCAAATGACGCCTCGATGTCTTCGTACGAGCCATCCGGCACCTGGACGAGCCACTGCTCGGCAAAGGCGACCCAGCGCTCCTGCACCGTTTCGTGGTACGCCGCCTGGGCACCGGCAAAGTGGCCGACTATGATGTTGAAGTAGCGTGAGACGGAGCCGAGGAAGCGAGGAAGCTCCTCGAGTAGCTGCGACGAGAGGAGGAGGAACTCCTCCGATCCGCGCCTGTCGGCTGGCAGCTTCTTGGCGAGGTAGCGGGAGTGGTCAAGCATCTTGTCGTTGCGCTTCGCGATGACTTGGCGGGGGTTCTCGAACAGGCTGAGGAGGTGGTCAGTCTTGAGGATGAGCGAGTGTCGGACCTCGTAGTCCTGCAGACAGAGGGGCATCAGTTCGAGCCGGTCGGAGAGCTCGATGAAGCAGACTCACAAGCTCTCGCCAAGGACCCTCAATGATAGGGATGAGGACCTCGTCGAGGAAGATGCAGAGTCGGCGGTGGCTGATGCTGGCGGGCGAGTGCCGCTCGCCTGCCATGGGCGCGTACATGTTGATCCAGCCCTCGACCATGCCGACCTGCGCCTCGAGCGCAGTCTTCGTGCTCTTGGTCCAGTCGCGCATCTCGTTCGAGAAGCGAAGGACGCCGCTCCGGGTGCTGTCGACGAGCGCAACGAGCGTGTCGAACATCTCGTCCCCGCCGTTCTCGGCGAACCCAAGCGCCGTCTTTGCCTTCTGCGACGAGCGGAGCAGCTTCTTCGTCACGGTCGACGAGATCGAGCGAGACGAGTCACGGCGCTGGGACGACTTGTCCTTGGCGACAACGCGAGCGACGGCGTCGTTGCGCTTCTTGTACTCGTTGATATGCTCGGCGACCATGAGGACGTCGGTATTGGCGCGCTGAAGGCTGACTCGGTCCGGGTGGTCGTCCGGCGTGAGGGCGAGGATCTGGTCGAGGAGGAGCGGGTACTTGAGGCACCGCTGGACCGGCTTGATGAGCAGCGAGGCGAGGTCCCAAGCGTTCGTCCGCCCGTGCGAGAGCGTCTTGCATTCTGACAGATACGTGCGGAGAGTGGGCTCGAGCTCTTGCAGGCGGATGATGGCACGGTGGTGCCGGACGCAGTAGTTCGAGTACACTTGCTGGATGCGTGGAATCATCTCGACGAAGACTTCGCCGATCCGGTCGTCCATCGCGTCGGGGTCCTCACCGCCAGATGCACTGTCGAGGAGGTTGGCGAAACCCTCGGCGAGCGAGGCAATCTCCTCGAGGTTGGCGAAGACGATGTGGAGGTCCTTCGGCGACATGAGCGGCTGGCCAGGCATGAGGTTCGGCATTGCTGCAACAGTCGCCCGTCGCGACTCGTTGCGACCCGTGACACTTGAGCCGGATGAGACGCGGCGATTGACGTCTGGTCGGTGCGAAGCTCGTCGAGGTGCGAGACTTGGCGAAGGCGGGCTTGCCGGAGAAGCCTTTGCAAGGCCAAGACCGGTACTCATGACGTGGTCCGCGATCTGCGCCATGTCTTCATACATGCGAACTCGTCAGCGAACGGAATAAGGCTCGAGGCAGTGGAAGGACCCACGAGCTCCTCGCGCACGAGCGAGGTAGATGTCGCGAACGACGGCCATGTCGACCGCATACGTCGTCTCCGTCTCGACGAGCTCCTGGATGATTCGCCTGCGCTTCTCAAAGTTGCGCAGCTTCCGCCCAGTCTCTACCGACATTTCCGTGGGCGATGTCGTCTGCACGGCAGATTCGGGAGCAGCCTCGAAAGCCGGCGAGCTAGCGCGCACAGTCGAAGGCGAGTGCTCCGAGACGGAACGTGCAGAGGGCGTCCGCAAGTCGACGCTGCCAAGACCAAGACCAGTGGACGTCGCAGCCTGCGACGACGTCGCGCCGGCCGTTTCTTCGACTTCGTGCCCGTCGGCGGACTGGCCGGCTTTGGGCGTGAAGTAGACGGTGTCGCGATCCTGCGCCGAGCCAGCTCGAGGCGGATGCTCGGGTGACGGTTCCTGGTTGGGAAGGACTGCAGTGTCACGAGAAGTCGGTGATTGCGAGACCTCTAGCGCGGGTGCTGCGGACGCTGGTCGACCATCGAAAGGATGGCGGTAGTCGACACGATCCAACGAGCGCGAGCTCGAGCGTCCAGGGCTTGCGCACTCCTCCGCCAGTTCTGACAGAGTCTTTGGCTGCGGAGCAGTCGGCCGCGACTCTGGCAGGACCATCGTCAGCGACCTGCCGCCCTCCATCGCCGAAGCCGTCTCGTCAAGGAACGCTGCGAGTCGCTTGCGTTTCTCCGCTGTGTCCGGACCTCCTTCGGCGATGGGCGGGAACGTCGGCGACGCGGGCGACAGGCGAGATCCGTAGCCGTAGCTCGAACCGGTGCTCGCGTACGAGTTGCCGGAAAGGATCGAGGCCATTGAAGGTCGTCGACCGTCGAGAGAGCTGCTAAGATGGCTTGACAGGTACTCCGAATGCTCGCCTGGCGAGTGCACGCTGTTGCGGCGAGTCATGGCGGACTCGGTCGAGATGCGACGAGGGTTCTTCGGGCGGGAGGGGAACGGAAGACTGCTGCCGGATTGGCCAAGGCTCATGCTGGAGCCGACGGAATCGCGTTTCGAGGCTGGCGGCGAGGGACGGTCAGCTGGCGAACGAGCTAGAGCGCAGAACAGAGAGCTCACCAGGCAGGGCATCGCTCATCCTCGACAGGCTGAAGTAGTCCTCCTCACGTCCCGCAGGTTTCCGCCTGATATCGACCGAAGACCGCCGCAACGCTCCATAAGCCGAGGTGGTCCTGGGAGGAGGCTCTTCGTCTAGAAAGGAGAAATCGAGGTTGAAATAGTTGGCGACGGCAGATCCAGGAAGGAGGCCGGAACGAGGGCGCCCATGACGATCCTCATCCGAAGACGAGGTGTCGTCGAAGAAGCGGTGTGTGTTGCGGTTGGCCGGTGCGGAGTGAGGGATGGGACGATCGGTCGCGAGCGACGAACCGTTCATCACGATGGACGGCGGGCGTGATTTGCGCGAGCCGTCGAAGGACAAGGGGGGAGGTCGCGAGCGAAAAGTGTCGGAGCGTCGCACCGTGATGTCGTCCGGCAGAGGTGGCAGGCGCGAGTTCGTGGAACGTCGAGAAATCGATGACCAGCGACCAGAATCCGTTCCACCGAAGGTGGGTGGTTGAGGAGACGTCGAGCGGCGACGGTCAATCCCGTCGTCGTCCGTCGCGATGGACAGTGCAGGGCGTCGCGACGAGTAGACGTCCATCGAGGGCAGTCGAGAGAGCGTAGTGGGTCGATCGACGAGGCGAGCACCGCAAGTCGTCACCCAGAGAACGCGGCGGTGCGGTTCGAGGAGGAGGAGGGGGAAAGGAGGGGCGAAAACGGAGTCTAGTCAGCGTCTCGTCGACTCGACACCTTAGCAGGGTGCTGTCTAGCGCTCAGGCAGGCCGCACGACGCTGTGGCCAGCGAGCGAGATGTGCGGTAACAGAGCCTCCTTGTTCCCAGCGCCCTCGACGGCGACGCCCGACGCCAGGCAGGCGGTCGAGAGGTTTGGAACACGCGAGCAGGCCATCCGTCGCCCAGGCACCTTCCCTCCTCGCGGCAGCAAGCATAATCAGAAGCGGTGGACAGTACCGGGGCGAGGCTGGATCCACCTTCCGCGTTCGGCCCGCCAACGCCGGCAGCGTGAAGCCGCCTGCCTCTTTCCGCCTCGTCGCTGCGCCAGCCTCGATAAGCATAGGCACCAACCCCGCCGCTCTCCTCCGCCGTGCAATAACCTTTGGCGCCCAGCCTGCTCGCCGGCAATACGAGCAGCGCGAGGCTCGACCCGGCTGCGTCGCTTCAGTCGCTAGAACTGGCTGCTGACTGCGCGGAGCGCAAGAATCGTTTACAGCGCGCGGGAGCTTGCGTACCAGCACCTCGCTCGCGAGGCGCACGTCGCCCTTTGCCGACTCTCCTTCGCGGTTGTCACGGTGCCCAACGCAGAGAAACCCGGGATGGCACGCAGGGAACAGGCGTTGGCTTACCGGAAACGTGGCTTTTGTCGCTTGTGGCCTGCAAAGCATGGCGAGTCGATCAGCGAAACCTTGCTCGACTAAGAACAGCCCAAGCAGCTTCCGCGGTGTGCGATGGAAGCGGCAAGGGTCCCTGCTCGGTTTCAAACGTACAGCGTCGTCGGCGAAGCCAGATCCCCGGTGGCCTTGAGCCCACCCCGTCCTCAACAGGTCGCTGATCTCGCGCAAGAGGGCAGCGTCCCCCGGTGCGAGCGTCGAGCCCGATGCGAGGGTGCAGATCGAGGCGACACGGCTGGCCTTGCCCTGAGGCGCCTCGTCATGTGCAACTGACCGCGTGAAGCGTGCTGCGACGTGAAGATGAGGAGGAATGAGTCGAGAAGGAGGAGGGGATGGTTCGGCAACCTCATTGCGGCGCTCTGGCGGCTTGAAGCTCAGCTTGGAGACAGCCTGAAGCAGTTCGTAGAACGAGGGAGCCATGCGAAAGCGAACGAAGCCATTGCAGTGGAGCGACCAGACGGGGAGGAGAACAAGGGGAGGGCGCTCAGGCCTCGCTTCTTTGCGCGGGTCTCGCTTTCAGTGACGCAGAATCGTAAAGTGTGGAACGTCGCGGGCCGCACGGGAGCGACTTAGCGATGGACGGACGACAGCGACGAGCGAGGAGAACGTCTCGAGTAGAGGATACTTCGCAGGACGATCTGCGAGCGGGTGCCAACTCTCTTTCGCCCAGCGTTCACAGACGAGGTACCGACAACAGCAAGGGCCATTCTACAGAAGGAAAAGGCGAAGGAGGGGAGGGGGAGATTAGTTTGGGAAGGTTGGCGTGCCGCGCGGTCGCAAGGCAAGCGCAAAGCTTCACGTCGAGTGGTCGCCGACGGGTGAATCGCTTGCGAGCGAGTTACGACGCTCCTGGACGAGGAGAGCGAGTGTCCTGCACGACCCGCCCGTCAGCGTAGACTCAGGAGGTCGAGGAAAGGACAGTCGGACTGCTTCAGCTGCTCGACGTCGTTCTTGACCAGCCGCACGTCGCTGTTCGTCTGCAGCGACGTCGAGTAGATGAGCTGCGGCGGGCCGATGCGGCGTTTCTGAGTGGAAAGTCGCGAGTTAACGAGGAGTTAGCCTTGACCAGCTCGAGGAGTGGAGAGGCTGCACACACCGATACAAGGCGTCTCCTGCCGTGCCCTCGTTTCGTCGGCCATGCTTGTACGGCTGGAACAGTCTCTGCGGGGTCAATTTCCTGCCACGAAGCGTCGGCGTCGAGGTCACTCTTGCGACGCCGAAGCGAAGCGTTAGTCCAGATCGCTGGCAGACCCATCTGCCGTCCGTTGTATGTGTCGAGCGCACCTCTTCGACTCCGTCCAGCTACGAGAATGGGACAGCATCAGTGCACGCATCGGGCGGAGGTTGAACGAAACATGCGCACCGGTTCGTCCGGCACAACCTCGCCACAGCGTCGCTTGTACTCATTCAGCTGAGAATAGGCCGGGGTCAGGTCGGGTTCGCAGGAGACGACGGGTGCGTATGGACGCACCTCGCTCAGCGCAGCTTCGTAAGCGAGTTCGAGCTTCTCCTGCTCCTCCATAAGCTGCATGCACGCGTCGTGCTGTTCCTCCTGGTCGGCCTGTATGACGAATCGAGCTTGAGATGGGTATTTCCGCGAAGGAAAGCTCCGGAGAGTCGCACCTGCGTCTGCGCGAGCTCGCCTTCCACCTTTTCCAGCCGGCTCGTGAGCTTGACGACCTCGGCCTTCAGGTCTTGCTGTTCCAGTTCGTGCCGAGCCTGTAAGCGCTCGTCTTCCATCAGCGACGATTCATACGCAAGACCCGCAACGATATTGAGGGCACACCTTGAGCTGCGAGAGCGAGTCGAGAGCGACGGCGCGCTGTACGCGTCACGAGGGTTACTTAGCCGGCGCTCTCACTCTCCTACAGGGTGACCGGTGGAGGATGCCACAATGAGATGAGACGACGCACCTCAACTTCAGCAAACTCCTTCGCTTTCCGCAGGTCCGCAACCTCGGTTGCGTGGCCCTCATGCGTCTGCCGGAGGATGAGCAGCTCGTCTTCATGCTGAGCAACGTCGAGCTAGAGGTGGAATGACTGTCAGCTCCGAAATCTGGCAAGCGAATAGTCACAGGCAGGAACTTACCTTTGCAGCGTCGCGTTCGGCGGCGACCGTCGCGAGAGTATAGCGCAAGTCGTCCTGTGTGAAGAACAGGATCAGTACGACTCGAGATCAGGGAAAGCTTGTCAGTCCAGCACGAAGCCAGCTCACCAAGTTGCGCTTCCATGCATCTCGCTCAGCACGCAAACCAGCGACTTCCTGCTTCAGCCGCTTGTTCTCGTCGACGATGTGCTGTTGAGACCTCGTCAGTCGGAGACTGAAAGCGCAAGATGAGGAAGCGATCCGGCACACCTTGACTTTCCCAGCTGCTGCAAAAAGAGATCCCGCTTCTCCCTCGCTCGTCGGCGAGAGCGCCTCAGCATCCCACGAGTCATCTCGCGCATTCTTCTTCTGCTCACCGTGGGCATCAGCTGCCAACTCGAAGCGTCGCCAGAGAGGAGAGCACGATCAACGCACCCTCAACCCCTGCGACCGCCTCTGCTCTCCAACCTGCACCGGCTTGAGTGCCTTCCTCCTCTCCGCCCACGAATGGGCATCCGACTCCCTCGCCGTCTTGGAGCGCGACGAGTGGCTGTTGAGTGAAGAGGCGGTGCTGGATGAGGAGGAGCGGGTGTGCTGGGCGACGAGAAAGAGGAGGAGGGTCAGGCGAGTGAACTACTTGTGGGAGAGAGGGGACGTACCGCGTCCTCGTCAGCCATGCCTGCGCAGCGAGGTCAGCGAAGATGAGGAGGACCAAAGGAAGGTGAGGAAGACGCGTCGCTCGATTCGGCGACGAGGACGAGGTCAGTGCGTCGCAAGTCACGTGAGGCGTCGTCGCGACAGTCGTGAGCGCATCCCCATGCTTGAAGATAGCGGAAGCGAGGCGAACGGAAAGGCTGAAAGCGAGAAAGAGCATCGGCGGGACCTTCGCAATCCTCGCCTCTCGAGGCTGAACACCTCGTTGCGTCGCCCCTCCTCCTACGTATCCGGCACGAGTACCTGCGCCACCACCTGCTTCTTTGGCGTCGACAAGCGGTCCCTCGCCTCGTCCATCCGATCCGCTTCTCCTCCCGCAGCGTTCATCTCCTCGTCGCTCTCGTAAGCGACCTCGCCCGCCTCCTCATTCAGCTCAAGCGCTCTAGCGCCCTTTGCTCGCCTGATCCCAAAAGGCGGCGGCGAAGGCACCTCAAACGGAAGCGGTAATCGAGGCGCATCCGCTGCACCTGCTCGGAACGCCGCGCCGAGCGCAGCGAACGACGGCATCGAGGTTGCGCGGGAGAAGGGCTTGCGGAAGGATGCGGAGGTTGAGGAGGATTTGGAGGGAGTGTCGGGGACGAGGGTGAGGGAGTGGGCGGCACGGTCGGCGGCGGTTGATTCTGCGGCGAAGGAATCAGCTCAACTCGTTGACGACGAGCGAGGGTACGTACTCTTCGGACTGACAGCCTTCCTTTTCCGCTTCAAAGCATGCGAATCGTCCGCATCCGCCTTGCTCGCAACCTTCTTCTTGACGGCCACCGAACTCGCACTCGGCTTCTTCGACAACGAAACAACCCGCCTCTTGAGGACGTCCGGCACGCCAGCCATGTTATCGCCTCTTGGAAGCGGTCGAGGGCGTTCTTGTTTCCGAGGAAGGCGAGGGCGCGGAGCGGCTGTCGAGGCGGCGTCGGACGGCGCGTCGGTACTGTCCTTGCGCTTGAGCGGCACAACAGGGATTTTGAAGACATCGTCGTCCTCCCCACCCGTCTCCTTCTCCTCCTTCTCCTTCCTTCCGGCGCCGAGACCTTTGAGACCCATCAACCTCTTCATAGTCGGACTCTGCGCAACCCTCCTCTCATCCTCCCTCATCTCCCTCTTCCTTGCCGACTTCTCGAGCGACAACAACGAGCGGGCTTTGAATGGTGAGGGTGCGGGCTCGAGCCGTTGTGCGAGACGGGCGGCTTGGGTTGCGGAGGAGGGGAAGAGCTTGAGGCGGTGGTGCGAGAGGATGGTGGAATCGACGCGCGTGCGGAAGCTGCGCGATGTCGGGCGTTAGTGAGGCGTCGGATGACAAGGTGGAGTCGAGTCGGAACGCACAGAGGTTCGACGATGTCCAGCCACCACACCTGCACCAAATCCTTCTCCTCAACCACCACCTCCTCCATCCCCTCTGCCGCAATCCCAAATCCCCCAACATCTCTCATGACCCGCCAAATTTGCATCCGGTCTGTAAGGAAGTCGAGCAACATCGCTGGGTCGAGCGTGTCGCGGAAGAGCTCGGGGTGCTTCTTCTTTTTGCCTTTGCGAGTGATGGAGGGAGTGTAGGTTATGGGGAGGGAGAGGAGCGTGAGGAGGATGAGCGATTGGAGGCGGGTCCTGAGGGCGAGAAAGCGAGTTCAGCGAGAAGAGACTGTTCTGCTGAGAGCAGCACGCACTCGAGGAGTTCCTTCTCCGATAACCAGTCGTCAGGCCGGACGACAATCTCCTTCGGCGCCGCCTCGTCCTCGTCCTCGTCCATCTGCTCCGCCGCGCCGTCCTGGTCAAGTGCGCGCTGCTTCCCCTTCCTCCGCTTCTCCTCCGCCTTTCTCCGCTCTTCCTCTAGCCGCGCCTTTTCCTTCACCGCCCATCGCGCATAGTCCTCCCTCGCCCATCGCGCTTCCTCCTCGCCCAAACCCTCGTTCGAGTGGTCCTCGTCATCCTCACTCGCTGCGATAGCCCCTGGAACGTGGTCCCTCCATCGCTTGTCAAAGTCCTGCAGCGGCAAGACAAGTTCGCGCGCGAGCGAGTCAAATTCAGCAGGCGAGCGATCCGCCAACAGCGCAAGTAACGACCGAGCGAACGCCTCGAGGGTTGCCTGCGATCCAACGCATCAGTTCCGCTTCGCCCGACCTGCTCGAGCGCGCACGCACCTGCTCCGACTGCCTCTCGTCGGCTGGAGGCCACATTGCGTCGGTGTACGCGTGCTTGAGGTCGCGATTCGGGACGTGGACGGGGTAGGATGGTTGGGCGGGGAAGGGGATGGGCGGGCGGCATGGCAGGGAGTAGATCAGTCGCCGCTTGGTTGTGGTCGTCTGTGTGGCCATTCTCGAGCTTGGCCGAGCTTATGGGCGCTCTTAGGAGGTCGACGAGCGATGAGTGTGTCGCGTTGAGCCGCGCTGATGAGGTGGAGGAGCGGGAAAAGTGCGAGCGAGGGACTCGCCGTGTCCTGCTGGTGCTACTGTGGCTCATATTGAACTTACGACCACGTTACACTCGCTTACTCGCTCACTCCGCCCGCTCACCTTGACCCGCTTGCTTGCCGGCGGCGAAGTGGAGGTGGGGCCAGTATTCGACCTCGCGCTCCCTCTCACCGTCCACTCGCTCAATCCCCCCAACGACGCCATGGCATCGACAAAGATCCCCGTCACACTCGGGCTCATGACCTGGGGCGAGCAAGGGACACCTATGTCCCGCATCCACGATCTCGAGACGTGCGAGCAGTGCGTCCGGCGTCCTCTTTGCTGTTCGACGATACATGAGCGGCGCTGGGTTGGGACGGGACCAAAACAGTGCTCTCGGGGCGAGACTCACACTCGCGACCCGCAGGATGCTCGACGTCTTCGTTTCTCACGGGCACAACGAAGTCGACAGTGCGCTCGCCTACTGCAACGGCACCTCGGAGGAATACCTCGGCAAGCTCGACTGGAAGTCGCGCGGCATCCTCGTCGACACCAAGCTGTGGCCGATGGAGTACAAGGGCGAAAAGGCGACGTTTACGCTCGACAAGATGCGCAAGTTCCTGGACGTCCAGCTCGCGGCGGTCAAGACTGACTGCTTGAACTTGTGGTACCTTCGTACGTCGCGATCCCTTCGGCCTCCCCGCAAATGAGCCTCTCCGCTCACCATCTGCACTCGCAGACGCTCCTGACTACGGTACACCTATCGCCGAGACGCTCGAAGCCGCCAACGCGCTCTACAAAGAGGGCAAATTCAAGCGCTTCGGTATCTCGAACTATTGCGGGAAAGACGTCGAGGAGTTCTGCGACCTCGCCGACAAGCACGGGTGGGTTAAGCCGAGCGCTTACCAGGTGCGTCCTTCCCTCCTTCCCGTCCATCGCACCTTACTGATGCGGAAGATGTTGCACTCGCGCAGGGTATCTACAACGCCCTCCACCGCAGCGTCGAGACCGAACTCTTCCCAATCCTCCGCAAGCACAACATCTCGTTCTACGAGTTCAACCCGCTCGGCGGGGGGTTCTTTGTTGGACACCTCAAGAAGGAGGAGGGGGTGGAGAAAGGGTCGAGGTTTGATCCGGAGACGGCGCAGGGGAAGAACTGTACGTTCTCGCGTCTCTTCCGCTTCTCCTCCCTCCCTGCCTTCTCTCGCTTCTCCAGCTATCACACGAAGCTGACGTGCCTTGACGCAGACCGCAACCGCTACTGGCGCGACGAATACTTCCGCGCCCTCGACCTAATCCAACCCGTCGCGTCCCTTCACTCGCTCACACTCGCCGAGATCGCCCTCCGATGGATCGAGCACCACTCGCAGCTCTCGCGCGAGAGGGGCGATAATGTCTTGATTGGTGCGAGTTCGGTGAGGCATTTGGAGGAGAACTTGAGGGATTTGGAGAAGGGGCCGCTACCTGAGGATGGTGCGTCCGCGTGCTACTGTACTGTTCGCTAGAAGCGGCTCGACTGACTTGCCGTGCAGTACTCGACGCACTCGACAAAGCCTGGGAAATCGTCAAGCCCGTCGCTTCCCTCGTGCGCTGCCTTCCTCTCCTCGGGCGGTCGTCGCTTTCGTCGCTCACCCTTCTTCGCGTCGCGCGCAGTACTACCGGTCGCCCGACAACATCAAGATCTGAGCGTGAGAGGGATCAGTAGACAAGAGCAGTGCAAAGGAAGGTCGGTATTTGTCGTGGCTCGTCTCGCGTGACAGAGCCTACTCTCGAGAGCTGCCCGACGAGAGAGGTTGAGACGGTACAAGTTACAACAGCCGCTCGACAGCACAGTAAATCACGACAGCATGTACAGCCATTCCCCCAACCTCAAAAACGTCAAGATACCGACCGACCGTCCATCCCCTCGCTCGCTACTGCCCATCCTCCTCCTCCCACATATCCCTCAACCTGTCCATATCCGCCTCGGTCGCGACACTAACCACCTCGGTCTCTTCTCCCTCCTTGTCCGCCCCCGCGCGAGCCTCCTTGAGAGCCTTGGCGTCCCTCCTCGCAAGATTCGCCAACGCCTGCCCCGGTCCAAGGAAGACCATCCTCCTCACTCCATGCTTCGCCGGCAGACTCGCGAGACAAGAGCTCCATCTGACGGGGAGGGAGATCTGAGCGACGAGGTTCGAGACGAGTGAGGAGGGGGTCGTGATTAGGCTTGCGTCGAGGCCTGAGACGAGGGGGGAGGAGGGCGTGCGGAGTCGGATTGAGGGGGAGGAGAGGGCGTGTTCCATCCCTGAGGCGGCGGGGGCCATGAAGGAGCAGTGGAACGGGGCGCTGCGTGGGACAAAACAAGCCCCAACAGTCAGCAACCCGGACTCGAGTGAAGAGGCACGGAAGAGAGACTCACGAGACCGGCAAATCCGCCGCCCGACTCGCAATCTCCAACTCCCTCAACTCCTCACTAGCCTTCATGATCCCCTCCCTCGTTCCCGCCAGGACCACCTGCGTAGTCGAGTTGAAACTCGCCACTTCGACCGTGCCCTCTGCTCCCTCGCGTCCCGATCGTTCCGCCCTCACGCGGCGAATCACGTCCGAGATCTCGGCGTGTGAGTGGCCCGGGTTCAGGACGAGCGCGGACATCTGTCCTCGACGGGAGGGAGGCGCGTCAAAGTCGGGTGAGAGGCCGATAGAGGGGAGCGAGAGGGCGTAGTGCGTGAGGAGGCCGTGAAGGCGCGTGAGGCGCACGCCGTCGCAGAGGGAGAGGGCGCCGGTTGCGACTGCGGCCGAGTATTCGCCCGACGAGTGGCCGAGGATGAGCGAGGCCGTGCGTGCGATCGGAAGGCTGTATTCGCGCTGCGAGAGGGAGGGGAGCGTCAGTTTCCGGCGTGAAAGCGGAGGAAGGAGAGCGGCGCGCACCTCGAGCGTCCGCAGGAGCGAGATGGACGTGATGAGGATCGCCGGCTGAGCGTTCGACGAGCGCGTCAACTCGTCCTGCGGTCCTTCAAACACGACCTCCTTCAACCCCGACTCTTTCCTCCTTTCGGCCTCGGTCTCGTCCAACATCCGCCCCAACACGCCCGCCTCGCCTTCGAGCTCGTGCAGCCCCAGACTCTTCCTCCACTGCTCGAACCCAGCAAGGGCAGTCTCCGCCTCGTCCCAGACGTCCCGTGCAGGCTGCTTGTCGCGGAGGTAGTGGTGCATGCCGACGTACTGCGACCCCGAGCCGGGGAAGAGCAAGGCGTGCCGCGGACGGGTCGTCTGAGCGCGGTACGACTCGAGCGGGATCGGAGGGGAAAAGTCACCGCCGGACCAGAGGGCTTCCATCTCGAGGCGGTTCCGCCGCGAGCGTTGGTTCTTCCCCCCGCCCGACGCCGCCTCGACGCTCTTCCCCTTCACGGTGGCGGAGGAGACGTCTCGCGCCCCGCTCCCACCCGACCTGGCCACGGTCTCGAGCGCCCGCCTCGAGGGGACAAAGACGTCATGCCTAGCCGGGTCGCGGTACTTTTTGAGAAAGACGGGGTCGTGCCACGCCGCGTCTGGGTTGGCGAGTGCGTGAGTCGAGGGCTGCTGGGCGTAGAGCGAGGAGGAGGAGGCGAGAGGCGAGGCGGAAGGAGGCGGAGGGGCGGACGAGGTCGAGAGCTGGTGCGAGGCGGCGGGGAGGTGCGAGGCTTGGCGGGCGCACGAGCAGCCTGCTTGCTGTGGCGGCTGGAGCAGTGCTGAGCGTGGGAGTGCGGTGCGGATCATGTTCGAGTGTGCTGTATGCGCCCAGTTGGAGAGTCAGCTGAGAACCCGACCCGGCGACTCTTTGAGTGGGCTCGCGACGGCGTGTTGCGCGGTGTCGGGTGGTGAGGATGGAGAGTGCACGCACGTGAGTTGGCCGAGCTAGAGCGGCGAGCGATGCGTGCGGGTGCGGGACGAGGTGAGCGCGGGTGAGGGTGAGGAGGTGGGGGGTCCCGTTGGCGTGAGAGGTGCGGGTGGATGCGGGTGGACTGGCAGAGTGTAGCAGCAGTGTAGTAGCTTGTGAGCAGTCTAGTTTGTCCACAATAAGCAGCCAGAGCAAGACGAGAGGCGTCGTCGTCGAGGGCAAGCCGGCTGCCGTCGACCGGCTCGGGGCATCTCGCACGACAACCCGCCCACCCACTCACCACGGCCCGGGACACCATCCTGCGCACAATCACCACACTCGCACAGCTCGCTACAGTTCACTGCTGGCCAAAGCGCAGACAAACAGCGAGAGAGGCAGCTTCAAACGGCGCTTTTGGCGAGGACAGAGGGCGGGACGGGCGGCAAGTCTTTCGCTGGCTGGAATGCTGGCTTGAATGCCTCTCGAGAGTGTGTAAAGAGCGCTGCAAGTGTTGGGCAGTCGATGGAGAGCCAGAAAGGAGGACTTCCGCCGACCTTGTCCTCCTCGACTCGCGATTGGGAAGGTCGACTGCGAGTCGGTCTCTCCTGCGCCAACCCATCGTTCTTCGCTTCATCGACGTTCCAACGTCGAAACACGCCTTCTACTTCGGTATGGAGCCCGCCGGAGACTACAGACGGTGCAGAGAGACGAGGACAGTCTGCGAAACCCCGTGTCGCTCTGGCCTTCCTCGTCGCCTCGCTTGCCCGCTTCCCTCACAGACCGCCTGCTCGCATGACAGAGTCCTGCAGGTACGGACTTCGCCGCACGATCTCGAGCGACCTCCGCGTCTCTCGATTCGCGGCCAACATTCTTCCCACGACCAAGGAAACCTCGCGAGCGGAGCGGACGTCACCCTTCGCACACGACCTCGCGCGACGAACGACGAAACCGTCACCGCTTCTCTCTCCCTCTCTCCCTCTCTTCGCCCACGTAGTCTACTCGAAAGCCAGTCATTGTACGCCCGCTCACGTCCTTGGGTTGCGCGCGAACGCTCACCTCGTCCTCCGCCTCTGTTGTCGGCTCACAGCTGGTCCTGCCCACCCTGTCGCCCTCCTCAGCCTCAGACTCATCCTCAGCAACCCCCCAGAAGCGCGACTCGTCCTCCGCCTCCGACCCGTCCGCCCACCCATCCTCGTCGACTTCCTCTCCCTCCGCCCTCCCTCCCGCCAAGAAATCCAAAACGATGGGCGGCGCACACGAACAAGCCGACAAGAACCACACGTCCGACGACTTTCCCAACCTCGCGCCTTACAACACGCCCGCCGACGCCTTTGAAGGGAAATACCACGCGAGTTGTCACTGCGGTGCGGTGAGGTACGAGGCCAAGGGCGAGCCCGAGTTGAGCGTGTGTTGCCACTGCCATACGTGTCAGATTGTGCATGGCGCGACGAGTCAGAGGGCGTTGATCTTCAAGAAGGATCACATCAAGTTCCCCAAGGAGTGCCTCGACTCGGTTGCGTTCTACCAGGTGCGTCGCGGCGTTCTCCCTTCGTGCACGAGGAAGCGCTAACGCTGCCGTCAATGTCCCCCAGACGCACGACAAGAAGGTTGGGCGACACTTGCCGTGCAAAGTCCGCTGCAAGGTGCGCTCTCCCGCCTTCTCTTTCTCTCGCTCTCAAATCCCTTCGCTGACTTGCGCATGCCCTCGACAGACTTGCGGCACCCTGATCGCCGACGAAGGTCGCAAGTACGTCCCCCTCCT